TGTCATGCTTTAAATCGCATGTGTTCAAACAGAATGTGCTCTTTGAGTAGTAATTTATAGTGTTTTCTAGTAAATCTTGGATAACTTAGATTTAAATTTGTGATAAAAGATTATTTGATTTCCAGTTATATTTCCTCTAAATCCTGTCTCCCTTATTTCTGTCTTGTCCTTTGTATTGTAATATATTTGCCTGAGTAGATCCTTGAATTTTTAGCTTTAAATCGTGTCATAAATCTGGTGTCTATTTCTATGCATGCGTCTTGTCAGCCTAGCAACTTAAGGAACTATCATAGAAAGGCAAATTTTCCAGTAACTGAGCATACCTTTGTATCTTCCTAATGCATGGAAGAGTATAGTATGTCACACATAAGTGTAATGTTGTCAATATATTGTAATGAATAACTGATGTTTCATTGGAAATGTTTAAACTGACCTGCCACATCACAAGTTACTGTTCTCTTGGCAATCAGCCATCCATGGAACATGGGGACAGATGTCAGTGCTTGCTATACTCAGAGCTTTTGCCTCTAACCATTGCATGCGTGTGTATAATAGATGGAAAATTTAGGATTTGAAAGGAGGGAATGATTGAAGCAGAGCCATAGGCTTTAGATTGAGGAAAAACAGTTTTCTCTGATATGGAAGGCTAGAACTTAGTAAGCACTGCTCTCTGCTGGGTGCCAAACTCAGTACTTGGCCATTTTTTTGCTATATTTAGTCCACAAGCACATCCCCATGAGAAACCAGTTGCTGTGCTTGCCCCCAATTACAGATGTGGAAACTGAAATTTAGATCACATGATGTGCAGAGCAGGTATAAGTTAAGTCTGTTTTGATTCCAAAACCAGGACCATTTCTCCCTTGAGCCTGGATTTTTCAAGATGTTCTGATCTGCTGACAGTCTCCCTCTCAGAGGAAACCTTGGAATTAAAAGCGGTGCCCTGGAAGCAGTGGGGATTGCGGAGTTTTCTTTCTGTCAGTCTAGAAGCTCCCCCTAATGCCTGCTGCCTCTGGCCCTGTGCTATGCCCGCTTCATGCTTCCTGCCTTCCTGGTGGTGCACTTGTGGGGCAGTGCTGCTGCAGGTGCCAAGTGGTGATTGTCCTCAGCAGCTGTGTGTGAGCTTCTCTATGTGGCTGAGCAGAAGTGTAATTTAGTAAGGACACAGGTACAGATCCTCACTCTGTTGCTGATTAGTTCCTGGCCTGGGAGCTGTTCCTTGGCCCAGTGGAACCATGGCTTGCTCTCTTGTAAGTGAGGTAGTGATCCACACAGTAGTGCTGTTTGGAATGGCCCTGATCTGTGCCCGCCCAAAGTGAGATGCCGCGCTTTCACCAGCAGCCGGCCTCAGAGCTTACCTCTGTTCAGTGGACTTCAGTGTGGTTTGGATATTTTGGTTTTGGCAGTAAGAATTTCTCAGCAAAGGAAGCAGTCTGTTGACTTACACTCAGACACTGTAGCCTCGTCTTGTTCACTAGTCATCTCTCCTCAGCATGCAGCCTGGTGACTTAGAGGAGACTTGCTCTGGGCTGGCTATGAAAATTAGCCTAGCAATGAGTCTAAGGACAGCAAATATGGACCAGACAAAGACTGGTATGGGATGGTTACTTTTACACTTTAGTTTTACCTGGCAGAGCGAGGTGACTTCTTGGCACTTGTAGAAAGGTCTGAGACAAGGCAGTGGGTCCTAGCCTTGGGTTTCCTCTCACAAGAGAACAGAGGCAGAATGAAGGCCTGGTTCAATGAGCCTAGAATGCTCTGGGCAGAGCGGGGCCAATGTAGGGGAGTCTTGGTGCAAGAATCTCTTTTTGTGGGTGGAGCATAAGTATAGTGCCTTACCTCTTCTTTTTTCTTTTCTATTTTAAAAAATGATTGTTTTAACCTGAAATTTTAAATGATGCCTGGTAAACAACATGGTCTTAAGTTTGATTTTTGGGTCCCTCCCAAAAATATTTTTGAACTTTTATGATTCTTGTTAGTAATTTCAAGCATGATGGCCTTCTTTAGAGATGAGATTGCTGGACGTTAAACACGGGGCCTTGAACATAATAAGTAAGCATGCTCTGATTACCCTAGCCCACAGCAGTCTTGTTTTGTTACTACAATTAGAAATGAGAGTCAGACAAGGTGGTATATGCCTGTAATCCCAGCACTCAGGAGGCTGATACAGGAGGACTGCTGGAGTTTGAAGCCAGCCTGGACTACAGTGTGAGTTCATGGCCAGCCAGAACTGTATAATGAAACCTTATCTCAAAAAAGAGAGAGAAAGATACAGAATTTGTCTGTTTATCTGTTAAGATTATATCATATGTTATATATCCTAATTTAAGATTGTATCCTAAGTTAACATTGTATCCTATGTGATTTTAGACTTGCAGCCTCTAGAACTGTCAGAAATAATTATCTGTTGTTTATTAATACCCAGCCTATGACTATGGTAGTTTTTTTTTTTTTTTTTATAGTAGCTGGAAGTGACTGGGAGAGGGAGACTGCTAACAACATAAAGCCTCCTCATCTAGATGAGCATGAAACTAGATTCCACAGTGCTTAAAAATAGATAATACTAAGACATGCTTACAGAGATGACTACTCACAAACAGGTGCCTATTTCACTCGATCACAAATGGGTGGAGAATCTGCCAAAACTGCCAAAATAAGTGAGCATGATACTTAGAGACAGATTAACATCCATAGTAACAGGGACTGGCGGTAAAACGAAGCAGGTATGACAAAAAAACAACTTGGAATCTAGTAAATGAAACAGACCTTAGCTAGAATGATACAGTCTGTTGTGGACATGGTCAAAGACGGAGCATTGGCAGTAAGTCACCAAAGGTGAGCCAGATTGCAGCAAGAGAGGCAAAATGAGAAAAATTCAAGGCCCTCAATTCAGGCAGGCCTAGAGGCAGGTCCACCTATTGATGTGATAGGTGTGTGAATAGAATTGATTTGATTTTTGACTTAGAGTAATTAGAGTCTACTTTTCTTCTACCTGCCCCAGAATCTTTCTGATAAAAGATTCCATTAGAGAGAGGGCACACTCTGTCAGGAATGGTACTTATTAGGTGACCTGACAGTGAGCTCTTGCTTATCACCATGGCCGATGCCAGTTAGTACCTCGATCAGGGCCGTGTTGGCATCTACAGGAGAAATCTGTACCACAGGGAAGAGCTCACACTTAGTAGAGAACATGACAGAAGTCTAGATGGCCGGCTGGCCAATACCCTTTCCCCTACTGCTTCGCATCCACAAGTCCCATTCCTGAAGGTTGGCTTTGGGCCTATGAAGATGTCTCAACACTGGCTGGAACTCTGTCAGATTTTAAGACACATTTGGATGATTTTTACCTGGTTGGCAGGCAGGAGCAAGCAGACCCTATGTTAGTGGCCTTGGTGAGGGGGCATTTGAGTGTGAGGAGACAATCCTGCATGGCAGGTCCAGGGAGCAGAGCCTGTGTTGTTGGCCTGGGGAAAGGACCTTACCTTGTTGGCCTGGGGGAAGAAGGGGCCTTCAGTTGGTCTGGATATGAGAATCATGTGTTGCTAGCTGGGAAAGAGAAGGCTCTGCTGGCCTGGGGAGAAGAATCTCTATGTTGTTATCTGGGGAGCCACCATGGTTTTGGCCTGGTGAAGGGCCCTGTGTTTTTGGCTGGAGGAGTCCGCTATGCTGAGCTGGGTGGGGGAGGCAAATAGAAGTCCTAATTCAAATACCATGGACTCCTGGCCTTATTCCTGATATTTCTTGAATAGATAATTTCCTCATTTGCTGTTATCCTTTGAGCCATTTCCAGAAGCTTTGAAGAGTGGTTTTCATCATTTCAGGTCTCCCTGGGGAGCAGGCTGCAAAGTTCCTGCCAGGCTAAGTTCGGCTCACCCACAGTCGTGATTTTTTGGAGAAGAAAAACTAGTTTAAAAGAAATTTTGCTCTTTTCCAGTGCTTTCTGTGGCAGTGTCATCTCTATTTCTCTCTCACTTTACTTGCCCAATCTCACTGTGGCTCACATAGGCACATGAGTCGTGGTCTGGTTAAAGCAGACTTCATGGGCCTGTGCTTTCTGTGATGAGATTGACTGTGAGCTGCAAACAATTGCTACCAGTGCCCTGTAAGAGCATCGCCTGTTTTAAACTAGCTTTCTAGAATTATCTAGCTCAAGCACATGTTCTTTTGAAGGACTGATTATTTATCCGGTAGATCTTTATTCTTGTCTTTTAAAGGAAAAGCACCTAAAGCCAGAAACACTGGCAGATGATTTTACTTATTTCAGAGTTGCTTTGCTCCAAATTCACATTGCTCAATTCAGTTCATTTGTGGTATCTGTGAACCGGTGTCATAACACAAGGTTTAGCACAGAACAGTGCTGCAGGACTCCTGCAGCTTCTCTCTGCCTTTTGCAAGATCTCCTACACTGCTGCATGCATAGTGTTTTGAGAATGCCTTTACAGAGAATACAAAAGGCTTCCTAGTCCTAGCAGTAAGCCCATTCTTCATAGTTGACTTTGCTCCAATGATTCAGGGAGACTATAGGGACTAAGGGAAAATCAGAATAGAGAGGGGACTAGAATTGGATAGTGACCTTCTAGGCCTTTTTTCCTTGATTTCTCTAAGGGCTCTAGGTCTCAGATCTGTGACTGACTTACAAATGTCTTCAGATGCTTCATTTTGGGATGCCAATTGAGGAAAATGCTTTTATTTCCTGAAGTCTAAAGAGGTGGACCTGGACACTCATTATCCCCTGCTGTGCTTTCAGCAGTGCCAGGGTGGAGGGAAGTCAGATGGCCTGGGTTAGACTCTCATTCCATTGGGAATACCTATGTCACCTTACGGCAAATGGTTGATCTCCATTTCTCTGGAGGAGAATGGGAATCCTTTGCCATGTATCTTGAGATTGGGCTGCCTGTGTGTGTGGACTATGAGGCCAATGGAAGTCTTGCTTAAGAGGTTTTTTTTTTTTTTAATTTATTCATGTATGTGTTGATTTATTCCTTTACTTTGCTGCTTTGCAGGAGTCTTCAACGCTTGCAAAAGAGCTCAACATTTGCAGGGAACAGCTGCTTGAGAAGGAAAAAGAAATTGCTGAACTGAAAGCAGAAAGGAACAACATGAGGGTCAGTGGAGCTCTGGTTTAAGTGTTTTGTGCTTTTTCCTTCTGTAGAGTGTGTTCAGTATTAAATGTTGCTTAAAATTTGTGATAGAAGGCAAAGCATGGTGGCATATGCCTTCAATCCCAACATTCTGAGCCAGGAATGTCTTGAGTTAGAGGTCAGCCTGGGCTAGCTAGTAAGTCCTCAAGCCAGCCTAGACTACAAAATGAGACCTTCTTGTTAATAAAAGAAATTAGTGATGGAAATTCATGACATTCGAATACAATTGAGGGAAATTTACCTAACTCTACTGAATTGTAGGAATTTGAACTTGTTTGACCATGAGATTATGAAGGATTTGAATGTGAAATTGAAGGTGCTCTTTACACGCCCCCTTTGGCCTGGTTTCAGCTGCTCCTGGAACATCTGGAGTTCCTTGTCTCCAGGCATGAACGCTCTCTCGAAACGACTGTGATGAAGCGGCAGGCGTGGTGTCCTGCAGGTGTGTCCACAGAGATGGAAGTGCTAAAAGCACTGACATCCTTGTTTGACCACCACAAGACCCTGGACGAAAAGGTACATGAGCTACACTAGTGGTTCTGGGTTCTTACACTTGCTGGGTTCATGGCAGACTTTGCATGTGTTTGTTTACCTTTAAGGTTTGCTAAGTTTTTGAGTTCTTGTAAACAGACTTTCTGTATTAAAAGGCAATGTTCTGCATAATCAACAAACACTAACTGGAATGTGAGTCTTCAAGTGATTATTTCTGAATATTGACTGCCCATTAAGAACTGGATAGTGTTCATTTATTTAGGAACAAGAGTTTCCCGGCCTTAATATTTAAAGCCATTAACAAGGACATTTTCTTGACAGTACTAGCAATGAAAGACATTGAAAGTACTTTATTATATGCCTTTCATCAATATCAGGATAACTATATGGAAAGTGTGCGTATGCATATAAAAACTCAACTCTTTTCAGGTGCGAGAGCAATTACGTGTAGCACTGCAAAGGTGCAGCTTGCTGGAAGAGGAACTGGGCGCCACGCAGAAGGAGGTAATTGTGGGACATCATCCTAGCCCTGAAAAGGGAAAATTATTTTATTTTAATCTCTTAAAAAAACAGTGTGAAGCCTGTAATACTTTTGGATTAGATTTTTATTTCAGATTGCAAGAATCTCTAAATTTGTTGTCAAGCAGTCAGTACATTCTGTTTCTAGTAATCTGGTTCTGCTATGGATGGTCAGCTTTGGCATGTACTGTCTTTTTTATACTATGTTCAGCACTGTAGAATTATGTTTTTCCAAATGGAATTTTGCTGTCTTTACTCATTACTCTTCCATAAGTTATTGTAGTCTCATACTCAGTTTTCGATTGTAGCTAATGACTCTTAAAAAACAGAATGATCAGAAAAAATCACCAAGAGATGGAGTGCTTGACCATGAAGAAGAAGAAACACCAAGCACTAGTGGAAAGGTAAGTCCTTGAGATCTCTCTTTGTTCTGTTGCTGATTTCTTATATTTTGTGGTTCGTGTGTGATGCTGTTTGGATGCTGTTGCTGGAATGGCCTGCTTCCAGCTAAAGTGATTGTTGAGAGTCCTATCATCCAACAGATGGCATAAATCCATTTTGATAGTCCCTATGTTCAAAAGTATTTTATTTGGTAGTACACTAAGGTTATTTAAGAGTGTCCATTTTACCCATCAGAGATCTTCTGCTGGCTCCTTAAGCCATGAGGAAGACCTTGCCAAAATAATTGTGCTCCAAGAAGTCATACACAAACATTCAAAAGAGCAGAGTCAGATGAAGGAGCTCCTGGCTGCACTTTCCAGCCATGTGTCAGAGCTGCAAGAAAATCTTGACACAGCAAGAAAGGATCTCATCAAGTCTGAAGAGATGAACAAGAAATTGGAACAAGATGTTCATGAAATAAGTGATAAAAATTACAGGGTTGTCATAATGTTGAGTGCTTGGAGTGTTAAGGATAATGATTCCTTTTTTTTTTTTTTGTCCTTTCCTTGGTCGGTTATTTTCAGCATTTGCACTGTTGAATGAGTATAAATATGAATAATACAACACAGTATTGCTGTCAGATCGTGACATACCGCCTCCCCCTGGTTGAGAAATTTCTCCTTTTCTGTGGTCTTTTAAAAAGGTAGAGGAGAACTTGCCCAGCTTTTCCCACTTAGTTTATGGGAGTTTGTCCTCCACCCTCATGTGGATTCTTCATCTTTGCAGCTTCTTGGCTGTCATCATGTGTTCTTCTTTATGTTCAGCTTCTCAAGTACATGCACTCCTTAAACAAGGATTTTCAGTACTAGTTGTGCTTTGAGTTCGCTAAAGAGATGTGAGTATTCTCTGGGACTGTGGCAAAGGGAGCATTATCAGGTGTCTTCTAATTTTTTCATATTTTTCCTCAGGCACAGAGGTATGGTATTGAATTTTGGATGTTACATCAGCTCTAATGTGTGAATAGTTTTTGGGTAGTTTAGGCTTTGTGCTTATCTTGCCTATGAGATCTCATTTCATGTGAAATTGTATTTACAACATTCTGCTTTGCACCTGTACTTGTATCTTTGGTTTTATTTCTCTTGCTATACATTTTACTTTTTAGTGGCATTCTTAGCCAGAATATAATCAAATTAAGCAAGTCATTTTAGTGGAATGTTCAGTGTCAGCAGTCTGTTTTGTGACATTTGGATGTATTTATAATTTATACTGTTAACTAACTGAGCAATATTTTTCTTTTCTTTTCCTGTTTTTTTTTTTGACATATTGGGTTTGAACCTAGGGTTTCTCACATACTAGGCAAGCACCAAACCACTCACCAAACCATTTTCTTTTCTTTTTTCTTTTCTTTTGGTACTATGAATTGAACTCATGATGTTCTGCTTGACAGGCAAGTGCTATGCCGTGGAGCTATATCCCTGACCCTTTTTCTTCTTTTCAAACTTATTTTATTTATTAGTGTTTGGTTTTTTGAAAAAAGGATCTTGTGGTGTAATTCAAGCTGGCCTTGAACTCATGGCAGTTCTCCTGCCTCAGCCTCTCACATGCTGGGATTACAGACATGTGGCACCAAGCCTGGCATTGTATTTTCATCTTTTTGACAATCTCATTTATCAGTTGTGTCCTTCTTTCCAGTATTTGTAAAAGAAGTGCAGCAACACATCTGTAATCCCAGCTACTTGTGGACTGAAGTGGGAGGTTTGCCAGTTTAAGGTCAGCCTGGGCAATTTAGGAAGACACTGACTCAAAAAGAGCTGAGTATCCCAAGCATAGTGGGTGAACCCTATCTTTCTAGCTACCCAGGAGACTGAGGCAGACAATCATAAGTTCAAGGGTAGGCTGCCCAATTTAGCAAGACCTTGTTTTGAAATTAAAAGGAAAAAAATATGGGACCATAGCTCAGTGTTAGAGTACCCCTGCCTTCTATTCCCAGTACCACACACAACCACGGAGGAAAACTCTTTCTTCCTGGTTCTCTAATTCAGCATGCTGGCTGACGGTCTGTGTGCTTCCATTGTTGGTTTTGATTTCTTATGCCACCCTTGTGTTTGTTTTATTTTAACCATCTCCAGATTCAATTCTAATCCAGGCCTCAGGTCCCTATCAATTTGTAGTTTGTCCATGAAGCTCCCCTCTCAGCCCCTCCCCATTCTGTGATGGCTCTGCACAGCTAACCAGGCAAGCACGTGTGAGTCTGAGCTGGATTATGACTGATTAGTGGGGCTTGGGGTTTTTGTCATTAAAAATGTATTTTGCTCAGTAGTGATCAATTATATTTAATATATAATTTGTCAATGTGGTTACAAGCAAGATATAATTGGTTGAATGTTTTTCCTTAGATTGTACAGGATCTGCATGATTCATGAGTGAAGTATTCCCTAGGTTAAAAAATAATCTGGGCTCACTGCAGTGGCACATGCCTGTAATGCCAGCTACTGGGGAAGCTAAGAAGGAGGATTTTAAGTCTGAGGCCAGCATGAGAAGTTTAGCAATGTGCTATGTCAAAATAAAAATATAAACGTGGCTGGCAGTGTAGTTTGTTGAGTGGCCCAGCTGGATTCAACCCTGCATACTGCAGGAGCAAGGGGAGGGGCCACTGCTGAGTGTAAAATTTATGGGAACTTTATACAGACAATACGAATCAGATTTTATTGATTATAATCAGAATTCTAAATCTCATCAACTTATAGGGCATATGCTATAGTCTTTAATGGACTACTTTTTAATTAAAATGCCTCCTATCTAGTACTGTGCTAGCTTTTATTGTTACGTATTTTAGGATGCCTAGCTTTCTTTCTTTTTTTTTTTTTTTCCATTCCATTCCACTCCTTTGTATTCCACAGTATCTCGGATGGAATCTAGGCCTGTGCACTGAGATACACACATGACCCTTTTTTTTTCAGTATTATTTTTTATTGTGAGACAGGATCGTGCTAAATCACCAAGATGAGCTCAAACTTGGCAGCCTTCCTGCCTCAGCCTACCAGAGTGCTGTGATTTCATGTGTATGCCACTGCACGAGGGATAAATGATATATTTTAGGAAGTTGTAAATCATATTCTAGGTGAAGATTTTACTGCATTGCACAAAAAATGATTAACTAAAAATAAGTTTGTTCAGTTTTTTGTGTTTTTCTGAGACAGGATGACACCATGCAGTTCAGGCTGGCTTTGAACTCATGTAGTGCAGGTTGGCAGTTCTCCAGGCTTAGCTTCACAAATGCGGGGATTACAAGTCTGCACCACCATGCCTGGCTCTTCAGTTTTATAATAGATGTTGCTGTAACATCCTTGTCATCATGGGAATATTAGAGAGTAGGTGGTTATCAGGGCCCTTTGTTCTATACAGTGTCTTGCTTTAAATCGCATGTGTTCAAATAGAATGTGCTCTTTGAGTAGTAATTTATAGTGTTTTCTAATAAATCTTGGATAACTTAGATTTAAATTTGTGATAAAAGATTATTTGATTTCCAGTTATATTTTCTCTAAATCCTGTCTCTCTTATTTCTGTCTTGTCCTTCATATTGTAATATATTTGCCTGAGTAGATCCTTGAATTTTTAGCTTTAAATCGTGTCATAAATCTGGTGTCTATTTCTTTGCATGCGTCTTGTTAGCCTAGCAACTTAAGGAAACATCATAGAAAGGTAAATTTTCCAGTAAGTGAGCATAGCTTTGTATCTCCCTAATGCATGGAAGAGTATAGTATGTCACACATAAGTGTAATGTTGTCAATATATTGCAATGAATAAGTGATGTTTCATTGGAAATGTTTAAACTGACCTGCCACATCACAAGTTACTGTTCTCTTGGCAATCAGCCATCCATGGAACATGGGGACAGATGTCAGTGTTTGCTTCACTCAGTGCTTTTGCCTCTAACCATTGCATGCATGTGTATAATAGACATAGAATTTAGGATTTGAAAGGATGGAATGATTGAAGCAGAGCCATAGGCTTTAGATTGAGGAAAACTAGTTTTTTTCTGATATGGAAGGCTAGAACTTAGTAAGCACTGCTCTCTGCCAGGTGCCAAATGCTTGGGCATTTTTTTGCTATATTTAGTCCACAAACACATCCCTGTGAGAAACCAGTTGCTGTGCTTGCCCCCAATTACAGATGTGGAAACTGAAATTTAGATCACATGATGTGCAGAGCAGGTAGGAGTTAAGTGTGTTTTGATTTCAAAACCAGGACCATTTCTCCCTTGGGCCTAGATTTGTCAAGATGCTCTGATCTGCTGGGAGTCTCCCTCTCAGAGTAAAACTTGAAAGTAAAAGCAGTACCCTGGGAGCAGTGGGGATTGTGGGGTTTTCTTTCTGTCCATCTAGAAGCTCCCCCTAATGCCTGCTGCCTCTGGCCCTGTGCCATGCCCGCTTCATGCTTCCTGCCTTCCTGGTGGTACACTTGTGGGGCAGTGCTGCTGCAGGTGCCAAGTAGTGATTGTCCTCAGCAGCTGTGTGCGAGCTTCTCTATGTGGCTGAGCAGAAGGGAAATTTACTAAGGACACGGGTACAGATCCTCACTCTGTTGCTGATTAGTTCCTGGCCTGGGAGCTGTTCCTTGGCCCAGTGGAACCATGGCTTGCTCTCTTGTAAGTGAGGTAGTGATCCACACAGTAGTGCTGCTTGGAATGGCCCTGATCTGTGCCTGCCCAAAGTGAGATGCCGCGCTTTCACCAGCAGCCGGCCTCAGAGCTTACCTCTGTTCAGTGGACTTCAGTGTGGTTTGGATATTTTGGTTTTGGCAGTAAGAATTTCTCAGCAAAGGAAGCAGTCTGTTGACTTAGACTCAGACACTGTGGCCTCCTCTTGTTCACTAGTCATCTCTCCTCAGCATGCAGCCTGGTGACTTTGAGAAGACTTGCTCTGGGCTGGCTGTGAAGATTAGCCTAGCAGTGAGTCTAAGGACAGCAAATATGGGCCAGACAAAGAGCGATATGGGATGGTTACTTCTTCATTTCAGTTTTACTGGGCAGACTAAGGTGACTTCTTGGCACTTGTAGAAAGGTCTGAGACAAGGCAGTGGGCCCTAGCCTTGTGCTTTCCTCCCACAAGAGAACAGAGGCAGAATGAAGACCTGGTTCAGTGAGCCTGGAAGGCTCTGGGCAGAGCAGGGGCTAGTGTAGGGGAGTCTTGGTGCAAGAATCTCTTTTTGTGGGTGGAGCATACGTATAGTGCCTTACCTCTTCTTTTTTCTTTTCTATTTTAACAAATGATTATTTTAACGTGAAATTTAAATGATGCCTGGCAAACAATGTCCTAAGTTTGATTTCTTTTTCCCTCCCAAAAAGTTTTTTTGAACTTTTATGATTCATGTTGTTGATTTCAAGCTTGATGGACTTTTTTAGAGATGAGATTGCTGGCGGTTAAACACAGGGCCTCAAACAAGCTAAGTAAGTGAGCTCTGGTTACCCCAGCCCCCGACAGTCTTTTGTTTTGTTACTACAATTAGAAATGAGAGCCAGACAAGGTGATATATGCCTGTAATCCCAGCACTCAGGAGGCTGATAAGGGAGGACTGCTGGAGTTTGAAGCCAGCCTGGGCTATCATGTGAGTTCATGGCCAGCCAGAACTGTATAATGAAACCTTATCTCAAAAAAAAGAGAGAAAGATACAGAATTTATCTGTTAAGATTATATCCTAGCGGGCTGGAAGTTTAGCTCAGCAGCATAAACGCCTGCCTTGTAAGCAGGCAGTCGTGAGTTCGATCCCCAGCACCAATAAAAAGGAAAAAGACAAAAAAAAAATTATATCCTAAATGCTCTCAGCTCACACTAGTCTAGGTGGTCTTCAGTGAGCTGCTACAGGACTATAATGGAATCTGTATCCTTTATACCATTGTACAGATAAATAAATTAACTATTCACCACTTGTTGTTCACCATGAATGTTTCATGAAATCTAGTCCTGCTTCAAAACCCGAAAATAACAACCTTCTAAACAGGGCCTAACCAGACCCTGAAAGAGTTCACATATGCACTATTTCCACAGTCCTGCCTTCCTCAACACATAGGCATACTCATGGGCCATCCCCTAAAAGAAATCCCAGGGTCTGCGTGACCCTCTTTTAATAATATACCCAGGATTATTATTTTTTTTTATTTAAGGAGAAAAAGAAAAAAAAAAAAACAGAAAAAGGATACAAGTGATACAGAATTTCAAAAAAAAAAAATAAACAGTAGGAAGTCACTAGTTAATAGATTACATACTGTCATCTTAGAAATGGTTGTTCAGATTACAAAATTAAAGCATATAAAGTAGACATTCAAACTGTGAGACTACAAACAATTCTGTTCAATGATCCCACAAAAACTTAGCAATATGGTTATCTATCTTATACACTTAAATATACATGCAATTATATCCTTTAGAGCACTTTCTTTTCCTCTCTTTTTTACTATGACAATTATACATTTTGGGTTTTATTACTCCCACAGTTCTTATTACTTTCTATTTGAAGAGAATAAAATCCAATGTGACATAACAAAACAGAGTCAGTCAAATCAAAAGAATGGATATAGTACATAATATAAAAACGGAAGACAAAGTGATGATCATTGGTTACCATAATGCCTCTTGCTATCTTAAAAAGAATTGCCTATATCATCATTTATAATAAAACTGAAAACATTAAAGAACAAAACCAATAAAAGCAAAACATTGGAGACATTGCAGGACTTCAAAAAAAGATAATATGCAAACCCAAAACCCAGGATTATTTTATGAAGCCACATGGAAGTAGGGTTTTAGGCTGCATGCAAATGCTTCTGCTCATAACATTTGGTCCACACAGTGAGAAACAGAAGCCACACACATGCATATTTGGGTCTTCGCTCATGCTGTCCTTGTCTTGTTTCTTGCTAGAGGTAAAAGTATTGACAGTTTCCCTGAGGCTTCGGCCCCCATTAGTGTTCCTTTGAGTGACATCAGTAACTGAAGATATGTGTCACAGGCTCTTCAGTAATGAGAGTAACTTTGTTAACCTGAAGTGATAAAGTGCAGTGAACAGGCTTCGTTTAGGACTTCACTGTCCCTCAGTAACTATCCTCAGAGGTACCTGAGGTTGTACGGAGAACAGAATCTTGAAGGGGGGGTGATGCTGTCCCTGGGCTTCCCGGGGCTTCCATGAAGGAAGGCTATAGGTCAGCCTGCCCTGCTCTCTCTCTGCTATGTGGTCCATTTCCCCCAGACAAACAGGCCTTCAGGTTGGCATTCAATTAAAATGAGACTTCTCAGGACAGGTAGAAAGTTTAGCTAATAGGTTTTGAGTCAGTTTATGTTATTTAAAGCCTATGTGATGTGTTTTCTTATAATGTACTGTTAGCTGATGTTGTTTTTTCACTCCTCAGTTGCTAGCTTGCAGAGAAGAAGAACGAGATGACAAGACAACGATAAAATGTGAAACTTCCCCTCTCTCCTCTCCGAAGTCCCTTCAGCTAGACAGGCTGCACACGGGGGCGTTGCAAATAGTCAGCCACGAGGACATCAGGGACATGCAAAAGTAAGGAGCAGGTCTCGTAGGCCACCAGACCCCTGAGAAACCTGCTTGTCTTAGTTTTTAAGAACATCTATTAATCTTTTCCTGTGAGAAAAACCAAGTTTTTAAAGAATTCTCAGCAAGCTCATTTGGTTGTGATTATTTAAACGTTAGACCTAGAATGTGTTCTCCTGTTCTGAGGCTGTAGTGACATCCAGTGGAAAAGGCCATCTGTTTGGGCAAAGTTTAGAAAGAATAGGAATTATTTGAAATTAGCACTTGAGAGAAAAGCTCCATTTCTTCAGATCCCACACACTCACTTCTTTTAAGAACTTTCTTTCTATTCCTGGTGAAGAATTTGCCACACGGATGTGGCAGGTTCTGGATCGTGCTATTCTGTGGACAATCGGTGCCTCTCAGGTACCCTCCCACACTCTGGGTCTTCTAAGCTCTTGAGAGTCACACATTGTCCCTATCCCTTTAGGAAGCATGTTCCATCAGGAGGCCATGAAGGCTTGGTTACTTATAGACTGTTGTTTTCCACACTTGCTCTTAGAAGCTTTTGTTCCATACCAGGCAGTATGATCAAGCAGGCACATTGGTCTCCACAGTGTCCTGAGAGATAGTACAGCTCTCACTTTGCAGGAGAGCAGGATCCAAGGAACCAGCCTGCAGGAGCTGCTGAGAGGGAAGGTGGAATTCCAGTTCTTCTGGCTTCTGAGACCTTGTTCTCTTTCCTGAGGGCTGAGTGTAAACCTCACTGGCTGAGCAAGGCCCCTGCAGAGGGTGTTCCCTTAGATGTCCAAACCAGGCAGGCTAGAGTACAGGCCTCCTCTGAGCAGGGAGCAACATCAGAGTCTTGGCTTTCCAGACATAGGTCTGTGGAAGCATGACTGGGACCCTGCATTGCTATGCATAGTGTGCTGTGGGTAAGAGACTGGAAAGGATCTTCAGGGAGTTGAAGTAGGAATATTAAAAATGCAGACTGTTTTGGTACATGTGAGTGGACTGTGGAGTTCTAAAGAGGGCAGGTGGTAAAAGTCCATTTTCTTTCCTTCAAGATCAAAAAGTGCCCAGGATGGTCCTGTGAGCAATCCCAATAGCAGTGACAGCAGGCAGGACTCGCCCCACAAAGCCCCAAAGAAGAAGGGCATCAAGTCCTCCATTGGTCGTTTGTTTGGCAAAAAGGAAAAGGGTCGGCCTGGACAAACTGGCAAAGAATCACCAGGACAAGGTGGGTGGGGTTTCGGCAGCTGTCCTAACTGCTGGGAATGGGAGAACGTGAACTTTGTCCTGTGTGCCTGCCGCAGGTGCGCAGTGCCCACGTGGAGTCATGGCTGAGGGTTCTCCAGAAAAGCCCAGTCTGCTTTCTCAGTCTGCCCATGTGTGAACCAAAGCAGAGCAGTGGACATTCATTTGGCGTGAATGAATAACCCTCATAAGTGCTACTTTACACTCTTGAACATTTGTATGTGTTTGCTTGGAAGCTTACCCTTCAGAAATTATTTAGCTCTCTAGCTGCAGAACCTTCAACCTATTTGTGAAACATATAACTTTGCCATGTTAATTTACTGTAAATTTGGGGGCTTTTCTGATTTTTTAATAGCTGTTCTTTCTGAAACAGAAACCTCATCTCAGGATGCGTTCCGACATAGCAAATTGGGAGGAAAGGATGAAAAAAATCGTCAACTTCAAAAACAGTAAGCTTTTTGTTATTTCTCCATCTCATGAAACATTTTTCTGAGTTAACAGTCATTCTTAGCTGATTTTAAGTGTAATTTCTAGCTATGTAAATACATTGTCTTTTGAAAGATGAACCTAAAGCAGTGATAGAGCTTTCAGTGATACAAAGAGCTTGCTGCAGCATGCACACCATAGGTTTGCCTCCATTGACCTAAAGCCTGTTTTAAGCCATCATGTCTGGTGAACAGAGGACATTTGGAAATCTTGACTGAATTCACACATGTATTCTCAGTCTACCTTTTCAGAGTTGTCTCCCAGGATGATAGAATGGGTAATAGTTAGGCTTGGCCATTTGAGCTCTGGCCGCTGAATCCTGGTTAATTCTCTAGTTAGCTGTGTGTCTCTGACAAAGTTACTTATCCTGTGCTTCAGTTTTCTCAACTGTCAAATGGCAGTTACAGTTGTTCATACATCATGTGGCTGTTTTTCAGTTCAATAGAATTATATATGTGCATGTATATGTTTTATAACATGGACACAATTCCTAAATAAGTTACAATTACAGTCAGGCTTCTGAGACCTTGTTTTCTTTCCTGTTGACTGAGTGCATCCCTCAGTGCCTGAGCAAGGCCCCTGCAGAGGGTGTTCCCTTATGTGTCCAAACAAGGCAGGCTAGAGTACAGGCCTGCTCTGAGCAGGGAGCACATCAGAATCTTGGCTTTCCAGACACAGGTCTGTGGAAGCATTACTGGGACCCTGCATCACAATGCATATTGTACTGTGTGTAAGAGACTCGAAACGTTTTTTAGGAAGTTGAAGGTAGGAATATTAAAAATGCAGACTGTTCTTGTACGTGTGAATGGACTGTGGATCTGGGAAGAGGGTGGTAAAAATCCATTTTATTTCTTTGAAGCTCAACAGGCTCCCAGGAAGGTCCTGTGAACAATCCCAGTACCAGTGACAGCAGGCAGGATGCGCTCCACAAAGCCCCAAAGAAGAAGAGCATCAAGTCCTCCACTGGTCGTTTGTTTGGCAAAAAGAAAAAGGGTCCGCCTGGACAAACTGGCAAAGAATCACCAAGACAAGGTGGGCCGGTTTTAGGCAGCTGTGCTAACTGCTGGGATTTGGAGAGCATGAGCTTTTTCCTATGTACCTGCCACAGGTGTCCAGTGCCCACAAGGAATCATGGCTGAGCATTCTCCAGACAGCCCAGTCTGCCCACATGTGAACCAGAGCAGAGCAGTGGACATTCATTTGGCGTGAATGAATAACCCTCTTATATGCTAATTTATACGCTTGAACATTTATATGTGTTTGCTCGGAAGCTTACACTTCAGAAATGATTCAGCTCTCTACCTGCAGAATCTTCTTCCTATTTGTGAAACATATAACTTTGCCATGTTAATTTACTCTAAATTTGGTGAATTTTCTTCTTTTTTGTAGCTGTTGTTTCTGAAACAGAAAACTCATCTCAGGATGCCTTCCAACTTAGCAAATTGGGAGGAAAGGATGAAAAAAATCATCAACTTCAAAAACAGTAAACTTTTTGTTATTTCTCCATCTCATGAAATATTTTTCTGAGTTAACAGTCATTCTTAGCTGATTTTAAGTGTAATTTCTAGCTATGTAAATACATTGTCTTTTGAAAGATGAACCTAAAGCAGTGATAGAGCTTTCAGTGATACAAAGAGCTTGCTGCAGCATGCACGCCATAGGTTTGCCTCCACTGACCTAAAGCCTGTTTTAAGCCATCATGTCTGGAGAACAGAGGACATTAGGAAGTCTTGACTGAATTCACACATGTATTCTCAGTCTACCTTTTCAGAGTGTTCTCCCAGGATAATAGAATGGGTAATAGTTAGGCTTGGCCATTTGAGCTCTGGCCGCTGAATCCTGGTTAATTCTCTAGTTAGCTGTGTGTCTCTGACAAAGTTACTTATCCTGTGCTTCAGTTTTCTCATCTGTCAAATGGCAGTTACAGTTGTTCGTACATCATGTGGCTGTTTTTCAGTTCAATAGAATTATATATGTGCATGTATATGTTTTATAACATGGACACAATTCCTAAATAAGTTACAATTACAGTCAGGCTTCTGAGACCTTGTTTTCTTTCCTGTTGACTGAGTGCATCCCTCAGTGCCTGAGCAAGGCCCCTGCAGAGGGTGTTCCCTTATGTGTCCAAACAAGGCAGGCTAGAGTACAGGCCTGCTCTGAGCAGGGAGCACATCAGAATCTTGGCTTTCCAGACACAGGTCTGTGGAAGCATTACTGGGACCCTGCATCACAATGCATATTGTACTGTGTGTAAGAGACTCGAAACGTTTTTTAGGAAGTTGAAGGTAGGAATATTAAAAATGCAGACTGTTCTTGTACGTGTGAATGGACTGTGGATCTGGGAAGAGGGTGGTAAAAATCCATTTTATTTCTTTGAAGCTCAATAGGCTCCCAGGAAGGTCCTGTGAACAATCCCAGTACCAGTGACAGCAGGCAGGATGCGCTCCACAAAGCCCCAAAGAAGAAGAGCATCAAGTCCTCCACTGGTCGTTTGTTTGGCAAAAAGAAAAAGGTTCTGCCTGGACAAACTGGCAAAGAATCACCAAGACAAGGTGGGCCGGTTTTAGGCAGCTGTCCTAACTGCTGGGATTGGGAGAGCCTGAGATTTTTCCTATGTGCCTGCTGCAAGTGTCCAGTGCCCACGAGGAGTCATGGCTGAGCGTTCTTCTGACAGCCCAGTTTGCCCACATGTGAAACAAAGCAGAGCAGTGGAAATTCATTTGGCTTGAATGAATAACCCTCTTATATGCTAATTTATACTCTTGAACATTTATATGTGTTTGCTCGGGAGCTTACCCTTCAGAAATTATTCAGCTCTCTACCTGCAGAATCTTCTTCCCATTTGTGAAACATATAACTTTGCCATGTTAATTTACTCTAAATTTGGGGGCTTTTCTTCTTTTTTGTAGCTGTTGTTTCTGAAACACCAAACTCATCTCAGGATGCCTTCCAACTTAGCAAACTGGGAGGAAAGGATGAAAAAAATCGTCAACTTCAAAAACAGTAAGCTTTTTGTTATTTCTCCATCTCATGAAACAGTTTTCTGAGTTAACAGTCATTCTTAGCTGATTTTAAGTGTAATTTCTAGCTATGTAAATACATTGTCTTTTGAAAGATGAATCTAAAGCAGTGATAGAGCTTTCAGTGATACAAAGAGCTTGCTGCAGCATGCACGCCATAGGTTTGCCTCCATTGACCTAAAGGCTGTTTTAAGCCATCATGTCTGGAGAACCAAGGACATTTGGAAATTTTGACTTAACTCACACATTCATTCTCAGTCTCCCTTTGCAGACTTGTCTGCCTAGTGGACAGAGTGGTTAAGAGTTAGGCTTAGACATTTGAGCTCTGGCCGCTGAATCCTGGTTAATTCTCTAGTTAGCTGTGTGTCTCTGACAAAGTTACTTAGCTTGTGCTTCAGTTCTCTAAACTGTCAAATGGCAGTTACAGTTGTTCATACATCATGTGGTTTTTTTTCAGTTCAATAGAATTATATATGTGCACGTATATGTTTTAAAACATGGACACAGGTCCTAAATAAGTTACAATTATAGTCAGGCTTCTGAGACCTTGTTCTCTTTCCTGTTGACTGAGTGCATCCCTCAGTGCCTGAGCAAAGCCCCTGCAGAGGGTGTTCCCTTCTGTGTCCAAACCAAGCAGGCTAGAGTATAGGCCTGCTCTGAGCAGGGAGCACATCAGAATCTTGGCTTTCCAGACACTGGTCTGTGGAAGCATTACTGGGACCCTGAATCACAATGAATATTGTATTGTGTGTAAGAGAGTTGAAAAATTCTTTAGGAAGTTGAAGGTAGGAATATTAAAAATGCAGACTGTTCTTGTACGTGTGAATGGACTGTGGAGCTGTGAAGAGGGTGGTAAAAGTCCATTTTCTTTCCTTCAAGCTCAACAGGCTCCCAGGATGGTCCTGTGAGCGTTCCCAGCAGCAGTGACAGCAGGGAGGACCCACTCCACAAAGCTCTAAAGAAGAAGAGCATCAAGTCCTCCACTGGTCGTTTGTTTGGCAAAAAGGAAAAGGGTCCGCCTGGACAAACTGGCAAAGAATCACCAAGACAAGGTGGGCCGGTTTTAGGCAGCTGTCCTAACTGCTGGGATTGGGAGAGCATGCGCTTTTTCCTATGTACCTGCCACAGGTGTCCAGTGCCCACAAGGAATCATGGCTGAGCATTCTCCAGACAGCCCAGTCTGCCCACATGTGAACCAGAGCAGAGCAGTGGACATTCATTTGGCGTGAATGAATAACCCTCTTATATGCTAATTTATACGCTTGAACATTTATATGTGTTTGCTCGGAAGCTTACCCTTCAGAAATTATTCAGCTCTCTACCTGCAGAATCTTCTTCCTATTTGTGAAACATATAACTTTGCCATGTTAATTTACTCTAAATTTGGTGAATTTTCTTCTTTTTTGTAGCTGTTGTTTCTGAAGCCGAAAACTCATCTCAGGATGCCTTCCAACTTAGCAAATTGGGAGGAAAGGATGAAAAAAATCGTCAACTTCAAAAACAGTAAGCTTTTTGTTATTTCTCCATCTCATGAAACATTTTTCTGAGTTAACAGTCATTCTTAGCTGATTTTAAGTGTAATTTCTAGCTATGTAAATACATTGTCTTTTGAAAGATGAACCTAAAGCAGTGATAGAGCTTTCAGTGATACAAAGAGCTTGCTGCAGCATGCATGCCATAGGTTTGCCTCCACTGACCTAAAGCCTGTTTTAAGCCATCATGTCTGGTGAACAGAGGACATTTGGAAATCTTGACTGAATTCACACATGTATTCTCAGTCTACCTTTTCAGAGTTGTCTCCCAGGATGATAGAATGGGTAATAGTTAGGCTTGGCCATTTGAGCTCTGGCCGCTGAATCCTGGTTAATTCTCTAGTTAGCTGTGTGTCTCTGACAAAGTTACTTATCCTGTGCTTCAGTTTTCTCAACTGTCAAATGGCAGTTACAGTTGTTCATACATCATGTGGCTGTTTTTCAGTTCAATAGAATTATATATGTGCATGTATATGTTTTATAACATGGACACAATTCCTAAATAAGTTACAATTACAGTCAGGCTTCTGAGACCTTGTTTTCTTTCCTGTTGACTGAGTGCATCCCTCAGTGCCTGAGCAAGGCCCCTGCAGAGGGTGTTCCCTTATGTGTCCAAACAAGGCAGGCTAGAGTACAGGCCTGCTCTGAGCAGGGAGCACATCAGAATCTTGGCTTTCCAGACACAGGTCTGTGGAAGCATTACTGGGACCCTGCATCACAATGCATATTGTACTGTGTGTAAGAGACTCGAAACGTTTTTTAGGAAGTTGAAGGTAGGAATATTAAAAATGCAGACTGTTCTTGTACGTGTGAATGGACTGTGGATCTGGGAAGAGGGTGGTAAAAATCCATTTTATTTCTTTGAAGCTCAACAGGCTCCCAGGAAGGTCCTGTGAACAATCCCAGTACCAGTGACAGCAGGCAGGACGCGCTCCACAAAGCCCCAAAGAAGAAGAGCATCAAGTCCTCCACTGGTCGTTTGTTTGGCAAAAAGAAAAAGGTTCTGCCTGGACAAACTGGCAAAGAATCACCAAGACAAGGTGGGCCGGTTTTAGGCAGCTGTGCTAACTGCTGGGATTTGGAGAGCATGAGCTTTTTCCTATGTACCTGCCACAGGTGTCCAGTGCCCACAAGGAATCATGGCTGAGCATTCTCCAGACAGCCCAGTCTGCCCACATGTGAACCAGAGCAGAGCAGTGGACATTCATTTGGCGTGAATGAATAACCCTCTTATATGCTAATTTATACGCTTGAACATTTATATGTGTTTGCTCGGAAGCTTACACTTCAGAAATGATTCAGCTCTCTACCTGCAGAATCTTCTTCCTATTTGTGAAACATATAACTTTGCCATGTTAATTTACTCTAAATTTGGTGAATTTTCTTCTTTTTTGTAGCTGTTGTTTCTGAAACAGAAAACTCATCTCAGGATGCCTTCCAACTTAGCAAATTGGGAGGAAAGGATGAAAAAAATCATCAACTTCAAAAACAGTAAACTTTTTGTTATTTCTCCATCTCATGAAATATTTTTCTGAGTTAACAGTCATTCTTAGCTGATTTTAAGTGTAATTTCTAGCTATGTAAATACATTGTCTTTTGAAAGATGAACCTAAAGCAGTGATAGAGCTTTCAGTGATACAAAGAGCTTGCTGCAGCATGCACGCCATAGGTTTGCCTCCACTGACCTAAAGCCTGTTTTAAGCCATCATGTCTGGAGAACAGAGGACATTAGGAAGTCTTGACTGAATTCACACATGTATTCTCAGTCTACCTTTTCAGAGTTGTCTCCCAGGGTGATAGAATGGGTAATAGTTAGGCTTGGCCATTTGAGCTCTGGCCGCTGAATCCTGGTTAATTCTCTAGTTAGCTGTGTGTCTCTGACAAAATTACTTATCCTGTGCTTCAGTTTTCTCAACTGTCAAATGGCAGTTACAGTTGTTCATACATCATGTGGCTGTTTTTCAGTTCAATAGAATTATATATGTGCATGTATATGTTTTATAACATGGACACAATTCCTAAATAAGTTACAATTACAGTCAGGCTTCTGAGACCTTGTTTTCTTTCCTGTTGCCTGAGTGCATCCCTCAGTGCCTGAGCAAGGCCCCTGCAGAGGGTGTTCCCTTATGTGTCCAAACAAGGCAGGCTAGAGTACAGGCCTGCTCTGAGCAGGGAGCACATCAGAATCTTGGCTTTCCAGACACAGGTCTGTGGAAGCATTACTGGGACCCTGCATCACAATGCATATTGTACTGTGTGTAAGAGACTCAAAACGTTTTTTAGGAAGTTGAAGGTAGGAATGTTAAAAATGCAGACTGTTCTTGTATGTGTGAATGGACTGTGGATCTGGGAAGAGGGTGGTAAAAATCCATTTTATTTCTTTGAAGCTCAACAGGCTCCCAGGAAGGTCCTGTGAACAATCCCAGTACCAGTGACAGCAGGCAGGACTCGCCCCACAAAGCCCCAAAGAAGAAGGGCATCAAGTCCTCCACTGGTTGTTTGTTTGGCAAAAAGGAAAAGGGTCCGCCTGGACAAACTGGCAAAGAATCACCAAGACAAGGTGGGCCGGTTTTAGGCAGCTGTGCTAACTGCTGGGATTGGGAGAGCGTGAGATTTTTCCTATGTGCCTGCTGCAGGTGTCCAGTGCCCACGAGGAGTCATGGCTGAGCGTTCTTCTGACAGCCCAGTCTGCCCACGTGTGAAACAAAGCAGAGCAGTGGACATTCATTTGGCGTGAATGAATAACCCTCTTATGTGCTAATTTATACGCTTGAACATGTAAATGTGTTTGCTCGGAAGCTTACCCTTCAGAAATTATTCAGCTCTCTACCTGCAGAATCTTCTTCCTATTTGTGAAACATGAAACTTTGCCCTGTTAATTTACTCTAAATTTGGGGGCTTTTCTTCTCTTTTGTAGCCGTTGTTTCTGAAACGGAAAACTCATCTCAGGATGCCTTCCAACTTAGCAAATTGGGAGGAAAGGATGAAAAAAATCATCAACTTCAAAAAAAGTAAGCTTTTTGTTATTTCTCCATCTCATGAAACAGTTTTCTGAGTTAACCATCATTCTTAGCTGATTTTAAGTGTAATTTCTAGCTATTGTAAATACATTGTCTTTTGAAAGATGAACCTAAAGCAGTGATAGAGCTTTCAGTGGTACAAAGAGCTTGCTGCAACATGCATGCCATAGGTTTGCCTCCATTGACCTAAAGCCTGTTTTAAGCCATCATGTCTGGAGAACAGAGGACATTTGGAAACTTTGACTGAACTCACATGTGTATTCTCAGTCTTCCTTTGCAGAGTTGTCTCTCTAGATGATAGAATGGGTAATAGTTAGGCTTGGCCATTTGAGCTTTGGCCGCTGAATCCTGGTTAATTCTCTAGTTAGCTGTCTGACAACATTATTTAGCTTAGGCTTCAGTTTTCTCAACTGTCAAATGACTGTTACAGTTGTTCATGCATCGTGTGGCTTTTTCTCAGTTTGATAGAATTATATATGTGCATGTATATGTTTTAAAACATGGACACAAGTCCTAAATAAGCTATAATTAAGGTCACTGTGGTGACTTCTATTGTTTACACAAGTGGTCCTCCAGAAGCATTTACCGTGATATAATTTTACATTTTATCTGAGATTGGATCTCTACTTTACAGTGTATTATTGAACTATAATCCTCTACTAAATCTTAAGGGGCTGAGGAGTGGAGTATAAGTGAGAGCGTACTGGCTTGACATACCATCCCTAGGCCCACATAAAGATAGATTCTGAAAATAATATATGTTCCGAATGATTTTGCATAGGGGAGCACAGGCACCAACATATCAGGGAAGTATGTACACTTCTCTGATGTAGGATTGGTTGTGTAAGCTGATCACACCCAAAACTAGAGTTATAAGTGAACTAGATAGGTTGAGACATTTTCCTAGTGAGATGATTAATAAAATATCAATCAAAAAGCTTTCTGCAACAAAATCAGACAGTATGTAATGTCTAAGAGGTACAATTTGAACTTGACAGTAGGGAAAGTTTGAAAGCCTAAGGTAAGATGGGCACACTGGTCTTGAGAAAAGGTGAAAGTTGGTGGGTTCTTGGATAAATTTGTATATGGGAAACATCAGGTGTCCACTTCTCAGTGAAGCCAGTACTGTGTGGAACTCAGAGTGCAAAGGCCCTGACACTAGCGTTGCACTCGAATCCCTAGGAACCCTTTCTGCTGGAAAGTTATGAAATCTCACTCATTTTAGTTGTCTTCTCTGAATTCATGACTGCCTTTTTTTTTTTAAACTTCTATTGGTATGTGTTTGCAGTACATAATAATCATGTTGGTTCTTGGGAGTTGATACATGTCCATGACACATTTCTATTCTTTATTTTCCACCATCCTTGTATTTTGCCAGAATCCCATTCATGCATTTCTCTTATAAACCCTTGTCATGTATACAGATTAAAAATAAGACTATTAAAAAGAAATATATATATATAAGATATATATATCAATATCAATATATATTATATATATATATATATATATATATATATATCAAACATACCAGACTATAAGCCAAAACACATATAAAAGATGGAACACAATTGTACTAAGTCGAAGTATTCCTTTAGATATATTTTCCATGCTGAGTTACAATAACTTTTTTCTTCTATTGTCTGTCTTTTATTTCATAGCTAACTTATATATGAAGTTTTTCATATTATAATGAGTCTTTTGTTTTTTATTTTATTCATTTATTTTTTGAGACAAGAATCATACTTTGTAATTCAGGCTGGACTGAACTCACAGCAGTCCTCCTGATTTAGTTGCCCAAGTGGTGGGATTACAGGCATGTGCTACTGCACTTGGCCATAGTAACTGTTTTAAGCAGCTCAACAGTGATGACATGCCATTGCAGGTGAAATTCTGTTATGGAAACATTCTATACAAATACTCAATCTTTGGTGCTCTGTAAATAGAATTTTATAGTACCATTTAACCACAAAATCTGAACTGTGTAAAAGTCTTTTATAATAATTTAAGCAATGAGCAGTTGGCTTTGTGGAGCTTAATATTAAAGCTAGTCATTTTCCCTCTCGAAACCATGCTAAAGAAATAGTGTTGCCTAGATTTTGCCAGTGTCTTTTATTTCACGTGCTCATTTCAATGTAATAAAAACAACAGCAGCACAGCTTGATCATTCACCCCATTGCCTTCTGAAGTTTATGTTTCATGGAAGAGAAGAAATAATTTTCCTAATATGTTTGGCTATTTTGCTGGGGATGTGGCTCGGTAGTGTAGTACTCTTAGCATGCATTAAGGCCTTAGGTTCAATCCCCAGTACCACAATAAAAGCAAAAAACAGAAAACCAAAATGTTTCCCTGTTGTAAAAATTGACTTTCTAACTCTCAAGAAGTGTGTGTGCACCCTCAGGACAGGCTTTGAATTATTTGCCCAAACACATGATTAAATTGCACACCAGGCATGCATGTTTACAGGTGTGTGTGTGTGTGTGTGTGTGTGTGTGTGTGTGTGGTGGTAGGGAGGGAGATTTCTCGGTAGCAAGGAGATTCAAGTTTATGCTGCTTACTCCAAACATCTGTTGTGGCTGTTTCAAGGTGTCTAAGAATGGGTCTTTGCTCTGTACTTTATAGTTCTATGTGGGATGCATATGTGATTTCTCAACCATAGTAGAAAGTTCATAGGGAAAATTCTAAAGTAGTCATCTGACTATGGTGGGCAGTTTTGTGATATCTGTCAGATAACCTGAATTGTAATTGATTTGAAGAAAAAAAGTATTTTGTGAATACAGGGTACAGTTTAATACTTTGAGCATTATTGTTTTGTTTTTTTGTTTTTTTTTTTTGTTTTGTTTTTGTTTTTCTGAGACAGGTCTCACTATGCAGTTCAGGCTGGCTTTGAGCTCACTTTGTAGCTCAGGCTGACCTCAAACTCACAATGATCCTCCTGCCTCAGCCTCTCAAGTGCTGGAATTACAGGCATGCACAACCACATCCAGCTACTTTGAGCATTCTTGATGTAATAAAAAACTGTTCTGTGAATACAGAGTACAGTTCAACACTTTGGTACTTTCTCAGAAATACAGTACTTCTTGTGATGAGCCCTAACTTGGCTGTAGGCCATGCTCCTTGCCGCTGAACCACTAGCCTATCACATTGACTGAAGGAGGGTTCCCAGGACTCAGTGCACATATTGACCAGCTGAACTCATGCTCTCTGAGAATTACTGGAAGAATTTGATGCTTTGCTGACACTTGAGGTGCTCAGTAGTCAATGCAACTATCAGCATGACTCAGACTGGAGTCCGTTCATCAGCTCATAGAATGCTGTGTGAAGTTTCAAAACATGGATCTCCAACTCACCTTTGTCTTTGTAGTGCTCTCCTTCCGGTTGCGTGGCATTGTGGTGCATTTGCTGTGGGAAGTTGGTTACACATGGAGCCATACTCAGTGGTACTCTGAATCATATAGTGTGGAGTGCTGGTGTTACCAGCTTTGGGTTCTCTGCTAAACTTCCCAAGAGTATATTTCTGTTTGGTGAGAAAAATTGCTTCCATTCCTCACTTGTCAAAACAACACACTGGTCCCCAGTACTCTTCCTCACAGTGTGACTAGCATGTGAAATGTGAGCCTGAGCTGCAGCCATGAGAAAGGGTCTCCTTAGCCCTTGTGCAAGACCCCTGAAGTTGAAAAGTGTCCCATCTCTTGGAAATACAGTCATGTATTTACTATGGAGAGTTAAAGTTCTTGCTATATGTCACTTAGATAATGTTTATTCTGCAGAAACTCGCACAAGCTTCTTGAAATGAAGGGCAGCTTTACCATTGTGCTTTTGCCTACATTATAAAATATATCATAATTCATAGACTACATGACATTTTTTGTACCAGGGATCAAACTCACAACCTCACACTTGCCAGGCAGGCCCTTAAGCTGCTGAGCTAAATCCCTGGCCTTCCCGTAACTTTTATTTTACGCATTTGTTCCCCAGAGAATTTAGTGTATTTTGGTCCAAGAGAATACAGCATAGCTGTAGAACACTTTCCTAGTATGCTAAAGCCCTGAGCTCCATCATTAGTATGACAGAATCTAAAATAGCTGCCTCCTCCAACAGTATGTATGTATGTATGTATGTATGTGTGCATGTATATACATGTTGGTGCTGCAGATCAAACATAGCACCTTGTGAAGGCTGGGCAAGTGCTTTACTAATGAGCTACACTCAGCCCCCAGTCTCTAATTTAAAGGCAGGAAGGTTCCCATATCAGTTTGCATTAGAGCAGATACTCTGTGTTTGTGTGTGTGTGTGTGTGTGTGTGTGTGTGTGTGTGTGTGTGTGTTTGGTTTCTTTTCCTTTTTTGGTACTGGGGATCAAACTCATGCCCTTGCACTTGCCAGGCAGGTGCTATGCTGCTGAGCTAAATTCCTGGCCTCCTTTTCTTTTTTTAAAAAAGGGTCTCACTGTGTTGTTCAGGTTGGACTTGAAATCATTATGTAACCCAGGCTGACTTTCAGCTCATAGCAATTCTCCTGCCTCAGCTTCCAAAGTGCTGGGATTACAGGTGTGTACCATCATCCTGGCATTAGAGCAGATATTATAAAAATCAACCCTGGTGTCTAGTGTTTGGTTCTATGGGAGAAGCTATAAGCTGAAGAAAAGAAGCTCTGACAATGTCAGGAACAGAGCAATCTAGTGCCCAGCCACCTTCTGCAAAGGGCCCCAGCTTGGCCTGCCTGTCACATCTATTGGGATATGATATCTCACAGCCCAGGAGCAAGCAAATATCAGAAGAAACCAAAGGGGTTTTCTTCTGGAGTTGATGGATATGACACATCAACATCTAGGATTACTGACATATTATTCAGATGCCCTTGGTGGCTATTCAGTGTGGACAGATGATGGACATTCTGCAGAGTATGCCCCCCCCCCCCCACTGGTTACTATGTTTTTATTTGCTCTTTTTAAATTTTTCCTTTTTTTCCCCTGGGGGCTCCGTATGTAGTCCAGACTAGCCTTGAATTCATGGTAATCCTCTTGCCTTCATCTCCCACATGCTGGATTATAGATGATGCCACCATACCCAGCTTGATTACCTTGCTTGAAGCTTTGGGGCTCAGAGCTGGAAGAGTTATTATTTGGGAAGTTGAGCAAGAAAAGAATGAATGTTGCTAAAGCTTAAATGTTTGCAGCTTTAGTAGAGGGGGAGGAAATAGGTGGTTCTCCTATTCCAAACTAATCATATGGGTAGACGGATAACCTTACCTAAGTGGATAGTCAGGTAGGTGAGTAAACACTGTGAAGCCATTTAGTTCTTGGAGGTCACAGATTTGGACAAATGGGTGTCTGTACTAAGTATGTGCAGTAGCAAGCAAAAGAGATCCAGTTTCAATACCCAGTGTAAAAGGAAGGTAGTTGTGCATATCACCAAACATTGCAAAGAGCCAGAGTAGAGGTGCGCAGAAGTGTCTGCAGGCTCCAGATTCTGCATCTTAACACAGGATCCTTCTGTACACTTTTGGGAACAACTCTCAAGAAAACTGGACTCTAATGTGCCCACCTATCGTGTTAACCAAGGTTAGGTGCCCAATCTCGTAGTCCACAAACTACCTGGTAGGGGAGGTGTAGCTACCTGTAGGTGGAACTTGGGCCAACTCCCCAGCCAGGGTCTTCTGTGTTATTTCCTAACGTCACATGACTTTTGAATGCATCATCCTACTTCTGCTACCTTCACACCACTCCCACTGCTGCATCTGGATGCAGGTGTAAGGAGGAGGAAGGATGTAAAGGCAACAGCAGTTTATACCAAGCTTCAGGTAGTGGGCCTTGTTCTTGTTTGCAGTACATGTCTGGTATGTACTTTCACAAATTACAGCTGTGCAGTGGTATGTACCTTTAATCATCCGAGCTACCTGGGAGGTCCAGGCAGGAGGGTCATTTATGATGACAATGCCATTGTTCTAGGCAACTTAAGAAACTGTCTCAAGATAAAAAGTATAGTACAAATGGCTGGCGGTTTAGTTCAATGAGTGCTTGGTTCCATCCCCAGTACCATCAAAAATAATGAAAACACCAACAAAATCATTTTTAGACTACTGAGGACATAGTTCTTACTTAGTCTATTTGAATAGGCACATAATCTAGAAGTGCTTCTGACCTACAGCAGTAGTCTTCCTCTTCCCTGGCCTGGCCAGAGCATCCAGGACAGACCCTCACTTAATATTACAGAATTTCAGATCTTTACCCAGAAATGGATTTACACTGCTTCTTGGGGTCAGTCTGTCTGTCTGTCTGTCTGTCTGTCTCTCTGTATGTTTGTCACACACTCTCTCTTTCTCTCTCTCTCTCTCTCTGTGTGTGTGTGTGTGTGTGTGTGTGTGTGTGTGTGTGTGTGTGTTTCTTGTTTCCTTAAATGAGTCATAGCAGCTCTGTAGCCAGGTTTGGTAGCTGTCTTAGTTACTTTTTACTCATTGCTGAGACAAAATACCTAAAGGCCAAGTTGGGAAAGGAAAGGTTTATTTCTTACAGTTTTTGGAGGTTTCACACACTCAGTTGGCTCCAGGGCATGGCTGGGCCACAGTTCATGGTGGCTGCAAACAGCAAGCAGGAACAGGCAAAGAGCAAGACACACCTTCTCCCTGCCATTACATTACATCCTGGCTCCACCCCTCTGTGGGTATAGCACTGACACCATCAATCCAAGCACTAACAATGAACCATCACAAATGCACAATACAAATACATGAAGCCTGGGGGCCCACAGACATAAACCATGACATTCCTCCCCTGGCCCCCAGGACTCTTGTACATCCTTTATACAAAAGACATTTAGTCCACCACCAAGAGTTTCCAAAGTCTTAAGTTTCAGCATTGCTGAACAGTCCAAGTCCCATGTCTCCTCCATGATCTATGGCAAACTCTTAACTGTAACCCCTGTACAAATGAAACAAGTTTAAACATTTCTCAAATGCAAAGGCACAAAATAAACATTACTATTCCAAAAGTTACAAACAGGGGAATATAAAGCATTGGAAACAAAGCAAATCCAACATCCAGCAGGATGAACATTAAGTCCTAGAGTTCCTTGCTCTGCATCTGAAGCAATATGGTTACAAGCTCCAAAAGGCTTGTGTGATTCCACCCCCAAGGCACTTCCAGGGATTTCACCTCCTGCAGCTTTTCTCTTAAATCCTCTCTGCTTGCTTTTTGGAGCTTTCCTTGGATCGTCCATGTTTCTGGCTTTTCCAAACTTTTGGGGTCTCCACTGCACCTTTGGCTTCACCTTTATGTCTTCACAAATTGCCCTCTCAGGGGCACACAGCTTGGCCTCCCAGGCCCTTTGCAATAGAGGTAGAAGCCATCTTACCCTCAGAATTTGTGCATTTTCCTAGCACCTAAGATCAGCACCATGTGGATGTTGCCAAGGTTTGCTGCTAGCTAGAGCAGTACTCAGGCTTTTCTCTCTCTTGGCTGTAGGGGTCAGTTGCCTGGATCACAGGGCTCTGTTTAACTGATTGTGAGGAAAAGCTTCTCTATGTTGCCACCATTCTGGAACCTCATGTGGCCTGTCACCATTCTGGAAACTCATGTGGTCTCTGTCGCCATTCTGGAACCTGGTGCTCTGCAGCTTTCTCCTCTGAAAAAATTCTTTTACCTTTGCAGTGAGGCTGCACAGGGTGGGGACCTGCTTCCTGGGATGCCCCCGGCCCATCTTTCTTATTTCTCTGTTTTCCCTCAGCCATCAGAATCTCCACTGTCTTTACAATCCACAGCCTTCCTGAAATATTCTTTCTGGCCAAACTCACAGTATTGCAAATTATCCCGCTGGGCTCTTTCCTCTTGATTTGCAACATAAAGCTGGCTAAAAGCCCTCTACAGTAGCCATGCCACAGACTCAACATTTGATTGCTTTTTAATTTCTTTTTCAAGATTAATCAGTCCATTGCCCTTTGTTTCAGTCTCAGGCAAAGTCTCTGGACATGAGCAAAATGTAGACAACTTTCTGCCAACCCATAACTCACATCATGGGGAGTCCAACAATCACTGCAGTCCTTCTTCCCAGCAGAAATCTCCCAGGCCTGGTCTTTACCATCAGGCTTCCTATCAGCCTTCTGGTCTCCTGAGCTGTGACCACTATCTCCTCTACAGAACTGCCTAAGCTGCTCTAGCTCTATGCATCCAGGCAACACATCCAAACCTTTCCAAACTCTGCCCACAAGCCATTTCCAAAGCCATTTCTTGAAAAACATGGTAAGGTATAGTCACAGCAAACAACCCCATTCTTCGGTACCAAATTCTGTCTTAGTTACTTTTTACTCATTGCTGAGACAAAATACCTGAAGCCCAAGTTTGGAAAGGAAAAGGTTATTTCTTACAGTTTTGGGAGGTTTCAGTCCACACTCAGTTGGCTCCAAGGCAGGTGGGCATGGCTGGGTCACAGTTCATGGTGGCTGCAAACAGCAAGTAGGAACAGGCAAAGAGCAAGATACACTTTCTTCCTACCATTACATCATATCCTGGCTCCACTCTTATGTGGGTGTAACACTGACACCATGAATCCAAGCACTAGACAATGAACCATCACAAATGCACAATGAAAATGCATGAGGCCTGGGGGCCACAGACATAAACCATGACAGTAGCCTACTACTTCTTGTACTTAGGAGCACTCTTCTGCTGATCTGTTTCTCTGTGAATAGCTTTGCTTGTTTCAACTAGAAAATTGTTGTTGTTGTTGTTGTTCTTCTTCTTCTTTTTGTTTTTTTCTTGTTTCATCTGAGATAACACATTTGCTGCCTTCTCTGGTACAGTTACTCCCTGGTGATTGTTCCTGTAAGCTTAGCGGTAACTTAAGGAACTCTTAGTTGAAATTGTATATGAAACATTTTACTTAGGAACATAAGTTTCCAAAAGAAAGAAAAGGGGAAGAGAGACTGATTGACTGAGACTGACTAGGGTTTTTGTGTATCTGAAACATACTTGTCCTTTGTGTTCTAATGTCAGACTTACCATGCTTACAATGTTACTGTTTCACATAACTGTGTTACACAAATCACTTTTAGAGATGTTAGTATAGTAAAAGTGTGACTTGAGTCTTTAGAAATAAAGCATATATGAAACCTCAAATCACATTACGGAGTGCATGCAAGACTCACCTACCCACTTCCCTGCAGTACTGCCTTGGTATTGCATGAGTTTCTGTGCTGGTGATACATTCGGCATTGAAGGAGGTGTTGAATGGCTGGCTAAAGAAGAGATCAATGGGTTAAAACCACAGAATGACCCAGTGACTTAGCAAGTACCCGTTTACTTAAAGAGCAGTGTACAATAGAAACTGTCCTCTGTTACTTGTTTGCTGTATTAGACGATAATCTTTTTGTGGTTAAAAGTCTGCATTACAGCTGGGAGTATGAAACACATCTATAATCCAAGCACTGGGGGAGACTGGTTACACAGAGTTTGAGGCCAACCTGGACTACATACATAGCAAGACTTTGTCTCAACATTCCCCAAACCACAACCACCCCCCAAAAACACTGTTTTTTAAAGTCTCTCACAAAATTAGGCACTGATGTCTCAACTGAGGTGTGGTTTCCTCTTCCTAGATACTGTTTCTTCATTGTTGAAGTAGGGTTTCATGTTTTCCCCTAATTGTCTTACTACCTTGGATATGAAAATTCTGCTTGAGTTTTATAAGTTGGTAGTAATTCTTCAATTCTCTGAAGTGATGGTGATTTGACTGGGAATCAAGAGAACTCTGTAGCATTTTTTATTTACTCAGGCATTCTCCATAGTATGTGTGTGACTGTCATTACAAGGATGATGTTAATAACATTAAAACTGTAGAAGATAAAAGGAACTGAGAATATGTGTTATACTTTTGAAAATGCTCAGAGACTGTTCCATTAACTTGTTGGATGTGTAACAGTGCTTCTTTAATTTGAATGTCTTCTTTTCCACAGGCCTGAGTTGCTGGAGGAAGCCCAGAGGCAAGGCTTACCATTTTCACAGTGGGACGGGCCAACCGTGGTTGAATGGCTGGAGGTACATCCCTTTACTACAGAGACCTATGCTACATGACACAAGCTTGTCGTGCATCTCCTGTCTCTACCTGATGTTCTGGTCTTTTCATTCTTCTTTCTAGCTCTGGGTTGGGATGCCTGCTTGCTATGTGGCTGCCTGCAGAGCAAATGTGAAAAGTGGGGCCATCATGTCAGCTCTGTCAGACAGACAGATCCAGCAAGAGATTGGCATCAGCCACCCTCTGCACAGACTGAAGCTGCGGCTGGCCATCCAGGAAACCCTGTGGCTCACCAGCCCTTCGGCTCCACCCACATTGAAAAAGGTATGTTCACAGAGGCTCTGTGTGCCCTCTGTGGAGGAGGAAGGCAGAGCCCACAAAAGCAGTAGCCTGCTAATGTTTCCGTGCTGCTTCCTAATCATACAGGGTGGTTTCAACTTAAAATTTCAGGAAAGCATAGTACAACCCCTAACTTGGAGGGGTTGAGTGATCCAAAGAAAATGTGTGAACTGCTTGTGTAAAAGTGTGGTTAAAGCCAGGCATGGTGGCACATGCCTGTAGTTCCAGCACTCAGAAGGCTGAGGTGGGAGGATCACTGTGAGTTCTAGGCCAGTGGGTTACAGTGTGAGCAGCTTGAACTGAGTAATGAGATCCCGTTTCAGAAAAGACCAAAAAATAAATAATTAAATAAATGAATAAAACTTGGTTAGAAAGGCCTTCTTTAAGAAAGAAGGCTTTTTGAAAGGTAGAAAATTGAGTGTCACAAATGTACGTATGAATTTATCAAAACTGAGTAAGTGTAAGGACCTCTTGAGGAAGGAAAAGTTAACATTTTAAGTAGCATTTCATCCTTGAACTTTGATTTCTATTTCATAGTTCAAGCAATAATTAGTACTTGTACGGTATATAAAGGTACTTGCTAAGCAAATTATATGCGGAAAATATTGTTTTTCTTCAAGTATACAGGTAGCAAAATATACAGATAAGCCCAGGAATGTATAAACCCTTGCATACAATCCCCGGGCATAAATAAGCACCTGGCTACGGCCCCTTGGCTATAAACTAGGTTGGGCTGCCCTTACTTTGTTGTGTGTGGCTTCTTTCCTTCAGTCTTGTGCGTGTGAGTGCATCTGCATCACTGCACATATAGGCGGGACTTACAGAGTAACTGTAATTTGTGGCAGTCCAGAGGTGCCACTGACATACAGTTGACACGCTAACAAGGGGTGGTCACCTCCCAGAAATCCACTGGTTCCTGGACAGTTCTAAGCTTCTCTTCTTTGTGGATGTCTTTTTTTCCCTACAAGAACTAAAGGAGGAAAAATGCTGAGTTTCCTAGATGCACTGTGGTTGTGTGTCACGGCACCAGCAGGTGCTCTGGGTCTTGGGAGCTGCATGTGTCTGTCCAACCATGCCTGTGCTCACAAAGATGCTGTCCACTTGGGGAGTAGTGAAGAGCCCTCAAAGAGCTTCCTGGTGACTCTTCTGATGAAACATTGGTGGTTATTAGAAGGGAAGAGCAGGCCAGCTCTTAAGTTGCAAAGTTCAGGGGTTTTTTCATTTAGATGTTCAACAAACTCTTAGAGCTGTGTAGACATCCTTCTGAGCAGCAGAGCAAGGTCTGCCTACAGTAACTTTATACACAAAAAAGTGTGAAGATTTTGTTGTTAGAGAATTATGAAAATGAACAATAAGCCTTTTTTTTTTTTTTTTTTTTTAACGTATGGCCAAAGAACACTTTCCCTTGGTGGAATGTTTTGTAACCAGTATCAGTCTGTTCTGCAGCTATTTCCACATTAATGTGGGCTTTGTAGAAATGAAGATGCTGCATGGCTTTTTCAAAGCTTTTAAGAACCCTCTTTCAAAAGGGAGCTTCTGTGATTCAGTTGAACTATTGGCAAGGACTAGACCTCACATCAGAAAGACTCTCCATATCACCAGTTACAAACACAGAAATTGCTGTTCTTGGGGAGCTTACAGTGGGCTAGCAGAGTGGCCATCAGTCTCAGGTTTGACTCAGATGGTGACAAGTGCTTTGTTTTTGGTGTTTGCATTGTTTGGCTCTCCTGTGCTCACTATCTTGTGCCCTGGCCTCCTGGGCTTCCTCTGGCTTTGGATCATCTGCTGAAAGCAGCCACAGGAAGCCAAGGCCAGAGCATCCTGTTGTTAGCCTGTGTTGGGGTGAGACTGCTTTCTGTGTGTTTTGTTTTATTCTTTTGTTTTGCTGTACTGAGGCTTAAACCTAGTGCTTTGGGAGAGGCAGGCAAAAGCCCTATCATGAGCTATACCTCCAACATGGTGAGACTATTGAAAATACTGTCTATTGAATCATCAGTTACTGGGGAAAGTAACTTTTCAGAAATATAAAGTATGTTCTCATCCATACTTTTAAGCATGTGATCTGGAAATTGTGTGCTGTTCTCCTTATATTCCGACCACACTGTTATTGTTTAAAAGAGGATGAGCCTGTGTTAATGATCTCTGGCTTTCTCTGTGGGTGCCTGAAATGAAAATGTGCAAAGAGTGACCTTTGCCTCGTGGCTCCTTACTGTGCCTGTGGCTCATATGTGCGTCCTTCTCCTTTCTGTCACGCTTCCCTTGCCCTGGATGTGGCTGGTGCACTGGGGTCACCTTAGACCACAGGAAATGTCTGGTTAACACATGAAGAGATGGAAACACTCGCAGCCACATCTCAGATGGTCAGTCAGCCCTGCAGCTCATGTTCCAAAGTGGGTTTCCTACTCCAGACCAAAGGGCCCTTTGTCTTTTGTTGAAAACAAAAGTTAATTTGCATTTGTTTCAAATATAATGTGTTCTTTTTAGGTTATTAGCTCATAGCGTATAGTCGTATTTGCATTTTTTAGATTTTTACAAGAATTTAGTTTATAGATTTGCCCCATTTAGAGAAGATGTAATTTGCTTCTCCTTTTGGAGAGACCTCCATTGAGCACTGCGTTGTGGTTGTCTAACGCCAACAGTCTACTGTATGAGGTTAGTTGGCATGGAAAAAGTCTGCTCCTTGCATGGAAAATTGAAATTCTTGGATTTTCATGAGTTTTTGCATGAGGCATTGATATTTTGAATGTTTTTCACTCAGTCAAGGTGCATGTTCCCTGCAGAATTAATTTGCTTACACTACTAAAGTTCACTAATACTAATAGTTATGTTCTTTTACATTCCTAACAACCTAACATCAGGAAGATGAGGAGGGAAGCTGGATAAGGTTGGAGTCTTTCTATAATATTTCTTCACTCTGTAGCAACAAAAAGCAATTGAGGATGTAAACTTGTGTGACCTGCTTTAGTAGGTGTTTTTCACACCTTAATTTATTCATAGTATCATTAATGACTTGAAGAATGTAATCAAGTAAATCACAGGATTAAAGATTACATCTCATGGATAATTTTGAACATTTCCCATATGGGATCATGGAAATTACTTTGAACGAAGGTTGTTTTATTTATGAATAGAATCTTTTATACAAAGTCCCCTGGTTTAGGCAACTCCTGAGTTTATGTACATGTAGTTCGTTGCTGGGTTAGTTTTGTTCTAAAATGTACTGCTGAAAAAAATCATGAAATACACTTCTAAACCTGAAAGTTGGCACGGGGCCTTTCCCTCTATGTCTTTATATTGTTATTTGACTAAGTACTGCCCTACTGTGTTGAGTTAAAGATCTTAGTAATGGGGTTCTCAGAAATTAAGGCTTATCACTTCACAGAGATTGAATTTCAGCTGCCTAACTCTTCACTACACAGAAAGCTCTGCCCCATGTTTTACAGTGTCTGAGTCAGATGACTTGGTTAAATTCCCAGCATCCCTCTGCCCTCTTGGGTCTTTGGTGGGCACAGTGCAGTACCAGGGGACTTGTAGTTCTTCAGCTTTTCCCAGGGGCACGGTATTCGGGGGCTCAGAAGAGTTAGCATATGTCTGAAAGCAAGTATAAATGAGTTAAGATTAGAATTTGCTGATTCCAAGATGATGCTTGAAACAGTTGCTTCTGTTTGCATTTCTAAAGGTTATTCAGTTATAGCACTTGGTTGTTTGTTTTGTTTGTTCATTTGAAAAAAAGAGAGGTGGAACTTGGTGACACATATGGGTCATCCCAGGACTTGGGAGGTTGATCAAGCATGTTTGTTGCAAATTTGAGACCAGCATAGGCTACATAGTGAGTTCAAGGTCAGCCTAAACTACATAGTAAAATCCTGTCTCAAAATTACAAAAAGTTTAGAAACAAAAACTAAGAAGAAAGAGAATAGCTACTAACTGGGTTTCCCTCCCTGGGTTTAGATACTCCCTGCCTCTAGAATCGCTTAAATTCACCTAGTTAGAGGTCTCTCTACAGGACCAACAATGACCATCAGTGAATTAAGCAGTGCATTTCATAATTACGTAAGTTTCAATATATTCCAAAAGACAAAGTAGAATATGGTCACCACTTCAATATGAAATAGCATCAGAGACATAAAGTGTAGTTGAATAAGCTTAACATTTGCTTTTTGCAGTGACCATATAAAAGGGGCCCATGCAGAAGATTCCAGATTTACCCCACATGCAATGTTCTGCAGAAGCTTGGTGCACTTTGCCACCATCCTTTCCCAGACAGAGCTGCTAGGACAGAGCTATGCTAGCACAAAGCATTGTGCTTTGCCCGTGCTGGCACTGGGTGGCCTCGCTCCTGACTGAGCTTTGGAAGGAACACTCAAGTGTGGTCAGAACTGTTCGCATATCAGATGTAAGTTATGACTGGCTGTGTAAGAAGGCTGTGCCAGCTGCCAGGAGCCATTAATGAGCAGGACAGCTGCAGTCCCACTCTCATGGAGCTCGCATTTTACTGACCTTGAGACTGAGCGTGACTTGTCCATGCTTGGAGCATGAGGTCCCTTTGCACACTTCTTCAGAAGGCTGTGGTGGCAGCCAGGGAGAGGAGGAGGCTCTCCCTCAAACTGAGTCTGAGCTGTCAGAATCTGCATTATCAGCAACTGCAAAAGTAGTAAACAGAGATATGGAGGGTTTGCTTCCGCACAGCTTTTTATTTGGAAGATTTCTTCTACTCATTAGAAGAGAGCATAGTCAGCAGGCCAGAAAACATCAAATATTCAGGCTGTGAATCCCAGGCCCATGAAAGTATGACTCAAAGGACTGCATCATGGTAACATTGTTAGGTATCTTAATGGTTACCATAGTGGTATATTTGTCACTCATCATTTAAAGAAAGTTATGAAATCTTTTCTGTTAGAATTGGAACATTCCTCTTAGCTGAGCCATCCCTTGTATCTTGACTGGAACAAATAAAATACTAGAGTGGAATCCATTGTTCTAAACCAAACGTGGAGGCCATGCATGGTGGTTTATGACTGTAATCCCATAACTCAGGAGGCTGAGGCTGGAAGATATCAACTTAGAGACCAGCCTGGGCCTAGTGAGACCCTGTTGTAAGGGGTTGGGGATGTAGCTCAGGTTAGAGTGCTTGCCTAGCAGGTATGAAACCCTGAGTTCAAGCCAGGAGAGGATGGATGGGAATGGATAGTTTTTATTTTAAAGGATTCCTCAATGTACCTTAGGATTCCTGTGAATGTAATTTAATCTTCCTTAGCTGGAGAGCATAACGAACCATTCTCTGTGAAGTGGTTGTATATCATGTCTATTTTTCATTGTACAGACCTTGGACATATTCTGTTGAATTGGTTGCTAAGGATTTTATGCAGTTTAGTGCCATTATATAAGATACTTCTAAAATCTCAATTTCCAGTTCATTTTGTATATTTAGAAATGTTAATTTTTGTGTATTCATTGTATATTCAGCAGCTTTGCTAAATTCATGTATAAATCCTAATAGCTATTTCATAGACTTTTTCAACAATGATAATCGTGTCATTTACTAATAAAGAGAGGTTTATGTCTTTCTCAACTCATGCCATTTTTATGTTTTTCCTGCCATTACAGTGGCCAGGTCTCCAGCACAGCCAAACATAAACGGTGACAGTGGACACCCCTTGTGCTTCTTTCCGTTCAGGGAGACATTTGGTCCCTCATTGTGAGGTTTTTAGCTGCAGGCTTTTGGTAGATGACCCTTAATAGATTGAGGCGGTGGGTCTTTCGTCCTAGAATGCTGAGTTTCATAACTGAATGATGGATCTTGTGCCACATAAGGTATTATGAGACATGGCTTTCTTTGCTGATCTCGTAATTGGGCAAATTTCATTGATTTTTTTTTTCCTCCTCAGTTGGTGAACCAACCTATTCCTGAGTCAGTAAACCTACTTACCATGATTCCTTATTTTTGGTGTAGTGCAGACTAGTCCCAAACTCGAAATACTTTTGTCTCAGCCTCCTGAGTGCTGGGTTTACAGGCATGCACCACCATACCACACCACAAAAAAGTACGTCCTGAAGCCAGATGTGATGATGCACCCCTGTAGTTGCCAAAACTCAAGAGACTGAGCCCAGAAGTTGGCTGTTATAATGTCCTATGACAATTGGGCATTAAACTAAGATGGACATCATACTAAGAGTGGCATCAATATCTCTTTGCATAGGGAGTGCTTGTGCATAGCCACTGCACTCAATCCTGGTAATATAATGGGAATCTCTGTCTTTAAAGGTTGTGGGGAGGGGCTGGGGATTTAGCTCAGTGGTGCAGCACCTGCCTTGCAAGCATGAGGTCCTGAGTTCAATTCCCAGTACCCCCCCCCCAAAAAAAAAGAAGAAAGGAAAAAGTGTAAGTTATATCTGGGTCAGATTGATTGACAGTATTGTTTTTGTCCGTAGCCTTCCTGATTGTTTTCCTTTTCTTAGTCCTTTTTGGTTTTTTGATTGGCACATTGAACCAGTTGTTAAGAGAGGAGTGTTGAAGTCTTCTAAATTTAATTGTATTTTTCTGTTTTTGTTCTTAGTCTCATTAGTTGTTCGTTTATCATTTTAAATTTACTTTTCCTGATTTTCAAATACACTTGTCATTTAGGAAGACAATGTATTAAAAATAAAATCAAAACCAGCTAGAGCTCATTTGAATGATTTGAATTGATTCTTCAAACTTGTTCATGAGTCATGATCATTCTTTATTCCTATATTATTATATTGAAAACTAATTCAGAAAAGGAATTTATAGACAGGTATGATTTTTCTATAGCTTGGTAAATTGTCCTAAATGAGTCATAAAATTTTGCCAATATGATTTCTGTTGGATAAAACTTTAGGAATTTGAAAAGGTAGGAATGGGAGACCAAATATTTAGAAATTATGAAAAGCAATGTTGTCATTCATTTAGCCTTTAAGAATGTTGTCTAGATTAAAAATCTGAACTGATGTCACTCATTTGTTGAAATCAGACACTTGCATATGGGGACATGGACCACGAGTGGATTGGCAATGAGTGGCTGCCCAGCCTGGGCCTACCTCAGTACCGAAGCTATTTCATGGAGTGCCTTGTGGATGCTCGGATGCTGAACCACCTGACCAAGAAAGACCTGCGGGGGCGGCTGAAAATGGTTGACAGTTTTCACAGGTGAGGCAGTGCAAGTGGTTCTTCCTAACGGATCAAGAGACTTCACATTGCCACCGTTAAATAACCCCTTATTTTGTAAATAGGAACAGCTTCCAGTGTGGACTTATGTGCCTGAAAAGGTTAAATTATGATCGGAAAGAACTGGAAAGAAGAAGAGAAGAAAGTCAGGATGTAGTTAAAGGCAAGTACATTATGCCGGATGGATGCAGCACATGCCTGCTGCCTCCCAGGCAGCCTGGGTGATTGCCTGTTTGAAAAAGTATAGCAGCCAGCTGAGCTGGCACATACCTGCAATCCTAGCACTCTGGGAGGACATAGCAGCAGAGTCACAAGCCTAGCCCAGGCAGCTTGGACTCCGTGAAACCTTCTCTCAAAATGAAAAGTATAACAGGGCTAGAGATGCAGCTCAGTGCAAATCCCTGTGTTTATTCCTGAGTACCTCAAAAAGAAATCAAGGGCTTAGTGATAAGGCACTTGCTTACCACTTGCATTGCCCTGGGTTTGATCGCTAGGACTGAAAAAAAAAAAAAAGCACAAAATAATCATACATTTATCTGGGAATTACACAAATTACAGTTCCAGCTACTAAGAATACTAAGGCAGGAAGATCACAAATTCAGGGCCGACCTGGCAATTTAGTGAGACCCTGTCTCAGAACACTAAAACTAGATTTGAAAATTAGGGGTGCTAAGAATGTAGTTCAGTGAAAAAAGACTTGCCTAGCATGCTCAGGGCTCTGGCTTCTGTCTCTAGTACCACAAAAAAATAAATCAGGGAAGACTTTTAAGTGGAAACAACTGGCTTGGCATGATAACAAGAGGAGGGATGAAAAGGGGTGCCCTGAGACAGTGTGTGCTTATCTCAGTCTGTAGGCTACCCTCTTGGTGCTGGCATTCTTTCATGTAGTTTTCCTTTTGTTGTTGTACACTGTATACGCTCTCTCAGAGATGCTGCCTTATGCTATTAGATCAGAGCAAGGCAAACAAGCCACTGCCTTTTGCTTACTGGATAGAGGTTAAAACTACAGCTTTGGGAGCTTTTTCTAAGGCCTGTGGCAGCATGCAGGGCACACAGTTCTGCTCCCAGAGGGAGGGAGAGGTCAAGGCAACCAATAGCCTAGCACCCATAATTTTGTAATTTATTTATTTATTTTGAGACAGAATTTCACTAAGTACCCTGGTCTGGGATTACACCTGTGACCCTCCTGCCACAGCACCCATACTAACTGGGATTGCAGTCCTTACAGAAACCACAGAGTGTCCTGTGGGCAAAGGAAAGACATGTCAGAAACAGGCCAGGAGGAAGGAGAGGGCATGGCAGCCCCCTCAGTATGACAGGGACAGGCATCTTCTCTGAAGACAACACTGAATGTCATGCTCACGAGAGTCTCTCAGAATTCTCGGTAGTTACTAATAGCACTGCAGTGATGAGAAGAAATGAGACTTACTGAATAATGATCAAGCACTGTGTCAAGTCTTCCATAGTTGATTCATTCAGGCTGCATCGTGGTTCTGTTATTTTCATCCTCATTCTGATGTCTTTTTCTAAATAAAATAAAGGATTATCTATTGGCCAGGGATGTAGCCCTGTGGTAGGACACTTGCCTAGTCTGTGCAAGGCCTGGGTTTTAATTCTTTTAAAACAAAGAATACGTTGAGGTCTATTTAGAAAAGAAAGTCATGGCCGGGGATATAGCTCAACAACAGAGCGGCTGCCTGGCAAGTGCAAGGTCATGAGTTTGATCCCTGGTACCAAAACAAAGTTGAGAAAAAAAATCAGACATGAAATGTATTAATCCACTTAATTTGTTTTCTATATCCCCTCTCCATATTTTGTCAGTTGGCAAAAGCAGTCTTTGAAAAGATTGGTGGTCAGATATATTTTTACAGAGTGGCAATTTTTTGGTCTGTAATAGAATACATTTAATAATTATCTTTGTATGATATACGATTGCCAAAATCTAGTATGCTGGAATGTCTTTAAAATTCTTTCTTTGTAATATATTAAGATGTTGATATGACCAAAGCTTCAGAAGCACAGGGGCTGGGGTATGGCTCAGTGGCTTAGCACCTACCTGGTAAGCACAAGGCTCTGAGTTTGATTCCCAGTACAACAACAAGAAAAAGTAAAAGAAAACGAAGGTCAGAAGGTCAGAAGCAAAGAGTTTGTGTTGAACTCAGCAAGGTATCTGAACTGTCATGGTATCTGCCCCTTTCATGATGGAGAAGCATTTCAGGAGACTCTGGGGTCTGTGTAGGAAACATGCTTATACGTGCTAGGTCTGACTCTGACCCTCAGCCTGATGTTTTTGCAGTCTTAGGATTGAACCCCAGGCCTTGTACATACTAGGCAAGTGATCTGCCACCAAGCTACATCCTCAGCCAATCATGCTGTATTGTTCCCTGAATATATCCTATCCACAATCTTACTGTGACACCTGAGTGCACTAGGGGAGGCTTCTAAAGGGAAAGTTTTTATTAGAATGAGGCAGAACCAAAACAGCTGTGTCTAGGTGTGTGTCTGTCAGTATTTGTGAGTGTGGAGTCCATTTTCAGGAGCTGAGGGATCAAGATCCATGCTAGGAATCTTTCCCCTGCATTGCAGGACATGTATGATGAAGAGGTTTTCTGAAGCCACATTTACAGTTGTTTTGTTCTTTCACAGATGTGCTTGTTTGGAGCAATGATCGAGTGATTCGCTGGGTCATATCCATTGGCCTTAAAGAATATGCAAACAACCTCATAGAGAGTGGGGTTCATGGCGCACAGCTGGCCTTAGATGAAGCCTTCGATTACAACACATTGGCCCTGTTGTTACAGATCCCGACAGAGAACAGAAAGGTGACAACGGAGTCTGTGCCTCTGTCTGCTTAGCCACAGTGTTCGGTTTTTCTGTGGTTCTAGAATACTTATTTTTCATTTGAATGGAGAGAAAATTTAACTCTAGACAACTAGTAATCACTTTCCATAACTAATCTATAATATGGTAGTTCAAAATAAGCAAGTGCTTGATTTTTCACTATCTTTTCTTTCCAGTTTGTGTTGCAAGCATGTGAGTCTTTGAAGTCTTTGTTTTAAAAAATTGTAATGTGTAACATCCTTCAGATATATTTAGTTGTTGTTTTGTTACTTCAGGCTCGAAATGTCTTGGACAAAGAATTTGCCGACCTTTTGGTCCTTGGGACTGTCAGACGTTTTGATGTCGTAAGTTTTCAGCTTTTTTCTCCTCTCACTGCTAGGAATCAACCTCAGGGCTTCACATATGCCAGTTGAGTGCTCTACTACTGATCCTTGCTCTTGGTCCACTACTTAATTTTTGGCAACCTTCAAAAATTATTTCTATATTGTCAAACAGATTGCAGCCTGCGATCAAAGTCTTAAGTTGTGTTTTGGTGACAGCTGACTGTCCTGCCCCAGTTCTTCTGTTTGGAAGGCTTCTTTCAAAAGTATATTAAATTTCCCCTCATGCTAAATCATAACTAACCTGTTGCCATACATTACGATTGTCTTCAGTGAGCTCCAAGAGTACTTGATTTTCACAAAGAAGATGGAAGCTGAATCTGGAAGCAAAGCATTTGTTGGATTATTTGTAGCCAGGATATTTTGAAAATAAATAAAAGTACATTATATAGCAGGCAAGAGCTTGTCCACAGTAAGAAATAAAATATTCTGATGGGTGAGAAAATCACATCCCTGGTGCCCAGGACTGCCCTCGTTTCTCCAGTTGGGGCCCAGCAGGAATGTAATCATGTTTCCTCTCACACTGAAGTTCCAGTGTGTGCAGCACATTGGAAGGTCACCAGGAAAGGCTAAGTAAAGCAAAACAGTCAGGGGCTTAGGAGTCCTTCTGAAGGACAGTTATCTTTATTAGAGTGTGCCTGTTCTGTGTTTTCATTTGCCAGGAGGATGACAAACACTTTAGGAGAGCACCTTCATGGAGAGAGAAGGTTAGAGAAAAGGCCATTCACGGTGTGGCAACTGGGTCATCAGAGACACTCCCTGCAAACTTCCGAGTCTCTTCTTCCAAGTCTTCCCGCTCTGTGCAGCCCAATGAGATCCAGATGGATGGTATGTGGTGGGCCATGTAATGCAACACTGGCTGGGAGCATGTGCGCGCTAATAATTACCTAGAGTGGCCATTGTATGTGTTACAAAGCATCTGAGTTTGGTTGCATGCCCAGGTGTCAATGGTTCAGGATTAGCCCTAACATTTGTTGGAAAATGGTTAACAACAATAATAGAATTTTTAAAAAATCTGTCTGGTTGAACCTTAGCATCCTTGCCCAACTAATAAAGTGAAGCACCCATCTGTGCTCTCAGGGCTGAGGCTGATGCACCTGTGGGGTGCAGTGTGTGGCAGGCAGCACTGGCTTGCCAGGAAAATTGCAGTGTGACACTTGGGACTTCTCTCCACACTAGAAGAAATGGCAGAGTAAACTTTAGCTCACAACTTCCAGGTTCTGCCAACTCTGTCTTTCCTTTTCCCTTCCCTCCAGTGTTATCTTTCCATATACTTACCTTGTGCCACCTGAAGAGGGACAGGGAAGAAGGCAGAAGCCTTGTGGAGACCGCTAGGGCAGCCCTGCTGCCTTCTCAGTGAGAGATGGCAAGGCATTGACCTTTCCAGTGCAGTCAGGATGGCCCTTATGTAACTGCTGACTGAAGAGTGCAGTTGGCTGAGAGGAGACCTTGAGTCCCTGACAGTCCTGCCCACCTAGTAAAAGGCACTGATAGGGTCCTGAGAGAGCCCACGTCCACATCCAGCTCTTGTGGTAGCAGGGACATGACCTTGAGCAAGTCATGCAGCTGTGCTGTGCCTCAGTTTCCATATCTGTAACTTGGGCATCATAGTAATGTGATTTTGATGCTTCAATGTGTCATGTGGGTGAAGCTGATGGAGTCCTGAGCCTCGTGCATTGCTGACAATCTCAGTGTTAGGTGGAGACTTCATTCCTTCTCATTCCTGATGTACATGGTTGTGCTGTATAAACTGTACCAGTGGGGTTTTTACAAGTTTCCTGTTGTTAGCCCCCTGTGTAGGTAGTTTTCCTTTTTTCTCTTTCTTGCCTGTATGAAAATCAGAGAAAAATACATTTATATAAACTTTTTAAAGCTGAACACTTTCCAGTGTGTCTTTTAACTAGTAAGTTCTTAAGAATTAACACTTTCTCCCTCAAGGTGTCTTACAAATGTTGGCAAGGCATGGAAGTGCATGCCTGTAATTCCAGTACTTGGGAGGCTCAGGCAGGAAAATCATGAATCTGAGATGTATGTGAATCATAAATCCAGGTTAAGGCTATACTGAGCTTCATAGGAAGACCTTGTATCATAAATAAAATAGATAAGTAAGTAAGCTGTGACGGGCCTTGAGCTTAATTTCCATTGGCTTACTAAATAGTCTAAATGAGTACTCTGTTGTTTTCCCTGTACCTTCAATTTCTGTTTCACTATAAGAATCACATTTTCTCTCTGAACATTGCAAGCAATATTAACATAGCTGGGTGTGGAGATCACCTGTAATCCCGGCACTGGGGAAGCTAAGGCAGGAAGGTTGCTGAGAGCTCAGTACCAGCCTCGAATTCACAGGGATTGTAGGGCCAGTGTGAACTACACAGGGAGACCTTGTTTCAACAAAACAAAACAAAAATAAAGGGTAGTATTAATGAGTTTGTTTGTTGTTGATTTGTTTTTTTGGTGGCATTTTTGTGGTTGTGGTTGTTGTTTGGGGGTTTGGGGTGGTACTGGGGAGGGAGCCTTCTACCTGTACTACACACCACCCCTTCTTTTATTATCCAGAAAGGGTCTTGTTAAATTGTCCAGGCCTGGTTTGAACTTGGAGTTTTCCTGCCTCAACCTCCCAGAGTGCTAGGATTACAGGCATGTGCAGGCAAACTGTGTAACACTAAATTTAAATGGATTGAATAGAAAAAGTTGTCAGGGTAAATTACATAGAAGATGTCTATGCCACATTGGTAAGAAGGTGGACTGTTACAAATGACTTGCGAGGTGGAGAGTATAAGATAAATTACAGCATGTCTCCTAGACTTTAGAATGAAGGTTTACAATGACTGCCCAGTCTTACCAACACGGCCAGCTATCTGTCTTTTCTAGAGCTATGGCAAGATGTTGCTAAGAAGTATTCCTGGTATACTTGCAGGAAAACAAAACACTGTACAACTGGGAGTGTAAATATCTGCCGAAGATGTTGCAAGCTCTTTACCCAGTTTGTGACAGGGCTGTACTGCCTGTTTAGCCACCCAGTGTTTGTCAAACAAGGACCCCTGCCTCCGTGTTCTCCATCCTTTTTTGTAGAAACTAAGACAAGCTTTAGTCCTCTGAGAAGCACTGGCCATGGCCTCTGGGCTGTGCCTCTTTGCCTGCAACCCACCCTGAGAGCAGTGCCTGCAGAGCAGCTGGGGTTCCCTCCTCCCCTTCGTGCTGCTGATTCACCCCATTCATTCCTGGAGGTCTAGCTGTAGGGCACAAGGAAAAGTCCAGTTGCTATATCAAAGTGTGGCTTAAGGAGCTGCAGAGTAGCTATGTTAGGTGGTTGTCCTCTCTGTATGTGCACACTGAGGTGGTTTGCACTTCCAAGGGGCCCTATTGCTATTTTAGGTGCCAGTGTCCCCTTGGGTGGTGACAGAACCACTCTGGGCAGCCCTCTGATGCTCTTGCCTCACTCTCCCAGGCAGTCTTAGGATTCCTCAGTAGACACCATTGTAGGTGTGGAGATGTGTGTCTTACCTGTGCCCCGTGTGAAGTGTTAAAACTAACAGCACTTTGTTTTTGCACACTTCCTCTCATGGTTGTTGGAACAGGCAGTGTATCAGAAACACAGAAGTTGGATTCTGCAACAACCAGGACTTCCTCCCGTTAAGCCTCCTGTTGGTGAGTAGAGAGCAGCGTAATCCCTGGAGATCATCCCTGTACAGCAGGGTGAAGCTGTAACAGGGCTAACAGTGTGGGTTTAGACCATGCCAATTTACATGGGGAACTTCAAAATGACAGAAATAGTAGCTCTGTACCCATCAAGGCGATTTTGGTTTTTAGCTGACCATAAAGAGGGCTGTGTGTCATTTTTGTTCTATTAACTTTTATTTTTATTAGTAAGTTAGTTGTACTTAAATTCATCATGGAGAGTTGGTACCTGTACTAGGACATCTTAAATCTTTTTACCTCCCCTCTCCTGTGTCCCTTGTGTCTCCAGTTTTAAAGAAAAACACGTTCGTCCCCATTTTTTCCTAAAAGCTAAAAATGCCTACTCACTTGAAGTGATGATCTGCTGATGCCATTGTTGGGGGGTGGGCAGGAAAGCAGCAACTGAGGAAAAAAGCACCCCAAAAGCTGACCACACCAGGAGGCCAGAGCCTGAGATTGGGAAGCATCTCTTCCACTGTGTTTATACACAGTGGTACACAGCTCCTATACTGGCTTTGTTACAAACACACATGTACGCACACATATATGGGGAATTGAACCCAGAGTGTTCCCACTGTGCTATATCCCTAGCACCCCATCCCCTTTTTAGTGGGGACAGGGTCTTCCTAGATCATCTAGTCCTTGTTCAAACTTGCAATCTTTCTGCCTCAGCCTTCTGACATACGGGATTGCAGACGTGCCACCATACATGGCAGACATTTTAAACACAAAGCTGCATTGCCATGCCTGGGCGCCAGTGAGCCACTTGTGTCCTCATGGTCTAGAGCTCTGACTGACTGATGGCAGAGGTGTCATTGACCCGTGATCAGAACCCCAGCTGGAGCTCTGCCTACTGTGCTTGTGTTCAGTGCCTCAGCTGGAATCTGGGATGGGCTCCATAGTCTTTTAACTTTAACTTTTAAAACTGTCACAAAATGTAAAACCTCTCTAGTCCATGAGCAGGGTCCTCAGTGTTCTGCCTGCTGACGCTCCAGCAGGGAGGAGGCAGGAGGCCTGGGGAAGTGGGCCCCAGCGTGTGTGTCTGAAGTCATGGTCCTTTTCCAGGTGGTTTGTGTTAAGAGAGGCTTTCTGTTTGTTTTTATCTTCCAGTTTTCCTGCACTACTTCTACAGATGATGTGCAGCATTTGGAATCCAACAGAGACTACATTTTTTAATTCAGTCGAATCGCTATCTGTTAATACTTGTTATATGGATATTTTATAACAGAGTTTTTAATTAATAAAAAATTCATCAATAACATAGAGAAAATATTTTAGAATTTAATGTTTCTTCTATTTTTGTAAACTTAGGACTTTTCATTTATATAGTTACTTACTTTTTCATCTATGTTTAGATATCTCTGGAAGCAATTCATGTTCTTATATCTAATTTTAGTCTTTCAAATGAATGTACTGTAGTGCTTGTATGTATAAACCCTATGAACAAATACATGGCTTTTGTAAATTGTGCACATATTGTAATTATTACTATTTAACTTTTTAATGATAAGCCATCCCTGAAAAAATTAGTTTACTACACTTTTTTTTGTCTTTTTTGTTACTTTTTTTTTTTTTTTTTTTGGTCTTTTTCCTTTTTATTGGTACCAGGGATCGAACTCACGACTGCCTGCTTCCAAGGCAGGTGCTTATGCCGCTGAGCTAAATCCCCAGCCCCTTTTTTTGTCTTTTTTGTTTTTATCGGCACTAGGGATCAAACTCAGGACTGCCTGCTTGCAAGGCAGGTGCTTATGCCACTGAGCTAAATCCCCAGCCCAGTTTACTACATTTATAAAATTGTTGTGACATAAGCAATGTGCATTATCCTTCACCTTGCTCTACATCAGTCATTTTAAAATCAGGAGACTTCATTCCAAGCAGTTGTCATATTTTGAGGTTGACTGACCTTAACTGTTCTTTTTTTAGCAAGAAATCAGAGTCTAATAAAGTCGGGACTGAACCGTTGCACCAGAGCACTATAGAACTTTCTTAGCACTGGTTCCCTTTTCCCCATCCTGTCTCTGGACTTGGGGAGCTTGTCTTCAGAGACTTGACCAGAAGCCATGAGCTTGGAGCTGCTCTCAGCAGGGCTGGAGTGGCCAGGGGTGGACCCCAGCCTGGCACCTTCCCTGCCTCTTTCCTGTGAGCATGTGGAAGGTGCCTCCAGCTATTCTTAGAGGACCAATCACTGAGCACTGTGCTCACATCTCACAGACATTGGTGCATGAGCAGATGAGAGCAGGAAACCCTGAAAATAAAGTTGTACAACTCTAACTAATCAAGGCCTTATTTTTCATATGTCAGTCACCTTTTTACATTGGTTTATAAACATGTTTCAACTAGTCATACATTTTTAGATTTTGATGACATAGCCATTTTGGATTGAACAAGTAGCAAAAGCAACTTGCTTTTCACTGGCATATTAAAAAGCCAGCAAGGAAGGAGTCAGATCAGGGTGCATGTTATTTATTGTGCAACTGATACATGGGTAGAGGCAGCATGCCTTTTTAATTTAGTTTATGCAGGGGCTGGGGATTTAGCTCAGCGGCATAAGCGCCTGCCTTGCAAGCAGGCCGTCGTGAGTTCGATCCCTGGTACCGATAAAAACGAAAAAGACAAAAAAAAAAAAAAAAAGCAAAAAAAATAATTTGGTTTATGCATACAATTCACTTATACAATCCATATTACTGCCCTTTTTCTATTAATTTTTGTGGAATTTTCTGAGTATGTAACAAAGTATACAGTCATATACATATATATACTTTTGAACTATTTTAATCACAGTATTATTTATTGCTTTCTTTCAATAAAGTTCTGAATCATTTTTCACTGCCAATGAAGAGTTCTTTGAATAGGCCAAGATTTTCTTAAAAGTTAAGTGCGGCTGGAGTGTGTGTGTGTGTGTGTGTGTGTGTGTGTGTGTGTTACCAGACATCGAACTCATAACCTCATGCTTGCCAGGCAGGCACTCATGACACTGAGCTAAATCCCTGTCTCAGGCACAGCTGTTTTGCTTCCTGCTCCAGGCAGGTTCTCTGAAGGTAGTGTCGCTATGGAAATCACCGGACAGAAAGCTGGATGACATAAGTGTAGCTGGGCATGAGGCAAGAGAAGATGGGGTCCTGCTGAAGATTGGGCCTGGTTAGACCAGGGCGGGGAGGCGCCCCCAGCACAGTTGGGGGTGGGACACTGACAAGCTCAGCTTTGCCTGCTGTGTCAGACCCTTTGTTCATACAGTGTTACCCTCCTGTTTTCAAGTTTCACATGGCGCATCTCAGAGTAATCATGGGTTTGAGCTCTTGGTTCTCAGCCTTTTTCCCTGCAAACTGTGTGTTTTTGAATGGGGTTTGCAGAGCAGAGAGAAGAGGCCAGACTCTCCAGCGTTCCTTGGTGTGTCCCTGGGTGGTAGGTGAGTAGATGGTCCATATCCTAGTGCTATTGCTGCTGCTATTCTGGACACCCACATATCACTTAATGCATTTCAAATATCCCACATGCATTTATGTCTCATTTCCTGGCCTTAATTCCCTAGTGACAATGATTAGTCAGTGATTTTGCCTTCCAGTCATCTGTCGTATTTCATGAGGGAATTTACCCCAAGGATCCCAAGAGCCATGGCTGCTCGGGCCCTGGTACCCGACGCTGGGACCCCACGGTGAGCCCTGCTTTCCCCACAAAAACAGGTCCCAGAGACTGAGACAACTTGTCTCCAGCTTCCAACCCCTAGCCTTCATTTTCCTGGTCCTCCTCCCAAATTCACATTTTGGGGGGGTGGTGTCAATGTTTCACTATCTTTTTCGTTTACCTTTAAAATTATGACTTTTTTTTTTTTGGAGACAGAGTCCACTATGCAGTTCAGGCTGGCCTTGACCTCACAGCTGTCCTCCCACCTCAGCCTCCCCAGTGCTGGAATTACAGGAGTGCGGCACCCTGCCCAGCTGTGTTTATGAGTTTTTATGGCTCTGCTGTAGTTCTAAAGTTTGCTACCTCTCATCGATGACTTTAGACCACTTACATTTAGTATTACTGATATTATTTGAGTACATCTACCATTTTATTTTTTATGCATTTGTATTTAGTCTATAGTGCCTTTCCTGGGTTCTTTTTTTTTTTTCTGGTCTTTTTCGTTTTTATCGGTACCGGGGATCAAACTCACGACTGCCTGTTTGCAAGGCAGGCGCTTATGCCACTGAGCTAAACCCCCAGCCCCCTTTCCTGAGTTCTTTTGGGTGTTTTGGCCATTTTTAGCGTTCCATTCAAATCCTCTTTCATTCAGCGTTTGGCTATGGAAAAACAAAGACTAAATCTCAGCCTCTGCCACAATAGCACGCTAATCGTGCAGTCTCACAACATGCAGGGGACATGCGTGTCACTCCACATGCACCGCACTGCCGAGGCCCGCCTTTGACAGAAACGCCAACCCGCGTTTAAGGTGGTTTCTTTGGCAATCCTCAGGCAGCTCTTGCTAGATGCCAGGCTGGTTCTGAGAACTTTCCAGGCTACCCAGAGTTGGTATTTGCCACTTTGAGTTGAGCATAAAGATCTTAACCCCATGCCAGCGCCTGTTAATGCATTTGTCATCGTGTCAGAGGTACACAAATCAAAAGGTCCTCAGAAATGCCACAGTTTTCACTCTCAACCCTTGTACTGGAGGGAACTTCGGACGGAGAAGTCTGGTGTAGTGATCCACAGAGCACTCCCCTGTCACAGCAATGCCCCCGGCTTCCTTCCAGTGTATTTCCCTCTGCCCAGGAGCGTCCTATGGGATTGCTGTTAGAGTCACTTTGCTGGCAATGATGTCCTTCAGTTTTTCTCCACCTGAGGACATCTTTCATTCACCTTTATTCCTAAACAATACCTTTATGGAAGATGGAATTTTTGGCTGGGCTTTATTTTTTTTCTTGTAGCACTTTAAAAATATCGTTCCACTTCATGATTTCTGATGAGAAATCTGCAGTCAGAGCTGGGCGTGGCGGGGTATGTCTGTAACCCCAACACTCAGGAAGGCTAAAGCAGGAAGGTCATTAAATCTGAGCCTGGTGTTGACAACTTAGTGACTTAGTGAAACCCTGTCTTTATTTGTTTAGTTATTTATTTTTTTTATTTTTTAAAATGCAACCTTCAGGCTGGCCTTGAGCTCACTTTGTAGATCAGACTGGCTTTAAACTCACCAGAGATCCTCCTGGGTCAGCCTCCCAAGTGCTGAGATTAGAGGCATTCGCCACCATGCCTGGTGTTTCGAGGCCCTGTGTTTAGATTAAAAAAAAATTTTAAAAGGCTGGGCTATAGCTCAGTGTGAAGGCCCTGGGTTCAGTCTCCAGTAACCACACACACACACACCACACACCACACCACACCAAAAGTTCTCTCTCTGTCTTTAGCTTTAGTAGTTTGGTTATGACAATTCCTGACCTTATCTTGTTTGGTAACTGAGCTTTTTGAATCTTCACCTGTGTCTTTCACCAAACATGGGGAGTTTTAACCATTTATTTCTGACCAAAATGTTCTCTAACTGTACTCTTTCCTCCTTCCTGACAGGAACGTTAGCTCCTTAGTATTGTACCACAGAGTCCTGAGCTCGTTTCTTCATTGTTTAAATCTCTTTCCTTTCTGTTGTTCAGACTGGGCCGTTTATATTGATCTGCCATTTACATTGTTATTGAGTCTACTGAGGTATTGGGTTTGCCACTGGATTTTGTCATTTCGGTTATTTTTTTATTTGCTTGGTACGGGGATCGAACCAGGACCCTGTGCTTGCCAGGCAGAGCCGTGCGGCTGAGCCAGATCTGTACTGTCATTTTGGCTGTTACACATTTCCTGCCTCTAAAATCTCAGCTTGGCTCTGCGTGTGATTCATCTGCTCCCGCTCCGAGGTGGTCTGTCTCTCTGTTCATCGCTCAGGAGTTTGCCCTTTCTTTTCTGGAGCTGCCTATAATAGCTGCTTTTGTGTCTCAATATCAACTGTTGTATCCTCTTGGAGCTGCTACCTCTTGATTTTCTTTTTGTCTTTTCCCTTTGGAGATACTGAGATTCTCGTTCAGCTCCAAAAGATTCAGTAACTTTGGCTTGTATCCAGACCTTAACAAATAATGTGTCATGGGACAGGATTCTTGTTCAAATCCTATTTGAATACTGATTTTTCACTTGCTTTAGCAGGAGGCCTGCTTGCTGGGGGCCAGGCTGCAGGTTTGTCTCTCTCCTCTCAGCTGTGGCTTCAAGATCACTTCCATTTGTGAGGCTCTGCACTGCTGTCTTGGACTGAAGGCCAAACTGGAGCTCCATAGCTCAGTTCTGAAATCCCTGGGTATTAGCACAGTCAGCTTTAGGGTAAGTTAGGTAATGACACCGGGAGACATAGTAGCCTTCTGTACTTGACTAGAGCAGAAACCACTCCAGCTTGTGATTCTGTGCAAGTACTTTTCTTGTCACCCACTCATTTGCCAATTTTCTGTCTCCCCATCTGCGCACCTCTCTAGGATGTGAGCTTCAGGGGAGCAGCAGCTTTGTGCCTGTGGGGAACCAGGACATCGCACCACCTTTAGGGCTGCCTGGCCCACTGAGCATGCTCTGTAGAGGTTCAGAGTGATTCAGTCTCCCCTCCCAGTCTTCAGGGCTCTGGAGACAGCCGCCTGTCTCTTTTTGACTCCTCTTCCTCAAACTCTTGCCCCGTCAACACACGGCTCTACACATCGCTCAGAAGCAATCTCCAATCTCGAATGTGTCAGAAAATCCCTTCTGATCCGCTGTGACAGGGAGAGAATTCATTGCTTTGGGTCAGTGAGAAATCCAGAGGTAATGCTGGCTCTGCGTGAGACTCGGTCTGCTGACTCAAATGTGCTCCCAAGGTGGGGAAGTTGCAGGTAGAGAAGGACATGAAGGTCGGTCCGTAGGGGCCCCAGACGTCCCCGACCCTGGCTCCCCTGCTAAGGAGCAGGACAAGCTCTCCCTCTCCATGTCTCCCTGGCTCTAGCCTGCTGCTGTCTCACAGATCAAATTCACCCAACTGTCAGATGGGGTAGGCGAGTGTAGCGGGGTGCACTCAGGACAGGCTGAGTGACGTGGTGTTTGTAGTGTTTATCACAGCTAGGGTGTGCATGAGCTTCAGGCTCCAAAGACGACAGCTGCCAGGAGAGAAGAGGGACTCTGTGGGCGAAGAGCTCAGAAAGCAGGAGCCGTGTGCATTGTGTGTATATGCGCGCGCGTGTGTGTTTCCCCATTTTGGCCTCCGTGAGAGGACAAAGGTCTGCCAATTTACTTATTGCTGGCAAAGCTGACATAAATGGGCAGGTGAAGGTCCAATCTGCTTTTCAGACACCCAATGCCACCACGTCCTACTGCACCTTGGTCCAGGCCACATCGCCCTGTCCTCAGCCTTGCCCCACGAAGTCCATCTGGCTGCTGTGTTCAGATCCCCGGCCTTCAGATGGCAGGTCTGGATTTGAGTTGCTCATTCTTGAGTTTCCCAGGAGGATGTGGGGATTCATCTAAAAATGTGTCTGAATCCACAGGTCCCCAGGGGCAGCTGGGGATTCAGTCCACAGAGGACGTGTCTGGGTAGGAAGAACACTGGCACACTTCTGCTCTGTGTTGCCACAGTGCTACCCATTCCCTGGCCGTGGCACTGTTGGAACTTGAATGTAATGGCAGGACGCAGAGATGCAGGGGTCTTCGAGCCACCTGACTGCCCTGCACAGTGACAAAGCCCTCTGCTGGCAGATAACACCTCCAGCTCTTCACTGAACAGATAGGCTTCCCAGCTGCTACTGAGCCCACTCTCCACTGCCAGCTGTCACTGATGGCGCTGGTTCCATTTGGGCTGTTCTGACCTCACACATGAGACCACAAAATCACAGAGCTCTGAAATCGTCCTCCTCTTGGGCTGCCACCCCTCATCACGCTGAGCACCAGGCTCGGGAACTGCGAGGAATTTCACCTGCAGTGGATCTGATGAGAAACACTCGGCTGGTGCCAAGAGGTCTCGAGGCTGGGGAGGAACAGGTCCTGCCCCACCCCTTGCCACGGTCCTGCATTAGGGAGTCCCAGCCCCAGGGCAGGCCACAGTGACAGTCACTGCAGGCGCGTCATCAGCATGGGCCGCAGGTCACCCCATTGCTATTCACCCGCCCAGCTCTCAGGTCAGCTCAGGGTGGCCTAGCCTGGCTCATTGACACCAAAGTGCCAGGACTGGTTTTCAGGATGTTTCTGGCTCCTTGACAGCCCCTTCCTGTTTTGGAAGCTAAAGAGGAGCATTTGAAAAAGAGGTTTCATTTTTTTTTTTTTAAATCCCACCAAGATTCCACTGGTTGAAGAGAAGGTGGTCAATCGGTGGCAGAGACATCTGTCCCCTCTACTCAGACTAACATGCCACAACCCTCAGATTTTGGCCTCAGCGACACTGAAGCTGTTTTCTCTCCAGTCCCTGTACTTTTCTCATGTGTCAGAAACTATGACATTGTCCAGGCGCATGACACATCTTCAGAGCAGCCTGGATGAGTCTGGAAACACACCCTCAGGCCAGTTCGTCCTCTCTGACTCCATCCTGGGAAAGGAATCCACCAGCATGGTCAGTGGTTAAAAACAGAAAGGCAGAACCTAGGAAATAAAGGTTCTGCAGAGAAATGAGTCACGAGGGGGGGGGGGTTCACACAGCCTCCCGTTCCTTCCGGAGAGGGCCTTGGGGATGACGAGACAGCCACTCAGCAACAGTGTAGGAACAAGTCCCTGCTTCTGTGGAGGGCATGGTCCTGGGGACAGGAGGCTGTCATCTAGAGGTACCCCAGGGGGCTATGTGGTGATGGCAAAGGTGTCTTGGGCATCATCAGCACCTCACCTGTCACTGAGGGAAGACGGGAGGGTGGAGGGAGGGGGTCTCCCCAAACTCACTCTCAGAGACATTGTGAAGCCTCTTTTCCAAGGCCAGGTTCTGATGATCACTGCTGTGGCCGGTGACCCTCCATGCCATGCCAATTTCCAAGACTAAGGACTGCGTGGCTTGAGGGTAGAATTTAGGTGTGTCCCCAAACCTCCTGTGTTGGAAGCTTGGTCCCCTGTGTGGTGATGTGAGGAGCTGCCAGGACCCTTAAGAGGTGGGGGAGGGAGGGTTAGGGCAGTTGGTTGGATCTTGGGGTGCTGCCCCCAGCAGGGATGAAGGCAGGTCCCATGGGGGCAGCTCTTGGCAGGGCAGAGCAAGTTGGGGACAAGTGCCCTCCCTGCTCTGTGGGTTGCCATCCTGCCTGCCGTGAACTCCAGTGGCCTTTGCCAGAGCCTAGCGGATACTGTGCCGCTCCCTGAAACTCCATGGCTGTGAGGTAAACACCTGTTTTCTCTGTAAGTGACCCTGCTTAGGTATCCTGTCATAGTGGTAGCAAATGGACTCATACAAGGACCAAGTTTAGGTTAAGGGTTAACTAGGATGTGGTACAGAAATTTAACAACCTGACAGATCTCTAAACATACCTGCCTCTTTTATAGCAGAATGCTGTAAAAAATCTCTAATGGTTCTAAGAGTTCAGGTTACACCCTTTCCCAACCAACCTGTCATACTTTTCTTCAAATAGTGTCCTCAGATTTTATTTGCACACAGTTCTTAAATGCTTGCATCTCATGAAGAGAAAATGACACCCGGTCTTCAGTGTGCATCAGCCGTGCTACCCACTAGCTCTGATCTCAGGCGAGGATCTCATGTGCTGGCCTGGGCACAGCAGTAACAGCAGTAACATGGAGAAAACCAGGTCTTCCTGCTGCAGTGGTGGTGAAGACCACTGAGCCAGCCAGAACAGTGCCAGTCGCACAAAAGGCACTCCATCAATGCCGGCTGGTTCCACTCATCAGCTGCTACCATTAATTACAACAGCAAGGCTGGACTTCTGCCAGCAGCCACAGGTTTATCTGAATGGAGAAAGACCCGATTAGCTCATCTCTACTCTGGAAGGGTGAGATAATCCCACTCTCCAGGCTTGATTTCTTTTTTTTCTTTTTCTTTGGCACTGGGAATTGAACTCAAGACCTTTCACTTGCCAGGCAGGTGCTTATGCCTCTGAGCTGTATTCCCAGCCCCTTGATTTCTTTTTGACAGAACACACATATTGATTTTAAAAGGAAAAAATGGCTAATTAGGGGTAAATCATATTTAAATATCAAACTGAATTGAGTGATTAACAGATGAGATCAATTTTGCTAGTAAAACTTGTAAATTTATATATATTGGCTATGAAATTCTTGTCAGATATGTGATTTGGAAATATCTTCTATTTTGTGGGTTGTTTCTGAATAAACATAAACTTGGCTTTTCATAAGATCTGGCTTATGTAGAAATCTGTACTATCAACTTAAACTTAAGTAGTTGGTTTTTGAAAGTTATCTTCAAATTAAAGTATAACAGTATTCCTTATAAAATTGATTTTATTTTTTAAAAGCATTCATATTATTAGATAAATATATCTTTAAAAATACCATCTGTACAGAAAAAGAGCAGGTCCCAGTCAGAATGGGTCACTCTGGGTTCTGCCACTTGGTGAGAGGCCTCCCCGTGGATCACTCCTCCTGCCCGCACCCAGGAAGTCGTAGGCCTGCTCCGAGAGGTCGAAAGGCTCATGGACTCCGTCCTTGGACAGCAGGGCCTGCAGGGCACCCTGGTTCTCCTGGGTTTGCTTGAGGAAGTCAGCGATGATTTTCCACCGCGCAGCCTCGGTCTCCTCTTCGGCCCACCGGAAGGGGGGCAGCAGCGTGGAGTGCAGCAGCGGGAGCACACGGTCGTGGTAGACCAGGAGGAAGCTGGCCTTCAGGAGCTCTCTGTCCCTCTGGGGAAACAGCGGCACCCAGCAAGAGTAACCGTGGGTGGAACACATCATTACACTTAAGCAGGAGATTCTGATCCTTGTTAGTTAAAAGCCACCTGCAAGGCGCCATGGGAGAGGTGCCCTTTGTGCCTGACAGCTAAAAAGCCACCCCAGAGCACAGCCGGGGGGTTCCCTGAGACAGTCTCCCAGTGTCTCCTTGAGTGTCACACACTCTCAGGAGACCACGGCATTGCCATCTAACGCTGGTGACAAATGTGTGGTTCTGCTAAGACGCAGAGCAAGGTCAGCTGTGTCTACTTAGCCCAGTGACAGCATAGCAGATACAACTGTCTGGCTTCTGTAAGGGAGGGACAGATGTACACATGGGGTCCAGAGAAAGGAGATCCAGGAGGTAAGGATTTGGTAGAATTCTAGCAGTGCCTGGGCTGGGAAGCGGGGGTCCTGTGGTCCAGAGGGCACCAGAGCCTCCCTGTATCAAGAGGATCCACCCAGCCCCGAGGCCATCAGGCCATGGCCGGGGCACAAGGGGCACAATGGCCGAGGGCAGAGCAATCCGTATGCAGCGCTCTCCACACAAACACTGCCCTGACAACACTGAGGTACTGCAGCCTGCCTTTTAGCAAAGGTCGTGTGCCAGCTGTGGGAAAGGTCATATAGCAAAGGGAAGCCCAAGTAAGCTGTATAAATAAGTCTGTGGTATATTTATATGCTGTGTAAATAAGTCTATGGGATATAGCACCCCCAGCAGTCAGAGTTTTCGGTTTGCTTGTTCTCCCACAACCCTTACTTAGATCAACACTTCAGATAACCAGCACTTTAGATCAGGAAATGGCAAACAGGACCACGGGGAAATGCGTCTGTGTGTACACAGGGCCTCAGAGGTCCCAGGCCAGCCTCAGTCACTTGTATCCTGGCGGCAGAGGACAGTGCTTGTCGCCAGATGTGTGGCCCGCAGGGTGAAATATTTACCACCCGGCCCTTTACAGAAGTCGCCTGCTGATCTTGGGTCAGCGCAGTTGAACCGCTGCTCACAGATCCATGCGACTTCTGTGATAATCACAGTTCTTCTAAGTGACACGAGCGGACCCAGGCACTTGTGAGTATGGGACACAGCCCAGGCCAAACTCATCTTTCCTTGTCCCCATGTGATTTAGTTGTTGGCAGCTGGAGGGAAAATTTTTTTTGAAATCAGGGATATGGGATAGCCAGCTGGAGACTCTGGTTTAGAAATTCCCCCTTCATTTAAATAAACCTCAGTGACCTGAAATGACATTCTGGAGGCCATGCACACCCTTCTTAGAATATGTCTTTGAAACCGAAATAGCACAGCTACCTGAGTAAGCGGGGCTATGACTTTTTAGCTAAAGAACATGCACGCAACCATAGCACTACAGAAAGTCCCACATGAAAAATCGTATTACCTTCTCTGATCTTTTCAGTGTGCTTTCTTTCTCAGCCCATGAACTCTACAAAAGCCAACAGAAATATATTAGTTTGAGTATTCACAAATCCTTGCAACACTTGTGCCACTTTATGGTGTAATAAGCTTATGAGCAGGGCTAGAAATGCCACTCGGAATCTACACACGCCAGAAGTGACTCTGTCATTAGGTGTCCACTGCTAAGAGTGTGGAACAGGACTGACTGGACATGTCCATGAAAGATACCTGTGTTTTTTGTTTTGTGTTGTGTTGTTGAGACAGGGCTGTTATGTAGCCTAGGCTGGCCTTGAACTGTGTAGTTCTACTTGTTATGATCCTTCTGCTTCAGCCTCCCAAATACTGGGATTACAGGCACGTGCCACCATGCCCATTTTTAAGTCAGAACTAATTTTTAAAAAAGTGTCCATAATCCCAGTTCTCTAGAAAGCTGAGACAGATGGAGGAGAGTAAGTTCAAGCCCAGCCTGTGCAACTTAATGACTTAGCAAGACCCTGTCTTCAAAAAAAGAGAAGAAAAGAAAGGAGAAGAGGGATTGGGATGTAGCTCAGTGTGAAGGTTCTGGGTTCAATCCCCAGTATTGGATCAGAGGGAAAAAAAGAAGAGTCGGTGTGCAGACACAGCAGGACAATGAAACAGAATTAGGTTTCTAAATAGCTTCTCAGGTAAGCTATCAATGAGAGCAGACACCACCACCAAATGCCGAGCTCCTAGCAATCCTGCCTGCTGCGATGATGATACCGGCTGGGGTCAGACAGACTGAAGTGGTTTTGTAAGTAAATAATTCCAATCTGTCCACAAGACGTCACAAGAGCTTCTTGAGAGAAATGAACACCCAGAGTTCAGCTGATCCCACAGAAACAGGAACTGAAGCCTTTCACAGAGCAGACCTGGGTCTGGGTGGAATGTGGCCAGGCTGCCCAGCCCAGGGCCTGGGTTGTGTGTGTTTGTGGGAGTCTTCCTGTTGGCACCTGATTTCCTGGGTAACCTGAAAGCACTGGGCCAAGGAAGACATTCCCCACGGAAGGAAGGGGGCGCCAAAGGGCCCTTTTTCACTGGAGGCTGGCAGGTCCCAGAGGGCTCCTGGTTACCCCCTTGGGGATGTGGCACCCACCCTAGCACCACTGGGCTGTAAGTGCTCAGGAGCTTGCAGAGGACCCTTAGGAAGCCTGAGTGCCTCATGAAATGGGCCAGGTGCCGTAATTATTTTTAAAATGCCCACCACAAAGTGAACTTGGCTAAGTGCATACCAGCAGGTCCACACACTTCAGTGTGGATTTCAGGAGCTATACAGATAAGTCACTCAGGGGATTCAGACTTCTTGTATGGAAACATGGCCTCCTGTTGATAAGTGTGGGGCTTCCATGCTATTGTTCACTGGGTCACCAGCAGGCGGTGGGATGCTTTGCCAAGACTGAGTTGGCGGAGACAGAAACCATGTGTGGCTCACCTCTTCCCTTCTGGAACAAACACAGCCCCTACCTCACAGCTCCCAACCAGGGAAGTGGAGTGGGCCTCTTCCTTGTCAATGCCCTGTGACAAGTGGCCCGGGTTCCTCAGGCAAGGGCAGCAGAAACCCCAAGGACAGCCCTCCACTCTCTTTTCCTGCAGCTACTCACTTCCCAGGGTGCTGTAAGGTGGTGGGGCTTCCCCCAGCCTGCACCCTTGGGGGGCTGTGGAGCAAGTATCCCACTGAGTCAAGCTGGATGGGACTGCACTGGCCACGCAGTCCCCCTGAGCTTATCCTGAGTCACACAGTTGGCCTCGAGGGACAGGCTCAGGAGTGTAGGGCTAACTACTCTTGTTACTAATTTTCATTATTTGTTATACAGGTAACTTAAGAAAATACAGATAAAATAACCCAGGATCAGAGGTGATCGCTGATACCTTTCTTTGTCTAGATCTCATAGGCAAAGATCTCAAATGAATTTTTTTCATTTAATAAAGAGATTTGAATGAGTTTATATCTTTTATTTTTGGTCTTTTTCCTTTTTATCAGTACCAGGGATCAAACTCACGACTGCCTGCTTGCAAGGCAGGCGCTTATGCCGCTGAGCTAAATCCCCAGCCCCTAGTTTATGTCTTTTCTTCTTTTTCCTTTCCAATACAAGGGGCTGCCAGGGCCATTACACTGAGCCACATCCTCGGCTCTTCTGTATTCATGTTCTTTGGAGCCAGGGTCCTCCTGCACTGCTAAGCTGTCCAGGCTGGGCCTGAGCTTTCTTGACCAGCCGTGGTGTATCTTGGTGCAACTGGGCACACGCAGAGTTGGCTGACAGTGCAGCTCTGGTGTGGCCCCTGCTGAGCTCTGAGCCACCTTCTCATGGAAGACAGGCAGATTTTAGACCAACTTAGCATTCGGGTTCTTTCTGAATGTCGCATCCTGAATCTGCCTGGTGCACATCTAGAGAAATACCAGGTGTGACTGAAAGACACGGTGAGTGCTTAAATTTTAAAAAAATTATTACAGTAAAAGACACATTGTTCTCCATACCCCTCACAATCCTCCCTTTCACTTTGGACGTATTTATCCCACCTTTCTGACCACCATCTGAGACAGTTCTGAGTCCTCTTCCATGGCTTCAATGGTGCTGCTGGCTGCCTTGAGGTCCTAAATCTACTCAAAACATTTACCTTTCATGGTCATTTTGACTTTGGGGAAGAGCCAGAGGTCACACAGGGTCAGATCCGGTGGAAAGGGTGGCTGAGGACACTGTGAGCTGCCTTTCCACCAGATGGCACGTGGCAGCAGCATTCACTGTGCTTCTGATCACGCCCCATAGAGCCATGGAGGATGACTTCCAGAACTGCTTCAGAAAGTGGCGAGAGGGTGGGCTGAGCGTGTCTGCAGCAAGGAGGGGACTGTTGCGGGGGGCTTAATGACAATGCGTCTTTCACTGGAATAGATTTTTTAAAAAAGCAAACATGTGCTGTACATTTTAATGGCCCCTTGTACTCTGAAATCTTTGCTGAATGAATGAATGCACTTATGTTCTGAAAATGAATGACCATGATGACACAAATGATTTTAGAGGGGAAATAAGACCAACACTGCATTATCTAACTACAGTTCCACGCGAACCCATTTAAAATCGTAGACTATCATATACTATGAACACTTTCTTAACTCTTCTTTCTTTCCCTAAACGGCTCTGGAACTGTGCACGCCCCCTGCCTCAGCCAAGCCAGTGCATGAATCACATTCAAGGTCTAGTGTAAATCTCTGAAGACAGAGCCCTTCCATTTCTGTCAGGCCCGCCCAAACCCCCTCAGCGGCAGAGCTCTTCCACCCCACTGCACTGCCAGCGGGTCAGGCTGCAGCAGACTCTTCCAGGTTACCTGGCCCCAGGCCACCTCATCACCTTCCACATAAAGACCCCAAGATCCGCCATGCTCCCTCACCAGCACTCTCAATTCCCTCCTGCCCCAAACGGTCTGTTCCTGCTGACCACTCACCTGCAGGGTCTTCACCCCTCGGCAGGTTGAAAGTCCTCTGTGGCCCCAGCCCTTTATCTTCTTTAAGGCAGCAGGGCCCCGACCCACATTCGCTGCCTATTTTAAATCTTCAAGGCCCAGGATGACACTTCCCTGTCACACTGCCACATTACCAATGCACGGGTCTCACATGAACACAGGACTGCTAGTATTTATTGACTCTGATATTTTAGGCTGAGCCATGTGAAACAGTTAAACGTGGCCGAGAACGAGAGATTTCGTATGGCTCCACCTAATATCAGTGCTATTTCAGACATTAGATGGCGTGTCAAATTAAAAACGATACGCATGTCCTGGCTCTTCCCTGAAAACGCAGTTGATTCCTCAACCAAACCCTTCAGAATTTTTGTTCTTAGGACACCATCACAGGCTACCACAAATCAAGGAACAAACAGGCAAGAGGGTGCAATGTGCACACAGCAGACTCCACCTGCTTGTTGGGAAGTGACATTTGTCCTAACACTGGAAAGAGTGAAGCTGAGTCAGGTAGGTAGTGGAGGGGACGGGGAGACACCATCCTCCTGCGGGAGGAAAACGGCCTAGGGCAGGAGTCTGAACCCATTACCACGGTGTGTCAGCCACAGATCCAGCTGGTTTGCAGCATGGAGGGCGCTACCCACCCTTAGCGCGTCCATCACTTCAGGCTGCTCCAGGAGCTGGGGGAAGGAGGCCAGCATTGGGTGACTGATGAGATCTGAAAGACACAAGAGGAGAAGCTTACGTGAACTGCATTCACTGTACCTGACTGCACCACACACACGCATATTCATTCACATTAAAATCACGGTACCAAATGATTTCTTGATAACACCTTCTATACACTTTAACCTCCACTTCTGCCCCTCCCTATACCTTGTACAGGTGCACCAGGAAAGAATTCAATGAAAGGGTTTTGGCCCAGACAGGACTCTGTAGCCAGGAAAGCCTCAACGGGAACCAGGAAGCTCCTATCTCCCCCGCCCCTAGGAATTTACCTGTGATGCCATCTTCCCACCCCTGGGGATTTACCTATGGTGCCAAACCTAGGACCAATGGGCTACCTGTGCTTCCCTAATGCCCCCCTTAGCTTCCATCCCAAACTGAGGCTACTTATGTGCCTCACTCCACATGTTCCATGGAGAGATCTCGGACCCTGGGGCGGAGATGCCACGCCCTGGGGGATCAGGGTGTCTCTCTCTGCATTCTCAAAATAAAGGTCATTTATATTTCATACTTATCTTTTCAGCCACCGCCGGTCCTCCCCCACAGTTCTATCATTAAGAACAGGAGAGTCTGGTCACGTGACCAGATATTGTGTGGGGAACACTGATACTTTATCATGAATAACGGCACAGAAGATGTAGTACAAGACACAGCAGCGGGCATTTGTGGGTTCACTGGTACCTCTATGCCAGAGCACCTGGACCTGGTATTGCTTCACAAACAATGGGGATTTACATCACACAGCTCTGGACACCCGGGGCCCCAAGATTAAGGCACCAGTTAAGCATTTAGTATCTGGTGAGGGCTGTCTTACTGGCCAGTGTGGTTTGTATTTAAATGTCCCCCCAAAGCCACCTGTAGGCATGAAGGTGGCTGAGTCTAGCGTTTGTGATTGGTTTGTTGTCTAGTGCTGGGATTGGTGGTGTGAGTGCTGCACCTGCCCAGGAGCAGAGCCAGCTAACAATATAAGGGAGGTAAGGAGAGGTGCTTTTTCCTTTTTTGCCCTTTCTGGCCTGTGGTTTGCAGAATGGTTCCCCTTTGCCATGCCACTCTGCCTTGCAGCCAGTATGGATTGAAACCTCCAAAGTCTAAGTTAAATAAACCTTTCCTTCCTTCATTTTGAGCATCAAGTATTTTGTCTTAGAAACAAGAGAAAAGTAACCAAGATGCTGGCCCTTTGGAGAGAATGACATTGTGTCCTTGTCACAGAAGGCAGAAAGATAAGCAAGAAAGATCCCTGTCCATGGTCACACCCTTCTGTAAGGTCACCTGAGGCCACTCATGAGAGAGGAGCACTCTTGGTCTAATCACCTCTCAAAATCCTCTCCTCTTGACACTATCACAAGAGCAAAGCCTGGATTTCGGAGCAGACATTCAGACTATAGTAGGTACTTCTCAAATAGCAAGGGTGATACATTTGACAACACCAATGTCCTTAGAGAATCCTTTCTTTAGATCCTGCTAAGCTTGTTCTGCTGACCGACTGCAAACAAAGCCATCTGTCTTGAGCCACTCTCTCTTTACTGAGAGAAAAAAATAGCACCCCTCATCCCCTTTAGGAAGTAATGTCACTCATGAAGCTTTTCTAAAGTCATTAAAATAAACTCAAAGGTGAGTGTGAGTTAAAAGGCTTCACTGGCTCCCCCTGGAACTATGACTATTCTTTGAGAAATCTCTGTGCGTTCTGACTCTGAGTTCCACTGCTACTTGGTGGTGCAGGTGGCAAGACTGGCCCAGACATCACCTGTGCACGCTGCCAGCTCATCACAGCCCAGCCCCCCTTGGCCCTGTCCATCCTGGCGGCCTTCAGTTCTATCCCTCCAACGTGAGCACAGGTTCTTGCCTGGGTGCTCAGACCAGCTCCTCTATCCAGAAAGCTCCTCCCCAACCCCCAGGGGTCGAACTCCCTTCTGAGCTCTCTTCAATAGTCCTTGCTCAGTGCAGCATTTCCTCACAGTTAATTCAGGCCTCCTAGCGATCACTCTCCCCCTCTGAGCATCTTCCTGCTGAGCTCTCATTCAGAGGATGGACAGCTTAGTCATGTGACTGTGTCTGAGGCCTGTCGTCCCACCAGGGTGGGGACGACCCTGCCTGTCTCATTCATCCTGGGCCTACATAATGTCTGGCATGCAGCAGACCGCACATGTCAGATCGATGATTTACTCAGTTCAAACCCCAGTCAATGAAGCTAAGCTGTTTTCCTCTCTGAGGGCTATTCTTCTGACACATGCATTTCTCCTTACAAGTAGCTTGTTGATTTCCTAAATAATCATTCAACTTTTGACTTGGAATAATTTCCAAATTCAAAAGAAGTTTCAAGAATAAAAACAGTACATAAACAATTAGAATATTCTTTATCTTGATTCACTGATTATTTTGTTTCGAGACAGGACCTCACTATGTAGCCACGCTGGCCTTGAATTCACAGCAATCCTCCTGCCTCAGCCTCTCGAGTGCTGGAGTCACAGGCATGTACCTGGCCAAATCACTGATTTTAAACTAATCCAATGACTCCTATATTTCATGCTCTAAGAATCAGTTATTTGAGGATTTTGTTTTTTCCCCAAATGACAACTTGCATGCCAAGTGCAGGGAGGGGGAAAGATATTCAGAGACAGATTTCAATTTCAAGCTTCCATATTTAAAAATGCAAAAGAGTGTATCTGAAAGAACTGAGCATGTATTTGAGGTTCCAAATGTCCAAGCTTTGCATCGGGCGTACTGACATTGATGCCACCCCCGTATTTTATTCCAAATGTCCCACTTAGAAACCAAGGTTACATCCATGCAGGCATAGAGCACCAGTGAATGAAGAAGCGTGAGGACTCCTTACCAGCGTTCTGTGAGTTCGTCCTGTCTTTCAGCAGTGCATCTCCAAGAATCTGCCGATAAAATACCAGCAGGTGGGAGCAGCACATACTTCCAACCAAGGTTTCCGGCAGGAAGCTGTCGCGGAAGGGAAAAATGCATTTAGCAAGCCGTCCCTCCAGGCTGCCCGCAGGGCTTTTCCTGCACGGTATTGGGAAACATTTTAAGAACCGAAAGGAGAATTTCTACCAAGTGGCCACAGTAAGCTTCCGATACACATTTGAGGTGTGTACTTCCAGCCTCCGCCGTGCTGTAACCCTTGTGTTTCCATTTTAGCAGACACCCCTGGCAAATGGCAAAGAAAAAGAAAAGCCCTGGAGTACTTGTGTCAGACAGCGAGTGCCCAGTGAGCCACCCACTTGAACAAAGGCAAGTGGCTGCCACGCCTGACTGATGCGGAAATCCCAGAGCCACAGTTTCAGGGCGGGTGCCACAGGGTGTGACAGGCCCAGGGTGTGAATGGCCCGGGGCAGATCCCGACTTGGCTGTGAGGCTGTGGACTCCTTAGGGCTCACTCTCCCTGTACTTTAATTTCCTTGTGTGTGGAATGTGAGGAGCATGATCCACAGTTCCCCTGAATAAAAGGATTAAATGCCTAAAGCAGCGTCTGCATAGACAGGGCTGCAGGGCAGGAAACCGTGCACAACTGAAGGTGTTACCAGGTTAGAGTGCTACAGTTTTGGGATGTGTGACGGAATCCCCATGGCAACCACAAAGAAAATGTCTATAGAACATACACAGAGGAAATGAAACGGGGTAAAAATGTGTCTCCGTGAAAGGTCAAGCACAAAGGAAAGCAACAGGGAGGAAACGAAAGACACAAAAAGTGACACAATGTCAAGGAAAACAAGAAACAAAATGCCACAAGTCAGGTCTTTCCTATCGGCAATTTCTTTAAGTGTAAATGGATTAAAACCCCAATCGAAAGATAAAAGTTGGAAGAATAGATTTAAAATATAAAATGCAACTATATGCTTTCTATAAGACATTCTAGATGAAGGACACTCATAAAGTCATCAATAAGACTTAAATTTTTATAAGTCAATCTTTAATTTCTAGAAAAGTTTAGAAGGAAAAAAATATGAGAAAGGCAATGTTCGGTCCTGTAGCTGATCACAGGGGAACAGACAGAAAACGACACTATGCTGGTGCAGAAGGGATAGGGTCCTCAGGTAGTCAGTGCCTGGAGTTTAGGCTGAGCATCCCCCACCACTCCCTGAGTTTCTAGAAACACTAAAAAATTACAATACAGGTTCTCTTACCACATTCATATCATATATACTAGTGGGCACACAGAGCCAGAAATCATTTTTCCAGTGCTCCCCAAATTCCAACTGAGATTTCAAAGACTGACTACAGGGGAGCAGCCGAGCTGCCTGGAAGCCACCACCAGGCACTGTTGGTGTTCTTCCTGAGACTTCTGAGGAGGGTTGTCTGGCTCTGGCTCTGGCTCTGGTCCCCAGCCCACCCAAGCAGTGTTCCTGTGCACGCCCAGACTCAGGGCTCATGCTGAGGAACAGCAGGGGCCTTTGCCAGGGGAAGGGAGGAGCCTTCCTTCCTTCCTCCGGCTCTGTCCTCGCCTTTCTCCATCTGTCTGCCAGGCACCAGTGTGGGCACCGTGTGGGCCCTCCTTTCCTTCTGAAACCTTCCCACATGAGACAGTGTGGCTTCACTTTTTAAAGATTTTCTTCAGAGAAACCTCTGGTTTTTCCACACCCGAGGTGACCAGAAAGTTCTGGGCGACAAACAGTTAGCTGAGTTGAAGAAGTAAAAAGCTATGTCTCTGCCAGTGCAAGTGCTGCTGGCAGGAGGGGAACAGATGTGATGAGTGGGCTTTAGTCAAGTAACAGTCCTACTTTATTCAATTGTAATATTCAATTCAGTTTAGAAAAAAAGAGAATATGGAATGGATCGAAAAGACAAGCAAAATAAATTCACAGCAAATTCACATGGAGATCCATACAATCTACTTTACAGCCTGGTGTCTCCTGGCGCTCAGAACTCAGAGTCTAAATTTGGACCTTTCCCTTAACCGGGGCTTAGGAGCAGGCCTTGGTCAAATCACACCAGGTTAAACCCCTTTGGAAAGCAGCTCCAAAATTAGAAAGACAAGTTTTGGTGAAGCAGAAGCATCTATCTGCTTCTGGTCAAAGAGTCAGGGTCACCATGATCACAACTGACTCCCTGAAGGGCTTGAAGGCGAGCCGGGTGCGCTTTCCTGTTGGAAGAGACAGGCTGGCCTGCCCGGCTTGTTTGCATTGTCACAGGTCTGCAGGCCAAAGGACCCATGCGTGTGATACTGTTGGCTGTGAGAGCCACCGAGAGCTGGGCATCAGGGGGCCAGGGGAAAGGGGCCTGACGCATACTCCACCAGGGCTCTGCACCCTTGGTCTGCCCCACCGGATCTCACCATGTCCTGGCCTGGTTTCTCTGAGAGGGTGGGCTGTGCCTGGGTCACGCCAGCAGGGGACCTTAGCCTGTCTGTAAGAGCCCCAGGATGTGCCTTTCAGGACCAGGCAGCATGGAACAGTGCTCATGACCATGGGAAAAGAGAAGAGCACGCAAGAGACAGGCCGGGAGAAGGAGCCCTACTTGGAAATTGCTTCACAAACACTTTCTTGGGTGCCTACCATGTGCTGTCATCACACATGTGCTTCTGTCCCTGAGTTCTGGGGGACAAGGCTGCAGGACCCTTCAGTCAGGCCCAGCACATGGGAGTGTTCCCAGCTGCTCTCCTGACCTCTGCGCTGTGCAGCCCGACTTGATCTCAGAATGGGAAGACGCATCTGAAAACCGGAATGCAGAGCCAGAGGCACAGCATCGAGAGCTGTGCGTGCCAGACGCGCTGGCAGTGCCCGGCTCTCAGAGCCCTGCCTACCAGCTGGAGCAGTGCAAGAGTGAGGTCGAGCGGGATGAGGCTGTTCACTTACAGAGACCGCTACTGTGCTGGTTCTGCATCACGAAAAAGAAGTTTTCCATGGAAAGACTGCCAAAAAGGGGAATTTACAGGCTCTAAGAACATCCAAGAAAGAAAGAAAAAACCCAAGAGAGTGAGTAATACCTAGGAGCGCACCATCAACGGTTGTTGAAAGACTGAACTGTGAGTAGGGTAATTATAAGATGCACCTCGGTCTGAGGTCAGAGCAAGGGGTATTTAACCTCGGGATCCGGAATGAGCAAAGCAAACCCCTCGGGGGCACCCCAATCCCTCTCCCCCAGCTTCTTGGAAATCTGCAGTAAGGAGCTGTCCTGGGAGCACAGCCCCCTGGATGGGCTCTGCCCCACACTGTGCTCACCTCGCCCTGTCCCCCGGGTGCCCGTGTCCTCTGTGAGAAGCTCCTTTCCTCTCCCATGGCCACCTTCCTGCCCTCCTGCAAAGTCTGCTTCTGCTCCTCCCCGGACCCTCCCTGCTGAAAACCACATCTTCATCCAAGCAGTCTTTACAGCACTGTCTCCTTGGCGTTGAATCTACATCATTACTCCAATGGCGGATGCTAATGGTTGGCGCTATGTGCTCCACTGTGTGCCAAGCACAATCAACACGAAGCCCGGGGTTTATATGCTTCCTTTCCAGTCACTCTTGTTCCAGTGGTAAGGGGTCTATGCTGGTACGTCTGCTTTTTCAGACTAGTCTTAATATTGTAAAGGGTGGCATACAAATCGCTTTTAATTCTAGCGTAAAAATGAAAACATTTAAAATAAATAGCTGCGATAATTTTTAACATATACACAAAGTTAAAAGTCATAAATTTTAATGTCAATAACATAAAATGTGGAGGCAACAAAAGAGATAAGGCACCCCAGGGGCAGAGTGAGAACTGTCTGGTTTTAGATGGCACGGTCTTATTGGTCTATTTAAAAGGCTGAGAAATGGTTAAAAGTCTAAGGACACTGAGTGAAAAATTAGTAGATCTGAGATTCCACTAGTATAAATGCTTCTTGCACAAAACACAAGTTAAAAACACCATGGAAACCACTACTGGCTTTTTAAAATGGCCAGGACAGAAAAAACTGTCAATACAAAGTGCTGTCAAGAATATGGTATACAAGGGGCTGGAGATTTAGCTCAGCGGCATAAGCACCTGCCTTGTAAGCAGGCAGTTGTGAGTTCGATACCTGGTACCGATAAAAAGCTAAAGAAAAAAAAAAATATAGTATACACCGGGGGTGGTGGCACACACCTGTAATCTCAGACCTCAAATTTGCGACCAGCCTGCGCTATAAAATGACCTCAAGGCCAGCCTGATGAGGGGGGAAAAAAAAATACAGAGAAAGTGAAATTCACACCCTGTTAGGGAGAGGGTAAATGGTACAGTAATTTTGGAAAACAGTTTGGCAGCTTCTTATAAAGTTAAACTAAAACCAGACGAGCCAGCAGTCCCATTCCTAGGTTATTTCTACCCACAAGAGATGGAGGCAGATGTCCACACTGGGAAACCTGTGGGCGAGCTGGGCACGGTGGTATACTGCCCCATCACACCAGCACCCTGGGAGGCTGAAGCCAAAGGGTCACAAGCTTGAGCCCAGCCTAGGGAACTGGTGACTTTGTGAGGCCCTGTCTCAAAAATCTCAACATTAAAGATTTTTTAAAAAGGGCAGGGATGCAGGTCAGTGTGAAGGCCTGGGGTTAAAACCTAAGCTGGGTGAAGAAAAATCTTGTATGCATGTGTTTAGGGGCCCTTATTCATAATTACCCAAACTAGACACAATCTAGCAACCTAGAGAATGATAAACAAACTGTGTTACATTCATAAAATGTGATACTGCCTAGAAAGAAAAGGAACAATCGAATACACGCAGCAGCCTGGGTTAATCTCCAAGGCGCCGTGCTGAGAGAAAGAAGCCAGATTCAAAGGCCGCTACTGTACAGTTCCATTTATGAGATCCAGAAAAGGCAAAGCTAGTAGGGAAGAAAACAGGTGTGAGGCTGGGCGCTGGGAGCTGACTATAGACCTGAATTCAGCTTTTAGAGTAAGGAAAACATTCTGTATCCTGGTGGCTGTTTTTACATGATTGTACACACCTGTCAAAACTCCAAGACCCCACCCACTAAAAAGGGTAAATTTGCTGTATGTAAATTAAACCTCAGTACATCTGACAAGAAAAGGTTCCCTGAAGACAGGATTAGAGATTGGTAAGCCCCATTTATTCAAAAGTGGCTGAATTATCTATAGCCAAGCCTATCACTTGGGCTTATTGGTAAACAGGACTGTGAGTGAGTGTACACAGTGTTACTATCCTGCTTCCTTACTGATGGGGTTGGGTTGTTTGGGTTTTTGGAGACAGGGTTTCCCCGTGAGATACAGGCTGGTTTTGAAGTCACTATGAAGCCCACATTGGCCTCAAACTCCCGGAGATTTTCTTTAATCACAGGTGTGCACCTCTATGTTCAGCTCCCTACTGATCTTAGGCAGAAGAATTAATGGGGGACAAAACCACTGAGAAAGACTTGGCCGAGTAAGCAGGAGGAGAAGCCGAAGCAGCGGCGCCCTGCAAAGGCGCCCGAGCACATGGGAAAGGCGAGCAGGGACCAACCTCAGGATGTTTCTCGATCTTTGGTTCAGAGACCTCAGTTTCACCAGAAGTTGAGGCTGCCTTCGCATGGTCAGCATCTGATGGAAAACACTGCTGTGTGCTGAAAAAAAAATCAAAGATAAAACTAAAAATGTGAAGTGTTTGGGAATGAGTACAGTAGACCAAGTGTTCGGTGAAAATGTGCCATCCGTGTACCAAGTGTGCAACAGGCAGGAGTCCCGAGTGTTCTCAGAGAGCCGAGGGACAAAGGGTGATGCGAATCCTGATGGACACAGACAGGCCCCAGATGGTATCACCGCTGCCTGCTTAAGCAGCGGAGAAGGGGAGTTTGAAGAGCACATCCGGCCCTAGGTAGAACCAGCTGCATCTCAGACTCCAAGCTCCTTCCTGTTCCAAGAAGCTGGGATGCCAGGGCTGTGGGGACAGCGGCAGGGAGGCTGCTCTGACCACCAAACGAAGACTAGGGTGTCTCACCCTCCGCCTCCCAACTCCCAGCACACTGCCGGGCCGAAGGCCAGGTAAAAGGCGCTCAACTTTTTGCATGACAGTGAGCCATGCACACCACCGTTCCTTGTTTATGCGCTTTGATGTTGCCTCAGGCGGGCTCTGGCTTAGCCTGACCTGTTTCTAAGAGCACAAATGCAAGTGAAGAACACCGTGCGAGCTGCCTTCTCACGTGACCGTGTTGGGCGTTAAGGGAAGGAAAGCAACACCTAAGAGCCGTACCTCTCCTGGACACGGAAGGGTCCACTTCCACGCCTTTCTCATAGGGGGTCCCGCCGTTCAGGAAGAGCTCGTAAGTTCTAGAATAGAAAAACTTGCTTGGGTGGGTATGTCTCGTAGGCATTCGGTGAACACTGGAGTCAGCAGTAAAGTACATTTGAGCACAAAGTTATTTACAGACATAACATTGATTATTATTATGTCTATAATCTGTGACAGAAGGGAGACAGCTCTGGGTCCCTAGTAGGTGCCATCTTGGTCAACAGACTCTCAGCACAAACTATTGAGAATATGGGGTTTTTTGTTTAAATGAAAATGAGAAAGATTAATTGACATTATTTGACTTTAATGACAATAACTGCTTTGAATGTATTTTCAAATGAATTGAATCATTATTGGAAACAAAGTCATTATGAATTTCAATTCTTTTTAAAATAGGAAAGTGACGTGTATAGTGTAAAACATTTGGAAGGCAAAGAAACTCCTCCCCATCTTTCCTTCCTATGCTGACACATCATTTGCTCTTTTTTCTTTTCTTTTTGGTACCAGGAATTGAATTCACAACCCTGCGCTTGCCAGGCTGGTGCTTGTGCCACTGAGCTAAATTCCCAGATGCTCTTTTTCTATGCAAACGAAAACAAGCTGATACATGTTTCCCCCACACCTCGGTCCTGGGGATCAAAAGCAGGGCTTCATGGAAAGACGACCAGGAGCTACTCCTGCAGCTCTGCGTGCGTCTGTTCTGAAGCAGACACCACCTGAGTGCAGGAAGGAAGTTAAAAGGCCCCTTTACCCCTACCACGCCAGGGTCCCCATTCTGATCCAGGTTACCTGCATCTGCCCACAGAAGCAAACAAATAGTTTTCAATGAACAATTAAAGAGGGGTGGGGTCACGGTATTCAGACTGGTCTGTGTCTTACATTTTGTCTGCTATACACTGGAAGCGTCTCTGTATTAATACACAGAGCTCTACCTTGCTTCTTGCTTAAAAAACACCTGTCACCTGACTTGTAGAAAGATGGAGACGAATTTTCTTTATTTCCTTCATTAAGGACTGCACCCCACCCCTGAGCATGTTTTCTAAACACACCACAAGAAAGCTTGGGTTTCTATACCCACTCCTGTTACTGGGGGAGCCCTCCCACCCATGCATGGGGGTGACACCAAGAAAGGAGGTAATCAGGACTTTACCTCTGGCCTTGAGATGTTACAGACCACAGCCTCGGACTTTATAATTCTTTTTTTTTTTTTCTTTTTTTTTGTCTTTTTCCTTTTTATCGGTACCGGGGATCGAACTCACGACTGCCTGCTTGGGACTTTATAATTCTAAGCTTGGGATCCTGATCACCATGCAGCTCCCTGCCTGCCCATTTGCATCTCTGCTGTGAATTTCGCTTTATAGCCTAGACTTAGAGCTGAATTTTCTCCCATTTAGAAATTCAGATGATCTCTGTCTTATTAATTTTCAAGAGCTCTTTTTGCATTAGGGGCTATAGGGTTCTTATCGCAAAAATCTGCTTCCTGTCTGCCTTTTTGCTCCTAAGGTTTAAATCTGTTTACAGATTCCCACTACAGTTTCCACGTTCCACCTTCAGGAGGGAGGCAGAGGTCACAGGACTTGGGGACCCTGGCTCAGCTCCCCACTCTTTGAAGAGAATCAGGCTTTGCTCGCAGCACAGGGAAATGTGCCAGGACACGGGAAATCACTCAGCAGCCAGCCAGTGCAAACAGCTCTTAAAACACTGACTCCACACATCATTTTTTCCTGCCTGGGACGAAAGTCTGCAAGCTGTCTCTGTGCAGCATCAGACAACACTCAACTTGTTGAAGAGCTACCAGAACCAATCTGAGCTACCCAGAGCCTAAAAGATGAACTCGTGCAAAATGGCCCAGCGGTAGGGAACGCCCAGCCCGCTTACCTGGCCGGAATAGGAGCGCCGCTGGCATCAAACAGCTTCAGAAACGCCCAGCCACAGCTTAACTCTCCTTGGTCACCGGTAGACTAGGGAGCAAAACAAGTATGTGACTCTGTGTCTGCAGCCCAGAGAGAACAAAACGCGCATTCACCCCCACTACAGGAGCAGCTCTTTCCCAGAAAATACAATGAGACCTAACAGATGCCCGCTTCCTTCGCAAACTAACAAACTGTCGCTACTTCAAGTGACAACCGTGTTTCGCTGAAAATCCTTGCTCTTGAAAATTCCTTAAATCTGACAAGGTGGCCATGACTGCTCTCAGATCTTGAGTGCTGTGAACTTTGTAAACTGATCTCAAATCACACTGATACCACTTGGGATCATGAGACGGGGTTTCACTGCCTGGTGGAATGCAGCAGGGGTCACTCAAGGAGCTCCAAAGTTTTGCTCCGAAGTTTATCTTCACTGTCAATTGACAGAGGCCACCAGGGCTTGCTTGGGGACCTGCTCCTCCCCTCACCATCCTACCTATCTGCAAAGCACATGCCTCAGTCTGTCTCAAAGAACAGCAGTGGCAATATAGGACCACTGATGTAACCTCTCTGTGATGACTCTGGTTACTGGGGCCAAGTTATTTATTATTATTATGTTATTATTGGTTTTTTACGACAGACTTTTGAGATGCAGTTCCAGCTGACTTTGAATTCACTTTTTAGCCCAGGTTGGCCTCAAACTTGCAGCAATCCTCCTGCCTCAGCTTCCTGAGTGCTGGGGTTAGTCATATGCCACCATGCCTGGCTTTTAATGTCAATTTAAATACTATTTTAAATACCATTGTAGCATTATCTAAAAAATGAGAATCACCATCAATCTCATTCCACAAGGGATTAAAATTCTACTACACAGAAGCCTTCCTGTATTTTACCTGTAAATACAGACATACTTCTGACACTTCCCTTTTAATGGAGACATTAGAAAACCTTATGTTTCAGTTGACGTACGTTGCGGATATAGGAAATTCCAAGTTCAAACAGGATTCCGAGGTCGGGAGATGAAGAATTGGACCTGATGAAACAGTCCCCACTGAGCAAGCAGGGCAAGATGCCAGTGACCTGCATGACAGAGAAACCAAAGTCACCGGGAAGAAGAAGTGGGGAGGAGTTTAGCTCCTTGGACCATCTGTGAACGGTTTATGCCCCTGCAGTATGATAAAGGTCTTTTAAGGAAAATAAACAGCAGATGTACTGGGCTTATCATCTGTAACAAAGATTTGAAATAAAAACACTTATTTCAAGGGATTACTGTCACCTGCTTTTGCACTGTGAGACAAGCGCTGTCCGCAGGCTCAAGTGCACAGTTTGTGTGAGGTGTTTACCTAAGGTGTGTGCCTAGCCATTGCTCTGCTGCTTAAATGGATCTAACCCGAAAGACCAATACATGCTCGCTCAGCGCGCCTGCCGCCCGTCCTGTGAATGTTCTTTCCCTCTTGCTCATCTCTCCTCTCTCCTAATAACCAAATCCCCCTTCTCGCCTCAGTAGTCCTAACCGTCCTTTACGTCTGCTTTCTCTTCCACGATACCTTCCCTGGGGATCAGGCTAGAATTAGCCTCACCTCCTCGGGCTCCCAAAGCACTCAGAACCCCATCAGCCCGAGTGAAGATTTATTTCCACAGTGCCCACACCCAGGGAGCCTCCAAGGCTGCAGCAAGACATCTCACCCAGGGCCTGGCACACGGCTGGGCACCATGGATGGAGGGAGAGTTTCTTCTCCATTATCCTGCAAGTTCCCACATGTCCAGGGTGGATGCCTGGCACTTGGCAGATGCTTAACTGGATTCGGCAACGGGTTGTATACTTACACGTCCTCCCAATGGCTCATCTTTATAATCCAGGAAAGTGTTAGCACCTCACACCCCACCCTTGCACTTCACACACGCAGACACCACTGCACACTCGTGCAGGGCTGTGCCACAGGCTGGCGGTTTCTCCCTGGGAGCAGGGAGCTCTCGAGGTCGCCCTGCACCTGCACTAGTTTGGGGGATGAGTGGGGACACGCACACGCAGTGAGGTGACCTCTCTCAGACCTCCCCCTAACTCTCCCAGATCTCACTCTAACTCTTTTGATGCAATAAGAGGAAGCTCAATGAAGGGTTTTCAGGGTGCAGTAACATAAACAAGTTAATTGTAGGGAAATAAAATACTAGAGTAACGAAACCACAGTGGTGGAAACCAAGTATGCTACATGCAATTAATGCTGGATAAAGAACATAAAGACACCCTCGATTCACTGGTGTCCACGTAACCCTGAGTCAGTGGTTTGAAGCCCTCACTGCACAGTGACAGTCCCCAGGGTGTAGGGACAGTCCTCGGGCGTCACCTTTGATGTTATCTGGGAAAACACAACCTCAGGAGCACAGGGGAAGCGTTCATTTTTGAAAAAACACCCTGCTTTCTAAATGTTATCTTCTTGTTTTCATGTTTCATCAAATGGGTAGTTTCTAAAATTGACATCCATTGAACAAGATGATTCATAGGAAACATAACATGGGTGCGTCAGGAATATGAGTGACTTTTTTAAAATCTAGGAACACACTAAGGAATTTAAAGATTTAAATCTGGGCCCTTGCATCCTGTGCTGAGTCCGTCACAGTTACAGCCTCACCTTAGATCTTAACTGCAGCAACTTAATAGGTTAAAAAAAAATTCATTTTTTCCTTCTCTTCACTCAGAGATTACCTACCTGGGGAGAAAATGCCCATGTTTTGGGCTTTTTAGGTTGCCACGTGGCTCGGACAGTATGAATGTTGCTCAGGACCTGAAATGAGAGTTTCCCATTTGAAATTGCACTGTAGAAAGTTCTCTGATACATCACTGCTTCTGAGCGCCAGAGTGCTGACGGCGGGAAAGCAGAGCTTTCAATGTTTATTTCATGTAATTCCACGACGTGTTTCTTTTTACATCAAGGTCCAGCATGCATATAACTTCTGAAATAGTGAAAAAAAGCCTTCCAATATTTATTAATAAAACCATGAAGAAACTAATAAAATGAATTCAGTTGCTTGTCAGGCAAGTGCTTATGCCTCTGAGCTAAATCCCCACCTCCAAGAACTTAAAAAAAATGTTTTTGGAGATGTTCTCACTATGTAGTACAAAATGGCCTTGAATTCTCTGTGCCACCTAAGCTGGCTTCTGCATCAGCCTTCTGAGTGCTGGCATTATAAGTGTGAACCACCATGTCTGGCTTTAAAAGAAATTTTAAGATTCAGAAAATCTCAACACTTCAAATATCCAGGATCTAATAAAACATCATTTATCTTACCAAGAAAACCAGGAACATCCCAGATTGAATAAGAAAAGACACTCAATAGACACCAACACTAAGACAAACACAGATGGAAGAATTGTCTAAGATTTTAAAGGAGCCAAATAAAAATATGTTAATAACTTGAGAAGTACTTGAAGAAAATTTAAAACATTTCATTAAAAAGAAGAAAATCTCAACATTAAAAATGGATGAAAAAAAGAAGAATCAAATGGAAATTCTAGAACTGAAAAATACAATCAAGAGAAACAAACAACCCCCCAACTCATTAGATAGACTCAATAGCAGAACAGAGGATAAGAGGAATTAGCCAATAAACTTACAGATCAGAAAGCAGGAATCATACAACCTGAAGAGCAGAGATAAAGTTGGTGAAAGAAAGATAAAGAAAAGAAAATCTCAGGAACTTGTGGGATTATAACAAAAGCTCTACCATTTGGGTCACTGGAATCCCAGAGGGGAGGAGAGTCTGCAGTTAAACAGCATCTGACAAGATAAAGACTGAGTAGTTTCCAAATTAGCCCAAAGACATAATCTCATAGATTTAAAAAGCTATTCTAATGAGGATAAAGCCAAGCAATTCATGCCCAGTACACCATCAACTTCTGAAAAGCAAACAGAAAGAGAACATGTGGGAAGCATCGAGAAACAGCCATGTTCCCCTTAAGGGAGAAACAATTTGAATGATTGGATTTCTCATCAAAGCCAGAGGCTGACAGGAAGTAGCACAATATTTTTCACATACTCTCAAAAGAGAAGCACTGTCGATCTAGAATTGTAAGAATGAGCCTTTAGGAGAAATAAAACATTTTCAAACCGGGTGTGGTGGTGTGTGCCTGTAATCCCAGCATTAAGGAGGCTGAGGCAGGAGGACCGCTGCTAGTTTAAGGCCAACCTGGGCTACAAAGTGAGTTCAAGGCGGGCCAGATCTACATAGTGAAACTCTTTAAAAAAAAGATATTCGCAGGTAAAGTTTAAGAGATCTGTCACCAGCAGACCGACCCTAAAAGAATGGTTGAAAGACATTCTCTAAACAGAAAGAGCATGACTGTAAAAAAAGGAATTTTAGAACATCAGAAAGGAAGAAAGCGACCAAGGAAAAGCGTGAGAGAAAGGATTAAACCAGATCTGGGAGAAAGCTGCTGGAATCTGCTTGGTCAGTGGCGACCCCTACTGGCGCATTTCTGGTTTTTGTGCAGACTAGAAATGAGGACCATGATGACTTACTCCAGATCCAGAAGAAAGAAAGAGAAAAGCAAGGTGAAATCAGGCCCACGGCAGCTCCTCCAGACTTGTGCCCCTGCATGCTTCCAGCAATCGAGCAGACCCGGCAGTCTGAGGCCCTCCACCCTCACATCAGCCACGCACGTTCTGTGGCTTCTCACCGCTTCCATCTGCCATCTCCACCTAGACGCACGCCCCACGCACCAGACACTCCCTATTGCAAGTGCTGTCTACCTTGCCCTCACCCCAGCGTGGGTACTGGACGAGGAAGGTGACACAGCAAGGCCAAGTCACCGGGCCAAAGCCCGCACTCTGCGAAGGGAGCCAGGGTTCAGCTCAGGCAAACCGAGTCCAGGTGTGGGTTTGGTCCTCTTGAAGAGAACGCTTTGCTGTCCTCTGACTGCCATGCCGGTCACCCCTGGCCCTCCGGTGGTTATTTCTGTTCCCTCTGGCTCCTTCACATTAAGACTGGGTCGCCCCTGGCTCCCAGCTCAAGCGCTGTCCGTGGGGGGCAGCTCTGATTGTGGACTTGCTGGTTATTTCCTAATGTAAATATCGGGCCCCAAGCTTCGCTCTGAGAATGCTTTAGTTAACTCTCTCTCCCCAAGTTATACACTGCATGCTCACTTTTTGTACAGCACAAAATATAGTCTAATCTTCCTTTTAAACCATTGGTTATTTAGAAATTTATTAGTTTCCAAATATTCACAGGTTTTCTCATTTATCTTTGTTATTGATGTCTAATTTAATTCCATGTGCTCCAAGACCATGTATTATATGGGTTTAAACTCTTTCAAATTGGTTGAGGCTCATTTTCTGATCACCCATCTATCTTTGGGAATATTCCACATGTACTTCATATTTTTGGTAGTGGGGATCAAACTCATGACCTTGCACTTGCCTAGCAGGTGCTTGTGCTGCTAAGCCAAACCCCTGACCCTCCACATATACTTAAAAGAAAGCATATTTTACTATTTCGAGGTGAAGTATTATACAAATACCAATTCAGTCTCATTAGCTGAAATGCTATTTGATTCTTTGACAGCCTTACTAATTTTCCGTCTGCTACTTCTACATCAGTGAGAGAGAAGTATTAAAGTTCCAACTCTAATTGTGGCTTTGCCTATTTCTCTTTTCAGTTCTACACAATTTTATTTCAAGTACCTTGAACTCTGATGTGGGCCGTGGGCATGGTCAGGGTTGTTAGTCTTCTTGGTGAATTATCTCTCACTGTGAGCTAACGACTACTTGGACGTTTGTGTCTTTTGAGTGGTGTATCTCTTTTCTTCCTTCTACTTTTAACCTATCTACATTCTTAAATTTATGGTGGCTTCTCGTACAGAGCATATAGCTGGGTCTCCCTTAGTTTTAATGTGGATTTTCCTGATAACTTATTACTTGTTCAGGGCCTTTTCTATTCTTATTGATTTGCCATACTTCTTTTTTAAAACCCAACTATTTTGCTCATTTAAAAAATCGAGTTGCGAGAGACCAAGATGGCGAGGCAGTAAGCAGCAGAGAAAACAGCCTCTCGGAGAGTCACTTTTCAGACAGTGGATACAGCACTGTGAGGAAGACAAGGAGAGGAGTGGGCCACGGGACCCAGGAAGCATCAGAAATGTGAACTGAAGCCCACAGAGAAGCCAAAGAGGGACTCACTGCCTGACAGGAGTGGTTCAAGCTAGCAGACCCAGGGTGATGGTGACTCCAGAGGCCTCTGCAGAGAGGCAGCAGGGGAGGTCAGCAGCAGATGTGGAGGGCTGCACTGGCTGGCAGTGAGTTCAGAGGACTTAGTTCTCCCATGAGAGAGTGATTAGCCAGGAGCCATCCTGGAGACAGGCCAGCCGAGCTCAGAACCCAGAACTGCTGCTGGCTCCATCTAACAGCTCCCACCTGGGGTCACTCCTGTGGAAACTGTGGATGGCAGAAAGCCCAATGAGCCTGGTCTCTGGGCAGGCCTGCTGAGATCATCCACTATCCCACCAAAAGGCTACTGCTGGCTTCTCAACTGGTGAAACCAGAGAGAATCCTGGAAATGGGATTATTTTAAAATTTTTTTCCTCTTTCCCCATCACTGTTTGATCTTGTTTTTATATGAGTGTGAACATGGTCCCTGGCCTCTTTATGGATGTGGTTCTGTTCTTTCTTCCTTTTATCTCTTCTATCTCTTTTCCTTCAGTCTTCTGCACCAGTTTCCCAAAGTTGATGTGATCCTCCTTTGTCCACTGACCTCACTTCTAATCTCTTCCTCTTCTTCCACTTCTCTATTTTCTCCTTAATCCATTTTGAATTTTAACCCGAGGGCAAAACTGACACAGTAAGGACTTTTATACTGCATATAATTTTCTGGTTTGTTTTAGATCTTGTTATGTAACTACAAATCTAGTTCACTATGGTTAAAAGTGTTGCAAACTGAGGGTTAGCTCAGTTTGTCATTTTCTAGGATGTGTTGGATGCTACTGGTACCACTATAGCCAAAATTGACATAATGTTCTAAACAGCTGTTGGTATTACATGACTGAGATTCACTAAGGGTTGCATAAAATACTATGGCACATTGTCAAAGAACCAGGGACTGGGCTAAACAACTTCTCATCTCCAACAAACTGAAGAGGTCAGATCTTCCAATGGACTCAAACCCAAAACACAACTATTCCTGAAACGTACCTCAGAGAAGTAGTCATCACCTAGGGACTCTAAAAACAGAGTTAAAGAAAATGCAACCCCAGACATCAAGTTCACCAAAGGCAAATCCAGGAGCGATGAGGCGGGACAATCCAAAAGCCTCCCACCTGGCCTCCCTGAAGTGGTAGCAACAAAGCAATTAAGAGAGCCTCTGGAAAAAATGAAATCAGAAATAATTTCTCAGATAAAGTCCATGATTAGTGAAGCTAAAGCAGAAACAAACAAACAAACAAAACAAAGATGAGCTTAAGAAAATTATGGAACCTCAGCATACAAAAGAAATGGGATCCATAAAGCAGATTCAAGCAGACATCCAGGAGAATACATGTTCCATTGAAAGTATTCAATCCAGCAGCTGCTAGATGAGACAAAGAAGAGTAACTTAAGATAGACTGAAATCAATGAAAAAGTAGGAGATATCACAAATGACATTTTAAAAATGTTCACAGACATTAGGGCAGAAAATTTTCCTGGTAGAGAAAAAGAATTTGATATGCAGATAAGCAAGGCAAATAGAACTCCAATTAGTTATGATCAAAAAATTCTACAGCCAGGCATACCATAGTCAAGGTTCCAGAAATTCAACACAATAGAATCTTAAAAGCTGTTAGAGAAAAGAAAAATCACCAAAAAGGAAAGCCCATCAGAATCACAGCTGACTTCTCAGCACAAACTCTCAAGTCAAGGAGAGCTTGGAGTGAAATATTCTGAGTTCTAAAGGAAAACAACTTTCAACCCAAACTGATGTACCCTACAAAAACTATCTTTCAAAATTGATGGAGAAATAAGATACTTTCATGACAAAGAACATCTGAGGAAATTTATAATCTCTGAAATCAGCACTCCAAAATGTTCTGAAGGACATTCTAGAAAGAGATAAAAAGGACTACAGTTCCATGAACTCCAACAGATGGAATCCACCAGGCAAGGCAAACAATTAGAGAGAGGGGGAAAAAAAGGAGGGGACCCAACAACAGGAAAATAACATGACAAGGATAAATCAATACATATTGTTATAACCATCCAGACTAATGATCTCAATTTACCAATCAAAAGACAGTTGGCAGAATGGCTCAAGAAGCAAGATCCAACAGTACGTTGCTTACAAGAAACACATTTAATTAAAGAAGAAATTCATAAACTGAAAATCAAAAGATGGAAAACAATATTCCATGCAACAGGAACCCAGAAAAAAGTAGGAGTGGCTATTTATTTGTAGACAAAGTGAATTGCAAGCCACGACTGATGAAGAAAGATAAAGAAGGTCACTACATCCTAGTAAAGGGAATAATCCAAGAGGAAGAGATAACCATCATAAATATATATGCAACAAATACCAGCACACCCAACTATATAAAACAAATGGGCAATAAAAATTCAAGAAGCCCTGATACAATTGTCTTAGGAGATCTCAATACCCCACTGTCACAAAAAGACATCAACTAGACAAAAAAATTAATAATAAAATATTAGAACTGAACCAAATGGACTTAGTAGGTTATCTACAGTGTGTTCCACCCCACAACATCAGAATACACTTTCTTTTCAGTTGCACATGGACATTCTTCAAAACAGACACATACTGGCCTCTAGAACATGTTTAAATAAATGAAAAAGACTTCAAATTATCCCACGCGTACTATCAGGCTACAGTGCAATGAACTTAGAAATCCATGGCAAAAGAAACCAGAACTTCATAAACACATGGAAATTAAGTAGTACCCTGCTGAAAATCAATGGGTCACAGAAGAAATTAGACAATTTTTACAGTTGATCTTCGGGTCTGACTTTTTTTTTTGCCAGCACCATGCTGTTTTTATCATAGAAGCTTTATAGTATAATTCCAAGTCAGGGATTGTGATGCCCCCTGCCTTGCCTTTGTTGCCCGGGATTGCCTTTGCTATTCTAGGTCTCTTCTGATTCCAGACATATTTTAGGAATGTTTTCTCTAATTCTGTGAGATATGCTATTGGAATTTTGACTGGGTTTGCATTGAATCCATATAACAGTTTTGGAAGTATGGCCATTTTCACAATGTTGATTTTTTTGGCTTTATAAAATGTGCCAGGAAACATTTCTTCTTTATCTACTCTTTGGGAGAGTATGCATAAGATTGGTATTGTGCCTTCCTTAAATGTTTGGAGCAATTCACTACCAAAAGTATCTGCGCCTTGAGTTTTTTTTTTTTTTTTTTGTGGGAAAATTTTTTAAATTACAATTTTAATTTCTTTAACAGAGGTTACTTAACTTTTCTAATTTATTATGCCAATTTTATTAAGTTTAATGAAATTATCTATTTTATCAATGTAAAATATATTGGCTCAAAATTTCTAATATCCCTTTACTGTTCCCTTAGGGTCTGTGGAAGCTGTGACAGTGTTCTTCTTCCTATGGCAGATATTGATAACTTGCTTCCTTTCTTTTTTTTTTTTAATCTTTTTTGTCTTTTTCTTTTTTTTATGAGTACCAGGGATTGAACTCATGACCACACATTTGCAAGGCAAGCGCTTATGCCACTGAGCTAAGTCCCCAGCCCCTTTGCTTCCTTTCTTTTAAAAGTTTTTTGATCACTCTTACGGGGCATCTTTCAATTTTATTAATCTCTTCAAAGAATCAACTTTTTAAAAAATGTTCTTTTATTTGCTTTTTATTTCATCAATGACTCCTCTTATCTTTATTATTTCCTCCTTTCTCCAGCTTTAACTCACTATTCTATTTCCAGCTTCTTAAATGTTAGCTTACAGCACTGATTTTAAATCTTTCTTCTTTGTAGTATATGCAATTAGAGCTACGTTTCCACCGAAGCTCCCTTTAAGGTGAACCTCATGAAAGGTAAATTAATTTAGGAAAAGCCGGTCAGACTTGTTTGGTACTGTGTAAAAAGTAGTCTCCCAGGAATCAGGGAGAAGTTGAGTTAAAAAGGACACAAAGAAACAGCAGATGACAACACTCTCTGTTGATGAGGGTGTTGGACATAAACACAGGACCGCACTGTGTAAGGTCTGCGCTGTTGGAAACACTAGAAGACATGCACCAGGCCTTTTGAAGGTGAGAAACAATCTAAGGCTGAGACGGTTCGACGGGACTGAAGTGCCAGTGTCACATACCTCGCACCTGGAAGACCCGGGCGAGACGGCCAGCAGCAGGGCTGCTGTGGCTGCACCGCATGTGTGCAGCAACAGGTGATGAGAGAGGCAGAGAGGAGGAGAGCGCACCCCTGCTACGTGCTGTGTGTTTGCTGTGTGGCTTTACCAACCCCGAAGGGCTCCCCCTCCACCCTGGCGCCCTCACCTTGCTGCCATCGAAGGCACAGAGGCGCACGTGTCTGCTGAGGACTTGGACGCTGGCTCCAGGGTGCGGGATCATCTTACAGCTCCACAGGGTGAGCACCAGCGAGACGCGGCTGGGTCTCGGCCTGATCTGAGAGGGGAGTTAGTCGGAAAGTGTATTTTTGTTACGTGAAGTCCAGATCCACTGTCCAGAGCAGCTTTTGTAAGAGTGGCTTAAGAAAATATACACAGAATTTAAAAAGACAATAAGGAAAAATTGTACACAAACAGATACCAATGTGAGAAAAGTCTTAATAGTCTGGTCATTTCAAGTCAAAACTAGTCATTCTGGGTAAAATTTTCAAAGCTGGATTTGGACTATCTGAATTTTTCCTAATGAGTTAAAAGCCGAGACAGGAAAAACAGGCAGTAGTAGCAGTGCAAGTGTCCGAGCTGACCACGGAGACACGGTTTCCCATCTTGGACACATGAGGGTCTGAGTGTGGATTACCATGGCACGGCGACCAAGAACCCTGGCGTCAATATTACCCAGCTAAGTGCTCCTTCTTTTTTAAAATTCCAAGCAACTATCTACCTTGTTCTTTGACTTCTTACTTGGATCTGTTGACAGAGAAAATGTACTATTTGATGAGATTATTCAGATCTATTTCACAGACAAGAGGTCAGATGAAGAATAAACAAACTGGCATTCTGGCTTTGGATTTTTAAAGAACTGCCTCAAATAGTTAGCCGTCCATTTTGCTTTGTGACCACGAGCTGTTTCACTTAAATAAATTTGTCATTGAAATTGCAAGACAGTATCTAAAAGTTGTCAACTGTTTTAAGAAATGTGAGCTAAATATTTAGTTTTCTGGGCATAGATTTGTAACATTTAATGTACATTAAATAGACCAAATATAACATCTTTGTTGACTTAGAAAACAAGAAACTCAATGCTAAGAAGTTTCCAGGTCACACTAAGATTGGGAGGGAAAGGGGTGCTGAGGTCCTGCACCCCGACCCTCACTCCTGCAAACCTGACCACTAAGTTCCTCTCCCCTTAGACTGCAGGGGAGGGGGGCAGACGAGGGAGAAGATAAACAGAAGGGCGGGGATGTGTCTGACGGGGTTTATATCCGCTCTAAGCTGATATAAAGTAAAAGGAAATATCGGGCATTTTCTCCCTCAAACACAGAGACAGCAAGAGCCCTTTGCTCTTAGCCCTGCCTGATGCAGCTCCGCTGCTTCCTCCTCCACATGTACTTAACACAGTACTTCGACGGTACCACTGATGATGACACTCGCTGGGTCCATCAGCTTTCCGGTGTTGTAACAAATATCCGAGGCCATCGCTTTAAGAAGGGGCAAAGGTCTGTTTCAGCGCCTGGCTTCTGTCCTGGTCAGTTGGCCTCACTGTTCCTCAGTCCTGGGTTCAGGCAGTGCATCAAGGCGGCCAGGAAGCAGAAGGGAGCAGGGAAGGGACGCAGCCCTGCGACCCGCGGCCCTGGTCACGGACTTGCAGTCCATGGGGGATGGGGTGACAGACACCCACGCCTACCAGATGGCTAAACCTTTCTGTATAAAATTATTCTCTGGGCAACTCCACATGGGAAGGATGGCCAGCCCCACTTGTACAGATGAAGAAACAGGTAAAGAACAATTAGGATCGAAACCTGGCATTTTCCCTTTATAACAACGGGAGAAACAGAGCAATTAGAGAAGGGAAACAAGATATAGTCAAGGTACCAGGTCTAGGTTTTACCTTACCTATGAAACATCACATTTAAAGAATTCCAACGTGGAAACAATTCTTTGGTTCCTGTAGTGCATCCATTCACATGTTAGCTGTATTTACTGATGGCAACTACACTTACAGTGCCCGACTTGGCGTCCCACACTAGGTCTCTGAAGGCCAGTTGTGATGCCGTGAGCTCTGGCTGTAAGAAGGAACTTGCTCGAAATCGATTCCCTGTAAAGATAATTCATTCCTTGATTTTCTCACAAAAAGAGGAATAGAATTCAAAACCCAACATCCATATTACTGTACTGTGCTACGAATGTAGGAACACAAACTTCCAAAATGGCAAACTGCTTACTAGGAACTCTTTTTTCTTCTTTTCTTTTCTGTCTCTCTCCCCCCACCCCTTGCTTGCTTTATGGTCTTTTTGACAGGGTCTTACTATGCAGGTCAGGCTGGCCTTGAATCCACTTTATAGCCTAGGCTGGTCTTACATTTTCAAGGATCCTCCTGCCTCAGCCTTTCAAATGCTAGGATTACATGCATGCACTACCCCACCCAGTTGTAATTTGCTTTCTGAGACAGAAGTTTGACCCATACTTATTAACACAATATAACATTTAAAGAAATAAACAGGTAAAAGATTATCTTAAGGCAGCTTAAAGAAAGATCTTAAAGAATTTTAGGCCAATAACATGCCTCATAGTGAAGATAATGCATTCAAATATTTTTGTAAAATGCAGAAATCCCTAAGCATTTTGCAGACTTTAGAAAAAAAAATAACCTGTGGTTCCATGGAACACAAAAGCATTTTTACCCTTTGGCTCCAGTTTAATTATGAAGAATACTTCTATTTTCAGCAGAATACATTTATTGAGAGAAAGAAAGCTTCTGTCCAAGTGAGAGGCAGAAGGGGTCCCAACTGGGTTGCCCTAGTTATGAAGAATACTTCTTATAAAATCACTTAGTCATCCAACAAATAGTTTTAGAGTCCCTGTTCTGTGCCGAGCGCTATGCTAGGAGTTGGAGAGGGAACAGAGAATGAGGCAGATGTGTTCCCTGCCCTCACTGCTTACAGCAGAGTGAAGGAATGGGTGCCCAGGTGCAAGGCAGTAGAGGGACCCACACGATGACATTATGAAGGCCCCTTCCCCTTGTAAGGTGGGGTCTGCCCCGAGACCGGTGGGATGGGAGGGGCACTTGAGGGGGTGTCGGCAACCCCAGTGCAGCCCTTCCGTGGGTAACTTAGCAGTCAGGTAGACAGGAGACGCCCTGCCCTGCAGGACTCCACTCTGAAATGAGCCAGCTACGGGGAAATCCAAGGCTGAATAAGGAATCAGAAACCCCAAATGGAGAAGGAATCTGGAGAAGCCCCTCTGCAAAGAGGAGCAGTAAAGGGAGGCTTAGGCAGCACGGCCAGCGCTGGGGGCGGTGGTGTGAGGTGCGCTGGGAGGACCGAGCGGGGAAACAGGTGCAGGCTACAGACACTACGAGCAGGGGTTTTTGTCTGCTGTGTGGGGAAGATGAGCAAAAGATGAGTGTCAGCGAGCAGTGAGAGTCAGCATCGTCCTCAACATTACACGCCTAACTGCTTAACCCGGTCACCTTCCTCCAGCAGCTGGGCCAGCGTGGAGGGCCGGAAGCCCGCAGGAATGGCCCCCATGGTGGCGAGCACGTCCACGGTGTTTATCTGCTGAAGAGAGGGGAACAGAATGAATCTGCTTGCTTTCCTTCACGCTGCTTCACTTCTGTAGTGCAAACACAGACTTTAAAGGGAAAATACTGCCATGGGGCCCCCAATTCCTGAAAGCAGCAACCAGCCCCGAATCCCGCCCTTCCCAAGGGCCTGAGCCTCACACCGAGCTCGGAAGGCAGAGTTCTAGACCAGTGCTTCTAAGCATCCTTTATCAAAACGGACCCTCTGCTCTGCCCCCCATGCATGGCCACTCACTAGCCTGAACACTGAGACTGATTCCCACTGAGGAATTAAGGGTGCTCTGCGTATGTGAATACACACGCACACACACATACACACACATGAGCACGTGCTTAAGTAAAACATGGAATGAAATGTCAGGAAGAATATCCACTAAACATAGTGATAATAGTGATGATCTGAGGGAAATTTTTCATTTTGTTCTATATTTTTTTAAATGATAGGATTACAGGTAACTTGTCAGATTTTTCCAAACAGTAAATGAAATTTAAGTCTTTAAATTTGCGAGCTTCCATCCCATTTGAGTCTGAACTCAATCAGAGCTACTTTGTAATGATACAGAAACAAGACACCAACCACACTTCATCTATTAAACAGATTGTTAAACGTGAAATAGCAGCCGTCATCACAAGGCAGGAGTTACTAACCTCTGAGATGGCTTTGCGAACCGCACTCCAGTGGGAATCGGTTCTGGGGAGACAAAAGAGCAAGTGACAGGTTTCGCTCTGGGTTCACCTGGGGAACCACAGTCATCACAGAGCAGCACCTCACTGTCAGTGAGGCCTCAAAGCCAAACAGTCCCTAGATGAAACCGAGCTAGCGCTAAAGGCGCTACATAGTAGCTACAAGATTAAAGCAGTGATGAGCTGTAAGCAAACAATCATAGGGAAAGCCCCCAAGAATAAGTTGTGTCCTCTTCCAGAGAGTTTTGAAGAGATGCAACTCAGTATAGGTAGGAGGCTCTGGGTTCAACTCCAGATCCGAAAAAAAAAAATTAATTAATCAAAAAAGAATAAAAGAAAGTCTGGAGTCTTGTATAAAAGTAAAGTAGAAAGTTCCCAAGCCATTCGAGGTCTCTGCCCATCCGTACCGTGGCTTAGCTTCAGCTCCATCTGCAGTTTCATCCTCCACGTCCACAGCCTCCTCGCTGTCCTGGTCACTTGGTTCCTGCTCTTCTTTTTCTTTATTACAGAGCTGGGGAAGCAGTGAAATAGGAAGTGCTCTTCAACAGGTGTAGCAATCAATCAATAAAAATCCTAGCTGTTTCCGAAAGACTCAAGCATAGAAGGGAAATTAGAATACAATAGAAAAAATATGATAGGAAAGAAGTTTTCAGCATATAGTTGATGACTTCACTATGTGATAAAATGGCAAAGCCTGAGGCAGGCAGCAAGTTCTAACCAAAATAAACCCAGATGGGATTTATGCCAAGGAAAAAAGTTACGGTCAAGATAAAAGAAATATAAAAGTATTATAAGAAGGTGATCTCGGGATGAGGAAACCCTTAACAGTGATGATATCAAAGCCAAAATTGTAAGTGAAACACTGACAGATCCAGACAATGAAACACACACAGAGCTGAGAGTCAACAAAGACAATTTCTAAGGACCAATACTTCTATTATTAAAATATTACAGAAGCTCTTATAAAGCAATGAGAAAAAGATTTCTAAAAATCCCCTGAAAAAAATGTCCAAAAGACCAGAAAAGGCAATTCACAGAGAAGGAATAAAAATGGTCACAAAACACGAAATGTCGCTCAACCTCCTTAAGAGTATAATGAATGCACTTAAAAACAATGAGACTGCTTTTGCCAATCACGCAGGCCAAAAATTAAAAAAAGATTAATTACAGTTAAGACTGGCATTTATATGGGGAAACACTCAGATGCTGGAGGTGGGAGAAGAAATTGGCAAAATAAATCAAGACAATAAAGATGTAAGTCCTGTGAGGCTGTGACAAACATCCGGAATTTATGGAAGAGGTATAATTAAGCAACTTGGCACCGACACAGGAGCAGACTGATCAAAATGGGTGGGCGGTGGGCTGAGACCTGGTCGTCCCCACCCCTTCCTCGCTGGCAGAACCCGGACTTCTGCAGGCTGCTAGGTGTTGCCATGGAACCAGATGCTGCTCAGTGAAGTATAACTTGAAGTTTTTGTGTGGCTTCCGGAAAACTAACACTATGCCGTTTGATTTCTTCCCTCTCTGTCTTTCACTGCATAGACGCATTACAAGATCCAGCAGCGGATCTGCTTAACAGGAAGAGCTGCTTCACGTGTAGCTACAGAGTAAAATATTATTCAGGGCTTTAACCAGTGCTGGATTGTCTATCTTCACATTCCTTTTTCTCTTGAAAGAAATGGGCTTCTCCTCAAGGGTGGCCACTTCCTGGGGAGAATCCTCTGCACTCAGGGGCAGCTGATTGTAGCTTCTTTGTAATACAATAGTGATTACAGGTGGGACACAATCTAAACGTCTACCTAAATGAGACCAGAATCCTTGTTGCCTCTCAAAACATGATCCAGACCCCACCTGTGCAATTCAGCAGCCCTTTACTGCATGCGGCTACCGAGCTTTACATTTTAGTCCAGCTTGAGATGCACTGTAAAAGCAAACCCCACACTGGCCTATGAACTTCGTGTAAGAAGTAAAATAGCTCCATACTTTCAAATATTGATTGCATGTTGAAATTGTACATTCGATACACTGGATAGAATAAAATACATTATTTAAGACAACTCCATTATTTCATTTTTAAAAATGTAGGTAATAAGAAATAGACATCTGATCTCTCTCTGTTCCTGGCAGACACAAAGCCTTGGAATTTCCTGAATGATACCTTGTGTTTTCTTATCCATAGGGGTCCCAGTGGTTATGCTAATGAGGCAACTTTAGATGGCCTGCAGACAGCTACAGGGATTGGCTGGTTGCCAGAGGAACCAACCATGGGATTAGACATTGAAATGCTCAGCCTCATGCGCCAGCCTCTGGGGAAAAGAGAGGAACTAGTGCCTGGTAATCACCCATGGTCAGTGATTCAACTAGTACAATTAACCAAAATCAACTAAACCAAGTGGAAACACCCTGCGATCCTCTGGGCTAGAGAACACATCAAGATACCAGGAGGGTGACATACCCAGAGATGGCGTGCAGGCCAGCCCACCCCAATACCATACCCTGTGTATCTTTCCTATTTAACTATATCTGAGTTAGGTCCTGTAAAATAACCTGGTAAATGCAAATACAATCTTTCCTCAAGAGATCAGTTCCAAGACCCTTCAGGAAGACCAAAACCCAAGGATGCACAAGTCTCCTATATAAAATGGTACAGTATTTGCCCATAACCTGGACCCATTTTTCTGTGTACTTTGAATCATTTCTAATTACTCATAATACCTAACACAATTGAAACGCTATGCAAATGATTGTTGTACTGTATGGTTTAGGGAATAATGACAAGAAAAAGTTTGTACATGTTCAATATAGATGCAATTTGTTTCTTCAAATACTTTTGATGTGATGTTGGTTGAATGCACAGATCAGAAATCCTTGGAGACAGAAGACAAACTGTAAAGTGTTTATCTGAGTTCCATGAATCAGCATAGTGAATTTCAGACCCCTGAAGACCACCAGTCCTAAAAACTGATGGCTTCTGGAATTTCTATGCTTGGCATCGCACCTGGTGCAGTCTTGCAGAACGGTGTGTCAGGTCCAGCAATGAGGAAATGAAATATATCTTTGGTGTCAGAGAAGTCTCACATATGGTATCAGAGGTGGTGTCAAGAAAAAAGACCCCTCAATATGGTTACTAGAAGATTTAAAATTCCAAATGCGGTATGCATTTGAATTCTCTTGGCAACACCAACTCAGACAGATGTCTACCCTACTTGGAAGAAAAAATGATCGTACCCTATCAGGAAACAAAATAGGCTACAAACATGTGTGCACCGTATGTTCACATGAGGAAGGAGATGATGATACACAGTGGCCCCTTGATTATGACCACGCATATGAACATCTTGGGCTACGACTGGATTTTAGGTTGAACTTATGACCAAAGTCTTGAGTTGTGGCCCAAATGCCAGCTGCTTATACAGCTGTAAACAAAGACGCACGATGCCAGCACAGTGTAGGAAAGCACAGGTAGGCATCAGTTTGCGCCCAGATGTGGATGTCTGCAGGCATGATTTTGCTGAGTGCTTTATATAATTGCTCCGATTGCTGCTATCAAAATGGCCCCCCAAAAGCTACAAAAACAGCTCAGGAAGGAACGAAAGGTAAAGAAAGAAACACAATCAAAAGGAAGAAGGAAACCGTGGAGAAATACAAAGGTGGTGTTCATGTGACCGATCTTGCTAGTATGTACAGCATGTGGAAATCCACCACATCTCAACAATCTTAGAAAAGATTTGTATAGGGAAGCTAGTGTTGCTCAAATTGGTAAGTCATGATCAACAGCGTTAGACAGGCTAGAAGGCCTTTTAGAGGACCTGGCAGTTAATGCAAAGTTAACATGAAATGCCTTGCTATGAACAGTATTAACCTGCAAAGCTTCACTGTGAAATTTGTGCCAGGGCTCACAGGCATAAAAGCATTTCACAGGAACCCAGACCCATTAACACACGCGGGTTTTCCTCACTCTATCCCTAAAATTAAAGCAATTTCTGTATTTCAACCCATTCACCAATCAATTGATCAAAAAATATAACAATGTTTTATTAAAAATGAAAATAGTTGAAGGGGAGAAAAGCATAAACAAGGACTCACCTCTAAGTAGGTTCTGGGAATAAGCCCTTCATTTCCTTCAGCATTCTTTGCTATCCACCAACCGTCAGGCTTTTTTTCAATTATAAGGAGAATTTCCCCTTTCTTAAAGCAAAATGCAATACAAATTGTAAAGGAAAACTCAAAACACATGAGTCTTACTTCATTACTAATGCTTTAAAATGCATGGCAGAAGAAAGGTACAGTATTTTTCCCATCCATTGCTCATCCCAATTTTTATCACCACCCTACCCTAAACCTACATGATGATAATATAACTATAAATAAATCATTCCACTTGGTTGCTTAACATTCATTTGAATCCTATGTGCAAAGGGAAGCAGTTTTCATAATCATTGTCAGGGCCCCCTACTTATTCCAGCAATTGGATCACTGTATAAAATATCTTTGAGTTTCTGAATCTCTTTGTAGAGTATCTTTTAGAAGCAGTATACATATCCTTGAAGAAAATCAACTGTGTTAAAAGTTAAACCTTATTTTGAAGCAAAAATAGTATTTTCTCAATATGTTTGTCTGCCTAATTCATGTTTTGAATAATACTTGTCCATGAATAAAAATATAATCCAACTTGGAAAAACAAAGAATTTCTATTATAGAGGACATTTAAAAACAAAGACTTTTACAGAATATACATTATTTTTTTTTTGGTACCAAGGATTGAACTCATGACCTTGCACTTGCTAGGCAGACGCTTATGCTGCTGAGCTAAATCCTCAGCCCTGAATATACAGTATTGCCTAATGTTGATAGTATTTTCTGGGAGAATCTGAAAATAAACTCTATGAATTAAAATGTATTAGTTGTACAATATCCTTGCATATTTTATTAGTAATCAGTTATGAAACTTGCAGGTAAATAAACACAAGGCCCACAGTCTGTACATTCATTGATATTTCCTTGACTTATTTTGCTAACAGAAAACAGTTTCAACCCCCCATCACCCTTTTGAGCTTTGTTTTTCTGGAGACAGGATCTTGCCATGTATCCCAGCTGGGCCTGAACTTGCATTCCTCCAGCCTTAGCCTCCAGAGTGCTGAGTTTACAGGAGGGCACCACCACACCTGGATCCCAATCTCTTTTATTTATTTTTTAATTTTTTTTTTTTTTTTTTTTTTGTCTTTTTGAGACAGGGTCTTGCAATGCAGTTGCAATGAGTCAGTCCTTGAACTCACTTAGTACCCGAGGCTAGTCTTGAACTTGCAGTGATCCTCCTGCCTCAGCCTCTGAGTGCTAGGATTACAGATGTACACCACCAAGTCCAGCTCCAATCTCTTTTATAAACACAATGGGATTTTCCATCCCAGTTGCTATTTATTTGTGCACAGGCCAAGCAAGCCCCTTTCCTATCTGAACCAACAAGGAGACGTGCCACCTGACCAGTCTCCCCTGCTGCCTCTAGCTAAGTACACCGTCTCTACCTGTGATGATCAAAAACAATCAGAAAATTCTGCCCCCAATGAGAATTACTGACATGAAAGCTCTTTTTGAAATGCTTTAGAAGAGGTGACTTTAATGACAGAATATCATATTACTACCACTTACAAATGATTATTTATTTGAACAGAGTGTTAAAAAATATATAAGAACGATGTAACACAGGTGTACAAAACTGGCCCTGGGGTGCATTCCTGTAACAGCAGCACTTGGGAAGCTGAGGCAGGAAGACTGTCATGAGTCTAAGGCAGCCTGGGATACTCAGTAAGTTCAAGGCCAGCTTAAACCATGAAGTGAGACCCTGTATCAATCCCCCTCCTCCAATACAGGCACCCAGGCAGAGTTTTCTTAGTGTACTAAGTGTGCAAAGCTACCTTTAGATAGTTTCAGGTTTCTTCTACTCACTTTAAATGTAAGATCCCCAGCTTGCTGGGCAGTAAAGTCACCAAGGGCAATGTATTCTTCATTTGCTGCTTGTTTGAGAGATTCCTCTCCCTGCTGCTCTTCCTCCTCTTCTGACTCTTCTTCCTCCCCATCACTTTCTTCACTGTCTTCTTCTCCTCTATCATCATCATCACCATCACCACCATCATCACCATCATCATCACCATCATCATCACCATCCTCCTCCTCGTCCTCGTCCTCGTCCTGTTCATCTTCAGTAGAATCAGCATCTTCCTCCCTTTTGGTATGGGCACCAGTCCTACAGAAAGCATTTCTATGACTCGGCCATTTGAAATAACATACAAGAGCAGAGCAAGTATGAGTAGAATTTCCACGTGTAGAAAACCTGCTCCATATTTAGAGCTGGTAAATAAAAGAAACAAGGGGAAATTACAACCAACGATTTCCACCATCCGGCTGAGCAGGTGCGCTCTGAAGCGCTGGGGGCAGGGATTTATCTGAACAAGGCATGCAAGAGGGCAGAACATGGGCTTGCACCCACGAACGCTACGCAAATCCTGGAATCATCCACTGGGCCACTGTTCCTGGAGCGACTTTACAGAACTTAGCGCATGGCTGGTTTATATTCTGGTTCTATCTCCTCTTCCCTGGATGACCTTACTAGGTTTCTGATAAGCTCTCCCTTTTTCACTGATAAGGCCAAGATAATAATAGATTGTATTCCTGTCCTGGTCACAAGAATTAGAAGAGTCACAACCTGCTAAGTGTCGGGAACTTGCCCTTAGCGAGCTTTCGGTCCAAGTGGGTTATGGTGATAATGACGTTGCATGGCAGGTTCCACGTGAGACACGAGGGATGCCAAGGTGGACTGTGCTAAAGGAGCTTATGTCGAGAAGGTGTAGGACACAGACAGTTTCAATTCAGCTCCACAGGTACTACGGTAGGCACCACAGGATGCTAAGGAATCGAGCAGGACAGACACCCAACCAGGCTGCGTTTGGGGTCAGAAAAGGCTTAGAATTAGGGCTTCAGGATGAGCTGGAATTTAGCTAGGCAATAAAGAGTAGAAAGAAGGCAGAGGGAGAGGAAAACGGAAGTTCAAGACCAGGGAACATTAAGTAGCTCAGGAATGGCAGGGCAAGGCTCAGGCAAAGAGCCCAGAAGAGGTGGGCAGAACGCGTCCCTGTGCGGTTTAACTTAAAACAAATGGAGCTAATGATATTAAACTAATGCAAAAGAACATCTAACTAGCAAGACAGCCTATGATTTTCTAGAGCAGTGGTAGCAAACCTATGGCATGCAGGCCTCGCAGGCTGTTTACCATCACTGAGAGCTCTAAAAGGTTCACCATCACTATGCTAGAATATCTTGGCTTAAAATAGGTATAGGACTCTCATAGGATACTGCCCTACACACAAACAGAAACTGAATAAAAATGATCTTTGTACCTCAAGAACAAAACTCCATAAGCTATAGCACACTGATTTTCAAGGCACTCCTTTAAGAGATACCCTGCATGTATTTCACATGGGACAATTACTCCAGAATGCTGCCAAGGATAACAGGAATTTGGCATGGTTTTTCACTTCCATGAATGTTGATGTGGTGGATTTTAATCATCAGTTCCTTAGTGTTAAACCAACCACTGGTTCTGGAATAAATTCTACCTGGTCAGGATGTGTCCTCCTTGTGATCTGCCTCTAGATTCGGTCTGCTAGTACCACAATGAGCATGCCTTTGCACATGATTTTCTTACAGTGCTTTCTGTCAGGATTTGCTGTCAGTGTTATCTGGCAGCTCGTACAATGCTTTGCATTCTTCTTCTAGTCTCCAGGGAGATTTTATAACAGTGGTATTAATTCTTTCTTAAGTATTTGCAGTAATTCACTAGGGGAAGCGAATCAGCTCCCTTCTCCCTGCTGCACCTTGCTCCGATGTCTCAGGGGCCTCAGCTCCTCAGTGCAGTGAGGCTGCTCGTTTCCTCGTGCGGCCCACCTTCCTGCAGCAGAGCCCATGGACATCCCAGGGAGAGAGCCTGGGTGAACACAGGCCCCGCCCTGTCTCTCCCCAGATCAGGTTATCAGCCCTGCTCGGTTGACCACGATGCCTGCAGACAGCTGCTCCGATACTCTGCCCAGAGTTCAGGGCTGTTTGTGGAGGGAAGAAGCCCAGTATCAGCGTCCTGTCACTCTCACCCGGGATTCTGGAATTCTTGCGTCTACATATGTTAGTGTTTTTTCCAGGGTACAGTGTAAAAAGCTGGAACCACAATCAGAGTCTGAGTAGTCTGAATTGATTGTTTTTTGGCTCCCTAGAAATTGGGTTTGTTTACACATAAAAGTCTTATTGCAAATTACAAGATTTGTTATTAATAATCCCTCTAGTAGAAAAATAATGGATGTTTATGCTTGAATTTTTGAAGAACACCTACCCAAGGACTATGTAAACAATGCAGATTATTTTACCTCATACACATTGATAGTGACATTAAAGGCATTGTTCTTTTCAGATCCGCTGTTTCATTAACTAGATTATAAATAACATGAAGTTAGAGACTATAGTTTATGCCTCTTTATAACTCTCATAGGCTCCAAACACATTCTATTATACATAATAAATAAATGTGGACTGGTTATACAGTTAGTTATTGTTTTTTGTTTCTACAGTTATATGTCTTTATCCTGAATCCAATATAAAAACTGGTGGTGCTATGCACGGTACTCTAGGAGGCTGAGGCAGGAGGATCACAAGTTTGAGCCAAGATTGGACAAGTTAGTGAGATTCTGTTTCAATATAGAAAATAAAATTTTTTAAAAGTCTGGGGATGCAACTCAGTGCAAAAGCCTTGGATTCAGTACTGAACATAATTTTTTTAAAAATCTAAAAAAAGGAGAGGAGGAGGCGTACCTGGTCATATTTTCTTTACTTATGGCCATGGCGAGTTCCTGTAGCTGCTGGGTGAGCTTCTCCAGGAGGCTCTGCTCCTCCGCCTTCCTCTGATCATAGTTCCCCACAGGGGCTGCTTCGTCGGCCTGAGAGAGAGCATGGCGGAGAAACTGATTTCGCTTTCCTAATCATACTTATTTTAAGAGAATAAAACCAAAGACTCCATCAAATGCTGCAAAGCAAAATAAATGCCCTGTGAAATGAGTCTGTCCTGCAGAAATGAGCTAAGGAGGAACTGTGGCTCTGTCAGCGAGGGACAAGCTGTGACCACAGACTGGCTCTACAGCCAACACGACAGGGGCCGTTCCTAAATTCCGCCACTTTAGTGACAGGAGGACCTGATTTCTTCTTCTATCAGAGCCTGTTTTCTCCTCTGTGAACCACGCATAGTTAAGTTCTCAAATCTAGGGCTCCTGTCTCCTAAGCTGGAAACTCTGGTGTCCCTGGAGAAATGCAGAGATGGCATCCAGATCCGGGGAGCAGGACTCAGAGGCAGGTAGGAAGAGGACTTCAGACTCCGCCTTAAGTCTCCGTGGGTCTGCAGCCCTGGACACCGAACCGAAGCTGAGGCTCAAACATGAAGGATCCTGAAGGGATGGCGAGGGTGGACTCAGCCTCCTGCCTTTGCAGAGCCAGTGACGTCAGGGTCACTGCCACGTGACACGGGGCTTTGTCATCACTTACCTCAGGACCAGACAGTGTACTCTCTCCTCGCGATGGGATTAAAATATAAAAACAGTTCTAATCAGCAGCCCCTGTACCTTATAGTTTTTAAAAATCAGGTGACTCATCAGAGCTGGGATGGTCTGCGGTATCCGAGCTGTGGCATTTCTGCCCCACACAGGTACTTAGTGACCTCTCGGGCACAGCTGTGGTCAGACTCCTTCCCTAACGCAAACCCAGGGCTTTAGCAACTGCATTTCCTTCCCAGTGAGGTACAATATTTGATAAGACATTTTTTTATAATGTCATTAACTATAATACTTACCTTCTTTAATTTTTGAAGAGTGGTTTTATTTTCATCAATTGCCTGTTTTAACTGAATACATCTAAATTTTTAAAAAGAAAGAGAACACATTGGTTTACTATTGTCAGAACAGGAAAGCTATTTTATAAAATTATTCGCAGACTCTAGGCAGCAAAGGAAATTAGCTATTGCATGAACTGATGTTTAAAATTTCACATGGAAATGCTTTTCTAGCCATTAGCTTTGATGATCTACAAAGTGTATTTAAAAATACATTTTGGAAAATTTCATTCACTGTTAGGTCAATATTATTTCCACTTGTGTTTTTGGAAATTGTATAAATAAAAAGGAAGAAAAGGGATGGAAGTAAAGAGAAGAAAGAAAGAAAAAGAAATAAAGCTTAAAACGATTTCAGTGTCTTAAACACTACTTGAAACGTAAGCACAGTTCCTAGGAAGTTCATAGTAGTTAGCACACTTTACCTTTGGTAAACATCTTGCCTTTTACTGGGCTCTAGAGTTGCTTTCAACTGGCTTTCCGAAAGTAAAGTATCAACCTAAGGCAAATGGAGACAGTTTAAAACGTCACTTTAGGAAATAAACTAAATCTCTCTTTACCTCCAATATATAACGAGCAGTTTGAAACATACAATAATAAAGTTGAAAGAATTTTACAGCAAATACTCATTCACTTATAACTAGATTCTACATTCAACATTTTATTATGCCTATTTGATCTATCCATCTATCAATCCGTCTTGTTTTATATGCATTTCAAAGTAAACTTTAGTCATCAGTACAACTCTCCCTAAATAACAAACTTAGGGTCAGGAATTACTTCAGTGGTGTTAAGAGCCTGCTTGGCAAGTGCGAGATTGTTTCAATCCCCAGTACCTAAAAAAAAAAGAATGACCTTGGGGGTGTCATTAACTAGAGTTTAATATTTGCTATAAATGGACACACCAGATACACAAACCTAAAGTGTACCTTTGTCACAGTTTGACAAACATATACACTTATAGAACCCAAATCCCTATCAAGATACAGGAAATTACTGAAAGGATTTTGCCCCAGATGGGACACTGGAGGTGGAATCAAGGGGCTCTATCTTGAGGTCACCGTTCCCGCCCTGAGGCAATTTACCTGTGGCAAAAAAATGAATTCCAATGGGCTACCAGTGCATCAGTAATGCCCCTTAGGCACCACCCCAAACCTAAGCTACATGTATGCCCCCATACCACAGTCTGGTGGAGAGAATGCCAGACCCTGGAGGTCATAGAGTCTCTCTCCACATTCTTTAAATAAAGGCAGCTTTTATTTCATACTTATCTTTTTAGCCACGCAGAAAGTTCTATCAGATGGTTCCCTACCATGCAGAAAATTCTATCAATTACCTCAGAAAGTTCCCGTTCCAAGCAAATCTCTATCCCATCTTTCCAGAGACAAACCTGTTCATTTTTTTCCACCATAAATTAACTTTAGCTGCTCTTAAACTTTGAAAAAAATGGACTTACACAGTATATATTTATGTTTAAATTTCTCTACTGTGCTGTTTCTAAGATACTTCCATGTTATTGTTAGTTTATTCTTTATTACTGAGTAGAATTCATTGAATCAAGTGTACCACCACTTTGTTTATCTTGATCTAGTATTTTACAAGCACTACATGTACTACGTATATTCTTGTCAAAGCACCACAAAAAAAGCACATCTCTGGGTTTTTTTCTACAGATTGCATGAGAAGATAGTAGATAAAAAAAGAGAGAAAATTTCATTAACTTCTTCTCTGTGTTTCCTATGTGGCATCCACCTGAGTGTTACAAAATCATACATTGATTTTGATAGGGCAGGTTATCACAGGCATGCCCCAAACAGGAAGTGGATTCCTTGCCTATGGACACTGAGTTGGTAATACATTTCTTTCTTTGTTTCTTTTCTTTTGTCTTTTTTCTTTCTTTCTTTCTTTTTTCTTTTTTTTTTTTTTTTTTTTTTTTTGCTTCAGGCGTCTGTTGTGGAGATAGTAAACAATTAGCTAATATTATCAAAATGTTCTTTCCAGATACTTGAAGTATTAAAATGCTCATGATTCAATTTGATCCCTGCAATAGTCGGTTTTATTTTGTTTTAGTAATTATTTTTATAGTTTCCTTCTGAAACTTGTCTTGGTCCTTCTAATGTTCCACTAAATTTAAAATCACGTAAGAACCATATTATTGTAATCCCAAATTTTGTATACAGTCATCCAAGAATTATAATATAGAATATAAGGGGCTGGGGATTTAGCTCAGCGGCATAAGCACCTGCCTTGCAAGCAGGCAGTCGTGAGTTCGATCCCTAGTACCGATAAAAAGTAAAAAAAAAAAAAGAGCAAACAAATATAGAATATATATCTATATTATAATAAGATAGCATATATCCCTTTTTCAGTTTTCTTCACAATCCAAAGAGTTATATTTATAATCCCTGAGGCTTTATTGGGATCCTGGCAAGTTAATTCCAATTTACCAACTCCAATGCAACCCACTGTGACAGTAAAGACACCATGATATATTCCAAGTTAAGGGCAGCCAAGGGGTCCTAAATCCAATCCTCATGAGGAGGTGCAGACAGAGGCCCTGATCCTCAGCCTCTCCCAGCATTTATTATCCTGTGAAGAAGGGGGGTGGCTCGAGGATGAGCGACAGTGAGGATAGTGGGAACTCATCACCTCCCATGAGGATGTGCAGACAAAGGCCCTGATCCTAAGTCTCCCCAAATTTATTATCTCGTGAAGAAGCTGGTGCCTTGAGGATGAGTGACAGTGAGGATGGCGGGAATTCCATAATTCTGTGGATAACTTAAGCAGCCTGGCTAGGTAGGGAGAAAAGCATCTCTGCAAAATGCAGACATATGGATATGCAGAGGGATCGATTTGCATAATTCAATTAAAGTAGTAAATAAACTGTTTTAGGAGGCTGTTGCTTTGGTTTCTGATATGTAAGCTTTGGTGCCCTGGCGAGTCACAGCCTCTTTACCTTGAGCTCCTACCCAGCTGACATTCCTGGAGCTGATGGCTCTACCACCCCGCTGTGCTCACATCCTTTACAGGGAGAACACCACGTGAGGAGACTGTCTGTGGGCTTTAGAGATTACATACCAGTACTTCCCTAGCCTTGTTTGCAATCTTAGAGTCAATTGAAGAGAGAAGGAAATACAACAGTCAGCTTTGTACATATCAGAATAAGGAAATAAGTTTCCATATAATCAAAGTTGTAGCAATTATTCTGCATTCAAGGGGAATCACTCAAATTTTCTCCCAACCTTATTAAGTCTAATAAAATTCAGCAGAAGTCAGGGCCCCATCAAATTTTACTTTTATTTCTCAAGAGTATTTTGTTTTTATTGCATCACTATGATTCCAAAGTCACTATAATTCACTAAATTTTATCTTTCAAAGTCACTAAAATTTATCTGCCAAATCTTTGTACTTTGTTCAATTTATTTCTAACTGATACAAAAAACCCAAAAATTATATATTTTATGAGGTACCAATGATATTTCAATACATTTATACCTTGTATAACATTTAAATGAGGTTAAACATACCTATCTCCTCAAGCAATTATTACTTCTTTATGATGAAAATATTTAAATTTTTTTTCCTTTCCCATGATATGGAGATGGTCTTACACATGCTAGGCAAGGGTGAAAACATTTAAATTTTTTTTAAACTTTTAAATAAGAGTTTAAACAGCATAAAATAATGAACCTGAGATCATCTTATAACTGTCAAAAAATTTAATAATTTTATTTTAGTGGAAAAATATATGGTGAATCAGACTTTTAAAAAGTACAAACAGTAAAGTGAAATGTAAATTTCAGAAAATAAATGAACAGCCCATTACTTTTTTCTTATTTTTAAAATAAGCACTCAATGCTTTGAAAATATACACAAGGAAAATAACCTAGTGTTGTTTAACCATACCCGTACCATTTTAGTATGCTACCTTCTATCTCTGTCCATGTCACCAGAATATTGTATAATCCTTTCTATGTCTCTAACTTGCTATTTTATCATATTTTCTCTATATACTATATGCCTCAACAAATTTTAGTGACAATATTATCCTACCCCTAAGTTATTTATGTTAGGTCCGCCCACCTGAGAGACAGCACAATCATCACAGCAGTGGTTCAAAGCTGTGCCCTGATAATGCACACTTCCTTCTTCCCAGAAGCCCCTACGGCTTCTCCCTCCCAAAAGTCTGCCAAATCTCAGGCATGTAAAGATTTACCCAATCCTCTACAATTTCAAAAAATAAATCAGCTCACATCAGCCCCAGAGCCCGACCCCCATCAGAGGCTGTATCAGGCAAAACCTGCCCTTTGCAGAGAGCCGCCACAGCCTTCCTTGTAGTGACTCCTTCCGTGACCCCCCTTATTAATATCTACTTGCCTCCTCGCTTTAATATTCTGAACTGCTCTAGATTGAGTACAAATCAATCAATCAATTTATCCATTCCTCTATAACTGATCATTTAAGTCTCAGTATTTTTTCTATTACAAGCGGCAATGTGATGAACATTTACCGCTGATCTTTGTTCCAATTTTTAATCATCTCACACAGCAGATTTTTGGAAATGTAACTACTGAAAGGGTTGTTGACCCAGACTGGACACTGTAGCCAGAAAAAGCCTCAGCCAGAATTAGGGAGCTCCTGTCTACCCCGCCCCTAGAGATTTACCTGTAACCCTATACCCCCCCACCCTTTGGAATCTGCCCCTGGCACCAAACGTGTGCCAATGAAATACCTGTGCATCTCTAATGGCCTTAGGGCACTGCCCTAAGCTTAGGCTACTTATATCCCCCCCCATGCCACGTGTCAGCGTGAGACATCACCAGATTTCAGCAGCCAGCGTGCCAGTCCTCTCTCTCCGTGTTCCCAGAATAAAGGCCTCTTTTGATTTATACTCCTCATCTTTTGGGAATATTTTTCATCTTCTGGAAATAATCCTATCAACTACCCAGCCGAAGAGCGTGAATGGCTCTTCATTCTGTCAAGCCGATTTCCAGTAATGCTGTCCCTTACACACGGGTCGCCAATGTTAAGCATCTGTTTAGTCCTCGGCTCCAGGGCTGAGTCCTGTGACTTTTATACCTTTGTGGTAGCTCATTTCCTTTGCGATTACTGGGTTATCTTTGGAAATTAACGTTCTCTCGCGCTCACAGTTACTTGTGTTTTCTCTCTCGTTCCCGTCCTTGGTTCAGTTTGTCAGATCGCAGTGTTCTCACACCCAGAGCCTACTCAGGCCTGAATTCTGCAGAGAGTAACAGGCATCGCCTGGTGGCGGGAAGCGGCAGCCGGCAGCCGCTGCAGAGCTCGGCTGCGAGGTGAGGGGAGCTGTCGAGGTGGGGCGGAGGCTGAACTCGGAGGGAGGAGGACATCAGTGGGCGTCACGATTTTCGGGCCGTTTCGTCAGTGGCTGGGGGTTGGGTTGGAATCCGGACTTGGCGCGAGGGTCGGGGCTGGGGGAGCGGAGACTTCCAACCCGGGAGAAGGGCAGGTTGGACGTGGTTT